TAAATTTTGGATTGATTTAGATAAAGGATATTAAAGGATTGAAGATTTCGCATTATGCACTTATAAATTGAGTGAGAAGATTTGGAATTTGAGAGATGCATTCTTTAATTGGTTTGCAATTCAGCCAATGAAATTGTAAGCGAGATTAGTACACTTCAACATCTTAGAATTAAAATTATTGTCTATTTTATATTCAGCTATCCTAAATGATTATCATGCTACATTGGACATCGAATAAAGAATTGACGAAATTATGCAATATGAAAGGAATGTGCAAACTGATAATGTGAATAATTTAACACTATTTAATGATGAATTGGTCATGATTGCTACGAGTTTTGCAAGACAAAAGAGCTTAATACTAAATAGGAATAGAGGATAATTGGCACAATTCTTTGGATATAAAGATGAGAAGGATTTCTAAAATATACTTTATATAGAATAATTGATGCCACCCTATATCCAATAGATCCATGATAAAATTATATTCAGATACATGAAGAAAGGATATTCATTATTGATCGAACACTCCAAAGAAGTATATGTGAAAATGAAAAATAATTTTATATAAGCAGCCAATATTAGTTTGCTGCATATGTTTGAAAATGACTCAGATTACATAATCACAGGTGCATTATAAAAAGTAAAATAGAGTTATGATTTTCTTATTTTCGATCGTCGAGGCAAGATCTTAGGGATAAGCGAATAGTTCTTCTCCATTTTAGGTTAGGGTTTCACTTTGGAACAATTATTAAGCAAAGGATTTGTATACTTTTGGTTTTAGACTATTTTTGATTAAATTACTTTGGAAAAGGAATATCTTTTGTAATAATCAGAATTGCAAGGAAGGGGAGTTCCGAAATCGATGATATTATCTCCCATCAATAACTTTAATCAATTATGTGTAGATCATGAATATAGTAGAGCCAACAGTACTGTTAAAAATCATGAATCTTAAAATTATTATACTGAAGTAAATGAAACTGAATAATAAAATTATTAAACATATGGCAATCAAATAAACTCCATTCATTTCCTAAAAGAATAAAATATATCATTTATCAATGATTTTATCTCAAGAATCAATTAACCTAAATATATAGATAAAGATACACAATATTCAATCAAGTTTTAGTTGACATTTAATGTTTTAGGCAGTGATATCCTTCCTCAATTTGTATTGTAAATTAATGATATTGAAAAACTTAATAAAAAAAAATCCTTAAATCAGCCGTCTACTAGTTTCTATTATAGTACAATAAAAAAGAGTCTTACAAGCGATCCCTTTAATGAATCTGATTTCTAATTGGATCAAGAGGGAATCGAAAATGCAATAAGTATCAATCCTCCAATCATAAATAAAATCAATCAAGTGTAAAATCCAGACATTGAGGATAGTCAGAAAAAATAATCATATTTAAATGAAAGTTAATAGTAATAATAATTAGTTTCTCCAAGAGGAAATAAAGAAATCCTCATCAATGTAGAATAATACGATGAAGAAGATGAAGATGATCAAAAATAAGCCTTTGAATTTGCTAAGAGTAGCTCTTAGTAGAATTAAAATAAATAGAATGTAGAAGAAGTCATTTAATAATATAAAGAATTAGAATTAGAGTTCAAAGATAATGCTAAATAATCTTAATCTAGTGCTACATCTGATAGAACTTAGATGTCTGTCTTCAATATTCTCAGAAATCTGCAATATACTTAACGCTATTAAACAACTCTTATTAAAGTTTTCATCAATACAGTAATTCTCTTTCTTGTGTTGCTATTCTTAGTCGTTCTCGAATTGGTTATTGCAAGAAGCAACACAAGCATACTACAATATTAAATTCCACTTGTCAGATTACCTGATAAGTTTAATCGCTTGTATTGCACATTTACTGTATTAGGATAAATCGACTTAGAAATTAGATTGCTTGACTTTGATTATGGTGAGTATTATGTTTATAGAATAATATAGGAAAGCCAATAATTGAGGGTGCAACTGTTAGAATTAATTGTACAAATAGAACAAGAGTTCTCTGTTCTTGATTAACAAGGGAAATTAACAAAAGCAGAAATCAAAATAGTTAATTAGTATATTTACCAAGTGTAAAATATCTCCTTTTTGTAATTCAATTAAATGGTAAATGAATATACATAAGCATTAAACAATTTATTTGATGAAAATGATGAACAATCTGCAATTAATGAATAAATAAGATTACTATTCTTGAAAGCAAATCTCAATAATATAATTGATTTTGTAAGCAATGTAGTTGAGAATATTGTGAGCGAATTTTTTGCAAATATTGATAATTATGAATTTTTGTATCTTGTCTTTCTCTTTGTTTAACTTTTGATTATCATAATCGCTATTTTACTTTAATTTAAATTATGGGTAGAACCATATGGTTATAAATAGAACATACTTCTTATGATTTGTAGAGTATAAGAAAAGGATGTTGAACTATTAATATTGAAGTATAAGACTTTTAAGGATGTCCTCATAAATGATATTAGTAGGTGGAAATAAATCAATTATTTTAAAGAGTTCTTTACTTGTAGAATATCACAATTAAAAAAAATATAAAAACTAGCACATTCCCATTAAGTTGATAAAAAACAATTAAAGTAATAATAAAGAGCTAAATTGAATTCAAGAATTTAAGAGACTCAATATTCTATAATGCACATTTATCTGATGCTATTATTTTTATGGTTTATACTAACAGCATATGTTTTATCATCTTATCTATTCTAAAATATCAACATGAAGGATTCAAATCCTGAATTAAATTTATGTATGTAATTTGTTAGATTTAAATAAAGATTTGATAGTTGCATGATTATTAGTTAATTGATTAAAAATTAATTATTATTAAGTTAACATCAAAGGAAAAGTGGTATTTATATACAAAATCCGGAATATAATAAAACAAATGGATTTTTTTAAGAGAATAATAAAATTCTACTGACTCAATTTAAGATTAGTTTGGATTTATAGAAGGAATAATATAATTCGATTTATGATAATATAGTGGCGTCAAAGAAGATCAATGATCAAAATAAAAACTTATTGTTAGGCTTGTATTAAGATGATCTTTGTGATTATATTGGTGATTAGTTGCCGTTTTGTTTTTATCAGAATGGGAAATTTCAATACTTTCCAGACTTTCCTTAACCATAGGAGATTAATAATAATAGGGAACATCTTAAATAAGGGTTTAATGGATTGTATTAGGAGTAAGATTAAATATAAATATTTTAGAATTTAAGCGCTTTTTTCAAGCAAATTTGTAAAGGAATTGAATGGTGAATTGGAGACAAATACAGATGAAATAGTTCTTTTTATGGAAACTGCTGAAAACATTTAACTATTAATGCCATATTTCTTTGATCTTAATAAAGGAATAGTAGAGTTCTATTAAACTATAATAGCGACATCAGTTGACATTTTAGAGACTGATTTCTAGAATTACTTAATTTATTATATCATTTTTGGGATAGTGGCATCAGCCATTTTATTTTCTGTTGTTATCCTTGCAACTGGAAAATTATAACGATAAATTAGAGCAATCAGATAGGCATTAGTATTGTTACCGCATGAAAGTCTATTGGATGTATAAGTGTATAATGCAATTAAGAGATTTGAGCAAAAGATGTGATAAATCATATTTAAATATAAAACAAATATTTTGAACTAGAATATTCAAATTTTGTGTAAGTAAAATGTTTCAAGTTCTTTTTCAATTTCATCAAAATTATTGATGTGATACGTTTCTTCATCTTCAAAATCATCTTCATTAAATTAATAAGGATAGTTTTGATCATCTTATAAAATTGGAGGCAGCATCACTATTTACCTATTTTTTTAAAATAATTTTTCATTTCTCTCCTTTTACATTTTCTAATGAAAGTCTTGCACCTTCTAAAACCTATATGAATTAGTATACCATTTTGAGTATTTGCTTTGTCTCTTCTGATTATTTCTTTTCAGTCTATAGCTCTTCAATTAAGCTATTTTCGTTTCGAGTTTATAATTGCATGAATTAAATAATGATAAAAACAAATAAGATAATATCACAAATAATCTAGTCACTAATATATTTACTCAATAAATCAGCCTAAATACATTTTAGAATTGCTCTTTCATAAACTAATCGAATTTAGTATAATTATAATACCAATATTATTTCCAACTTAGTATTAACCAATAATACCAATGTCTAAGTCTACATTCTTATTGGAATGTTTAATAATTTTATGATCAAATTTAACTTCATTCATAGAGTTTGGTAGATAATATAATCTCAAAGGTCACCGCCTTTTTGTACTTCAGATTCAATCATCGATATTAGAAATTCTGAGGAAATTTATCTATCACAAGGATTGCTATCAATTTTCCTTCTCATTAATTATTATTATTCACGACTACAATTTTCTACGCATCAATATAAAGTGATATTATCATAAATCAGCTTTTTTATTCGATTATAGCCATAATGAGAAGGAACTTTGATTCCAAAAACCAATTTAGATTCTCAAATTGAATAACTATTATTATGCTTATTCTAGTAAATACTCTAAATTCTAAATGATTCCAAGTTTAATCAGATCAATTTTTTTTCTCTATCTTTCTTGAATCTATGAGAATATTCTTTGATCTCTATTGATTCCATATTTAAAATGGAGTCTTGAAAACAATAACCAATTATTTTGCTATCACTAATGCTTTCAATATTTAAATAATAAGTGAAGATAATGCAAAATAACCATAATCTTCTAATGACCAAATACATTTTGTGTATGCCATCAATAAATCAGAGATATTTAAAAATTTCTACTTCTATTTCAAATGATCAACCCTTTTCATTTTCTACATAGAGTGCTACTTCCCAATTAAAATTTCAATCCAACTCAAGAAAAACAATTCTATATAAGCCACCAAATAGTTCCCTTTAAAAAATGAATGAATTGTTTAGATATCTAAATTATTATAATATTTTATAATGAATTGTAATTAGGAACCCTAATCAATCAAAGTTGTTGTAGTTGGAGATAGTAGTGTTGGGAAGACATCAATTCTATTGACGTAATTTAATTGTGAAAACATAGGTACACATAGGATAAATTTCCTATTGATTATGTGCCTACTGTGTTTGAAAATTACTCAAATGTTATTAGCGTTGATAATATTCAAGTATAATTGACTTTGTGGTATATAAATGCAATAAGTGTCAAGGGATACAGCGGGTTAAGAGTCTTATGAAAGATTGCGTTTATTGAGCTATTAGTCTGCTAATGCATTTCTGATTGTGTTTTCTGTAGACAATATGGATAGTTTCAATAATGTTTGGACTAAATGGAAACCAGAATTGGAAATGGCTGGCAAAAAAGATCTGCCTAAAATAATAGTGGGCAATAAATCAGATAAACTGAATGATCCTGATAAATTCTAAATGTTTTGGGAAAGATGTGAAGAAGAGGGATTAAAATATAGATAGTGCAGTGCATTCTTGAATAATAATATCAAAAATATATTTGAGGAATTGGTTAGTATGACTATCAGTGAACGATAACCGTCGACTATTTTACGATCTACAATAAGAAAAGATAGTATAAAACAATTGAAATCAGGATGTCAATTACTATGAGAGATTATTTGTAATTAATAACTTATATATTATATTATTATGAATACTTTAAGTTCAAATCCCAAAAAAACTATGTTTTATGCTGCTGCCTAAAGTATTAGTTGTCTAAATGTTGTAGATATGCTAAATCAGCATTCCAATCAATCATCGATGTCAACTCTAAAACGAAGTTTATTTCAGTTGGCCTTGGTTCCACCCAATAATCCAAGAGAATAACTGAATCAATCATTGAATAATAATTCAGATCGAGCCAAGCAAAATATATCCCTCCCCAGAAAAAGCAACATTTTTTAATAGGATAGAGATAGATCCCTCTCTTACAAATTAAATAACTCCATTGAACATAATACTTCTTTGGAACGTTTACAGAATGCCTACAATATTAAAGGTAATTTTTAAATTGCAAATGAAAATCCAAGCTTGCTTGTTGAAAAAGAAATTAAAAAATAAGAGTATTTGTTAAATCATTATATAGATTGAAAGAATATTTATTAAAATAAATACAAGAAAAATAATTATAATCTAAATAAGAGTAAGAGCGAATTAAAATTGAAGATCTTAAAGCTGAGGAGTTAGTTAAAAGACAATTAGAAGAAATTAGAATTAGATAAAGGTCTAAATTTGAAATCCCTCAATAATCATAAATCTAAGGTAGTTTTTGATTGATATATTATTATATAAGAAAAATCTGGAATTACCAAGAAAATCTCAAAACCCACCTAAACTATCTGTTTCCCCTTAAAAAGATGGACTTTTCATGTAAATCTACAAATCCAAACTTACAAATAATAATCAACAAAATGATATACTTCAGAAATTAAATAATATCCAAGTAATACTCACTCTAATTTATAGAATAATATCAACAATCTTCAATAATCAACAATGAAACAAAATGAAGTTTCATCTGTTAGAAACAATATCAAATAAATGATTCGAAAATCAAGTTAATTGCTTCCTCAACATAATGATCAAATTCAAGAAGAACCTCAACAATAATCTAATGATAGACAACTAGAATGTGAAACAATCTTCATACCAGCTAATTAAAAGATTAACACAGATGTTGATACATCATAATATTAGCCATCATAAAAAGAAATAAGTTAATCCACTCATAACTTCATTTCAAATAACAGCTTTTAATATCACTAATAAAATAATATGTCTACCATTAGCAATCCTATTAATAATTCATAACATTATTCATCTTAAAATCAGAATATCAATTCAATAATAAATCATTCTAGATTAACAATAAGTCAATTGACTTAAAGGGAAAGATCAATATCTAATGAAAAATAAAATGAAGAATTACTAGCAAAAGTTGATGAAATCAAAGATGAAATTAAAGGATTGTAATAAAAAGTAAAAAAAGTAATCATTCATTTTATTTTCATAGCCTGAACAAGCTAATCTATAACTAAAATTACCACATAGAACTGCTATGTTAATGTAAATATCATCAAAAAAGTAATTATAATTATATTCTTTAGTTAAATTTAAGTATAAAAATAAGAAGAACCAAAATCCTCCCAAAGAAACTGATTTTTAAGATAATATTTTTATAATCCATATATATATATTTGATAAATTTGAAAAGAATGAATAGATTCTTATTATATTCACTTTAAAATCATTTTTTTTTTAGTTTTTGGTGTTCCATGATTTGATGAACATATTTAACTAGGAGTCAAATGTCTTGATCTTAAACTTCTCATTGAACTTTTCAGATCTTCAAAGTTTTTCTAACTATTAGCTAAACTAGTTCTTCCTTTAACAAAAAAATTATTTTATTATTGTTTTTCAATCTTCTTTTTTGAGTTGCTATTATTGAAAGTCATTTTTGTAGAAAACATTTTTTTGGCCAACTCTAATAACAATTCATTCTGTTATGGAGTATTCCTTGCAGTTGTTAAACAAGATTTAGTCATTTCAATATTTCCTAATGAAGCCTACCTTGACTTTAATTAAGGTGGCTTCTTTATAGTTTTTATTGGAATTTCTATTTTAGATCTTTGCTTCTGTGCTGAAGTCTATCTGGATGTTTAAACAGGTTTTGGGATTCTTTAAGTTAGAGGTGGAGATTTTAATTATTGTACCTATCTTAATTACATCTCAATAGTTTTTTTTAGAGTTCCTTGGCAATTCTAGTACATCTATTTTTGAGCATCGATAGTAGGTTTTAAAGATTTTTAAATTAGTTTATTCTAATTGAATATCTAAAAAGGCTTTGGCTGAACTTTTGTATCACCAATCATATGAACCAAATCTCTGAGCACAGTCGTATTGCTTATTTTAGATATATCAGTTTAAGTAGATTCAATTTTGAGATCTCTCAATAAATACTTAAGCTAACTAACTGAACAGTCTTCAGAAGTGTCCTTTACTTTTGATTGAGATTATTATTTAACTTCCTCAAATAAACCCAACTCCATTTTTATTTTGCAATACTGGATTTCCCTATTTTTTTCCATTCTCTTATTAATGACTTTACAATGAAAATTTCTGGGAATATTTATATGATACTTATAGTATTCTAAAAGAGCTGGTATTCTATCATCGCTCTCAAAAAATCTATAAAATCTTTTTCATTATATTATTATTTATATACCTTCTCATGAATTCAGTATGTTCATCTAATTAAACATAGTCTTTGAATCGAATAGTAGATTTAACTTATTTATCATCCAATATTTCATTAATGTCTTTTTCATAATAAAAGTTTTATGACTGAGAGTATTTGCAATAAAGTGCTCTTGTGAGAATTAAATGAAAAGATCCATCATTATTCAACTTATCACAGAACATGCACTTATTAACTTACATTTTATTTATTTCCTCTATATATATAAATAAATTATATAATAATAGTTTTTAAAAATAATGTAGTTATGATAAATGATTATTGATAATAAATAATAAAAATTAATTTAGTGTTTAACTTAATCTTATAAATATCGTTAACAGTCAATTCCAAAGAGTTGTATTAATTATTTACTATTATATTTAAACAGCATTTATTAATGAGAAATGAGACTGTTTTTATTATTATAATTCAATATGATTGTTTACACAGTTCTTAATATTTAATAAAATTTCTTCATTTATTTTAGATAACTATTTAATTTATTAAAAAAAGTAATTAATTAATAATATTTATCTGAAAATAACTGAATTTTTATAGATAGATATTTTGAATTGTTATGTCTTAATATTAGCTAATTAAAATCATACTCGATATATTCCAATTTTCATCTACTTTTAATTTTGATCGTAGTAAGTATCAGATAATTAGATTGCCTCTATTTTTCATATATTTAAGATTGTATAATTTTAATAACACTTATGCATTTTTGAAAATATCGTCTTTTGAAACCAAATATGCTATTATATAAGATTGGAATATTTATAAAGTATTTCAATTTTAATAATAATATTATGTAAGTTCACTAAATAATAGAGTTAAGAATATTTATAAAATAATTATTCTGAATATTAAATATAATTATGGAATTCCATAAATATTGAATGAATCAAAAGTATGGTAGAATTTAAGATTATAAAGATTAATGTTGTTTAACAATTTAATAATTATATTATGTTAAATAAATCAATAAAAATAACAAAAAGAGTGATTATCATAAATCAAAAGTATTAAATTGTAATATTGATAAGAACTGGGACTATAAGTGAGAATACAAGTATAATAAATAGAGAACCATTGAAAAATGGTTTAGAAGTGGAGAGGAGTGATCAAAAGAATTCAAAATAGAGATTGATTAATAATGAATTAGGCGAATGTAAAGTATGTGTAATAAGGAAAGAGAAGTGTGATTTGAGACAGTTACAGGAGATGCTGAACATATATTTAAAAAACAATGAGAAGATTAAAGAGATCAAATCGATAGTGGATGCATTAAAAAATAGAACCAACAAATTGGAATAACAGTTAAAACAGTAGGAAGCGAAGTGCAAAGAGAAGAGAGTGAGAAGAACATCTACTGAAATAGAAAAGAATTATAAAGTTTAAATTGGTTATTATCATTTAAAGTGTTATGGTAAGAATTGTGATAAGAGTTATGGCTCCATGGTTTCATTGAATTTACATATGAAAATAAAACATAAAAGGTAGAGAAATGTTTAGGAATAATAAAAATGATAAACTTCTTTACTTATATATATATTTATTTTAATAACTCAATAGGTTTGGCCATCAGGTGGTTATTACAATTTTTTATTAGCAGCAGAACTCATTTCATTCTTTAATCCTGTCAAAATGTTTTCCAGAGTATTTTTGGATACCCAATTTTTTAAAATGGCAAATTTATTAATATCAATCTGAGTAGTAGTGAATGATAAATACCTATCCATTAGCTTAGACACAAGGAAGATTAATTTTAGTAACAAATCTGACTTGGGGAGCAACCTTTGGATATTGTGGACCACAAGTGATTTTAAGTGAATAGATTCTATTCTCAAATGCAGTCTACGATATAGAATAATATCATTACATTGTATGGTCCAAGGATTGTTCCATTCCAATTTGTCATCTGCATATCCTCAGCTACAAGTTTCAGATCAATAATTTACCATCTTCCAATCCATAGCTTACAGTTCCATCTCCAATACCTTTTTCTCCGTTTTAGAGTTCTTCAAGCAATCTAAATCTTCTTGGGACTTCTAGAAAGTATATAAAAACGATATAAAGTTACCTGGTGCTCCTTACATTAGGATTTGATTTAAATAATTATTATATGATATTAATAATATATTAAAATCGATATATAAGATGGGAATCGTCAGATATTTTGAATTCTTTGTTTGAATTAGTGTTCCTGAGTCATCGATCTCAGTTAATTTTTGAGTCCCTAAGGATTTTATACTTTATTCATATCAAGATATTGATGGGGATTGTTTAAAGCATCTAAAATAAATTTATCCCACATAGCAGATGGAATTTTTCTCTAAAGCATTTCTTTATGTAAGATACACAAAGGTATTTTTTGAGAAGGATGAGTATTGGGTAATTTGGTTTTTTGAGCCAAACATTTTGAATAAAAGATTCTCTATTACTAATTGTATTGGTTCGAATTGTTAGGATCAATTTCATTTTGATTTATTTCACTCTCATCAAATTATGATGTGGAAATCTTAGTAAGAATTTCACTTTTGATATCATTTAATTGATTCCTATCCTAACTTCCTGAGAATTTCGTAATTATAGTAGGTCTGCCAAAAGGGGGACTTTGAAATTAAGAGGGTAGGGGTAACTGAGAAGTTCTACTATATTCAGGTTATTATTGGTATCGAAATGATGAAGCACTACTGTAATTATTGTAAGGATTGTAATTACTGCTATTAGAAATGATAAGATTAATTTTTTGAGTTTGAGTTTAGATTTCGACTCTTGATGTGCGCACTTCCTTTTCTAATTATGTCTATTTCTAAAGGGCTAGAGAATGGAGTCGTTCAAGATAGAGAGCAATAGCAAGAGAACCTCTGTAAGATTCAGTAATTGTCTTCAATTCTTGATTTAGATCCTGTAATTTACGAAGTTCAATTTAATTAGTGTTTTGAATTGTGAGGATTTGTTCAGACATTTCGTCTGCTCTATTAAGATATTTTATGTTATCCTATTTAGATTCTTTTTGATTTAATTGCTAAATGGATTCTCTCAATTTTGATATCTTAAAATTGATTTCATCCAATAATTTATTGGATTTAAGGACTGCAGTGACACTCTTTGAAACACTTAGACATTTCATTGTATGAACATCGATTTCATTAATAGGAATAAGATTTTCACAGTTCATACAGGGAACTGCATACATAGTTGATGGGGCTGTCTTTGGAGCTCTTAGTTATTGAGTGGAATGATGGTTTTTTGCAGACTTACTTGTAAAATAATCTGACTGCATTGTTTACGATATTAAAAATAATATAAACGAATTATTGGATGCAAAATTGCAAACATATTATCACAACAATTAGAATGAGTAAATTCTATATCCTCTTTTCAATACTTTAAGTTATCTTATCAATAATACTTTTGATCTATGTATGAAATATATACAACTAGATTATGACAGACCCGATCCGAAAGTACTTAATCATTTTAATTACAATAGTTTACATCAATCAATTGTTGTAGAAGCAGAAGTGATACTAACCTTGGCTATCCTTATTGATATCTCCTTACGGATAATAGCAGAAAGGAAGGTATTTATTATTTCTCTATTTATTAAGCAATTTTTTAAAGACAAATGGAATCTCATAGATTTGGGTTCCTTTATTCTTATTTTAATATTACTTCTCTTTTTCTATATGATCACCAAGTACATAATAATTATGATATTTAAGTGAGTTTGCTGCTATTATTGATGATGTAATTGGATTGGTTGTCATGGTTTTGCGATACATAGTCTAAATTGTCAGACTAGCTCTTTTAATTAAATAGTAAGAATAGTATTAATTAGATCACATAAAGTTAAACAACTCTAATAAATAGATGATATCAAATTTGAATAAGTTGACAAGTAAAATGAAGATAGCACAGAAAAACAATAACCTGATACAAATTTATGATTATTATACATTCAATTATTTATTTATTATTATTAAGTTCTTATTTATTTTCTTGAAATTCTGTAATAATAGTTATATTTATATACACAACTGCATAATATGTTTGAATAAAAAGAACTTCGCATTTCCAATCAGAACTCAACCTACCAATCTATCTTATCAGGATTAAACACCTCATCCACTTTTTAATAGAAATCATATTCAATTCTTAATCATTCACATATAAATTTCAAGATGAAAAAAAACTACCAATATTCACATTCATACTAAATCACATGTATTAGATTAGATTTATCAGCTAGACATTGCTAGAATAAATATAATTAATTAATTTAAATATACAATATTCTCTTAAGGATTGCTTAATAAAAATAATAACCAAAAGGATGGTACTCAAAATTGATTTACATAATGTATTAAATATATAATTCAGCAACAAGTATTGTTTTTTTATTTAGTATTTTGGATTTTGCATTCCTAATTTGCCTATTTCACTTTTTTACTTATTTGAATTCCATAATTCTAATTATAAATATTCAAAATCTACTTTGCAAGGATCAATCTCTCCAGAATTTACCTTTTATAGTATTTTACAACTCAAATTTTCAAATACCTAATTCACGTTTAGTCCACTTTTTGCAGAAGTCTCGTAATACTCAAAATTATACTATTTTGCAAACTGCATTCCCTCCTTTTATGACACTTGACGCCTTAGATACTTAATCAATATATACTATTCTTCAAGGTCTGTTTTATTTCCTACTATAATCAGTTCAATCTCATCGCAAGCGTAACTTTATATTTTCTCATACCATTAAACCAATCCTTAGAATGATTATCTGCTTGTAACATCAAAGACAAGAATGCCTCCAATTGCTCTTAAAATTTATTGCATCATACCCCCTATAGAATGAACGAGTTAGAGAACGAAATGATTCTTATCCTGCAGTGTCCCAAATATGCAGATTCACATTTTGATCCATAACTCTTATCTCCCGAGAGCCAAACCCTATACCAATTGTAGCATCATGAGTATTTTTGAATCTGAGATCTGTAAACTACAATAGCAAGCAACTTTTTCCAACATCTAATCGATATGACCATAATTTAATACTAGTATCACCTACAATAATGATTTTAAAACAAAGCATTTTATAATTATTATTGATATCTTTGAGAAAGTCTTATGAAATACTAAATAATCAATATTAATATGTTTGATAATCATTTCTGCAATAAATTGTCCTAGGACATATTGATTTAATCTTAACTAGTTTATTCTATCATCATTGATTATTCCACTCCTTTAGTTTACAATTATTTTGTGTCTATTGGTTAAGAGGGTTTTTGTTCTTAAGCTTTTTGCTTTGGTTCTTCTTCAACTTCTTCCTTCTCTTCATAATAGTGGATCATTCTGATCAATTAAGAATCAGACACAGTCTCAAATTATTAGAGAATGATAGTTGGAGTCAAAGAAATACAAGATAGAAATATGACAATGAATACACTCTTTACACTATCTAAAATGGATTCTAAATGATGAGTATATTATGGGATGCTTGTACTCCAAGTTTCAGATGAACATGTAGTGAACAATATCAATATGCAAATTGTAATGTTGAACATAATTACAACTCTAAATTATAAATATTAATATACATTTATTCTTTGGAAAGTGTGCTTAAATATAGAATTGGCTGCATTTGGGTAGTTAAAAGGACAGTCAAATAGGAAACTAAGGAAATATAATAGAATCCTTCTATGATACCTTCTTAATTGTTAGCATATTACAGAATCTAAAAAATTTTATGGATAAATTACATTAGCAGGTAAATAAAATATGATGAATCCTTGATAAACAGAATCAAAGAATATAAGGAACAGTTTCTTCTTATTGAAATAATAATCCCTTTGACATTTGATGAATTCACTAGCAAACATTCGAATGACTCGATGATTGACATCTGAATAGAAAGAAAAGATCAAAAATCCATAGATTGGTGTGAAGTAGGTTTAAAACATGAAGTGAAAACTGGTTGTGAACAATTGTGTGCTTGAATATCCATTAAAAAATGAGAAAAAGAATTCGCACATAGTAATGAGGAAACCCTTATAAAGTATGAATAGTAAGAATCCAGCAGTTCTTACATGGGTTTGTCTAGCATGAGTCAAGATGAGTTTGGACAATCCATCTAAATTAACCAATTCTATATGACTCATGGCAGAAAATAATGATGGATTTTTAGCACTTTGGGATTGAACACTTGCTCTTACAGTGTTGACCTTGCATAAACATAAATCTTCATCATGTAGACCAACTGATACAATAGCTTAGTTTTTAGATTGATCTTTTTGGAATGTGATAAGTTATTCAATTTGAACTTTAGTAAGATCATGAAAGACAACAAAGGATGCAATCATAATGACTTCATAAAACTGTGATCTCATTTCTCCATCTGACAATGCTTAATCTAACACTTCTTAATTGATAATCAGAGTAATGAATTTGTCATCAATCTTATACAGATTATCAAACACTTTGAATTCTCTTGTCGATTATTTGAATAACGGGACAGCTTGACTCTTAACACTATTCATTTCATTATGTAAATCATCCTTAGTGAATTCAACACATTCCATATACTATTTCAAATATTGTAGAGTTTAATCTCTCTCTACATCTCTAATGAAGAACCACTGTCTAATAATAGCCAGATTCAGATCTAATAACAAATGGAAATTATGATGAGCAACAGTCTAGAATTAGAATACTCCACATGGTTTAATTTATGTCATCAATTGTTCTTCTGCAAATGGAGGCAATTGGATGTATTTCCTCTTAAAAGCGGATGATCCTAATTGTTTGTACAATCTCTAGTATTCTTATTCTTAGAATGTATACTCAAAAATGGCTTTTCCTTACATAAATTATGATAATTGAGGGTGCTCCTTACATAAAGTACTTTCAATATCCGCCTACAAAACCCATATATATCTTTTGCTATTCATTTTCTCAAACAATTCTCTATCCTTCTTAATTCTATCCTACAATTATTGTAAATCTGATGCTTCTTCATCATCTGATTCCAAATCCTTCTCCTCCAACAATGGCATCTCATATAAATATGCATCCCATTATTCAGTATTAACAACCAATTTTACTGTATAAGTTCTCAACACTTCCTTTGGTAATAAGACACTTCTTTGATTATCATCGTATGAAAATTGTACACACTCACCTAATTAACAATATTTTTAAATAGCCAATTAAGAAGAACTTAAAGTCTTATATGGTAGAGTTAATAATGCTCTTTCAAATACAAATGTACTACGCTCCTTATCATCACATTAAGCATCATATTCTAAATCAATTTACTCAAAGGCAGTTGATTAATTTACTTAAATCTAATCATCCATAATTTCCTTATTAGGTTTTGGCTCATATCCTTGTAATTTAACATCATCATTGTTCTTCTCAATATCTTTTTTCTCTCCTTATGGTCCTCCCAATAAGGTAGCCTTTCCAACTCTTAATCTTGGCTCATTTAATACTTAACCGTAATTGACAAACTTTGTATTTGCTATATTATCCAATGCTATATAGCTGTTTAACTTAGTTAATAATCCTGATCTTTAAGGATCCATTCCAATGTCACCATTTACCTTCTTTCTGGCCAACCATAAAAATATTGGTCGAAACACTTCAACGAAAATTGGAACTATGTTACTAAAGATTATCAATCTATCAATTAATAAGGATATAAAATTATAATTGCTCTATTCTCTTATATATAGATGCTTGTCCTTATTATTGCTACTCCAAATTGATCCGGCTATTGAAAATGTTATTGAGAGTATTATAGCAATTCCTATACTGAAAAACTCTGAATTCAAAGGATTTAAATATAACGGTAAATTGAATGATAAAGCTTCTCTCAAATACTTTTGACGGGTAGATGAATGAAGTAAAACGCCTATCAATTGAGTAGACTCAACAATTCCATTTTCTTCTACAAGGTGTTCCTAATTTAATTGCACATCTATTGGTTCCACCAAATCCAATCTCAATCTAGCCTTAGTATTTTCAGAAAATATAGGTAATTGATTGAATTCCAATTGACCATCAATATATGTTAAATCAGGTTCTTACAATTTTGGAGCAGCTACCCTATAAGTTTTTACATCATCTCCAAAATTAACTTAAGCATGTTCCTAACCTTCTGCACTTAGAATAATCATAGGTGCAGGTACTCTTTCCCCTTTCTTTAGTTACACTATGCACCCAGGAAATAGTCTAATAATAGTTCTACTACTAAATCTTTTTTATGCAAAATCAAAAACATTCACTAATTGTCTATCAAATTTGAATTCCAATTCTAATTCCTATCTGTAAACCCTATACCATAAAAATGTTGGCAATGTTGCAAGTATCAAGATGTAAATAATAAAGAATTAAAATTGCTTGATAAATAATGATAGAAAATTACATTAACTGACGTCATTGTATAATCCAGAATAGTAATGATTATAATAAATGGTAGAATTGGAGTCATGAAAGCACGTTTTAATGACATTTTAAGAGCATTCTAAAACAAACTACCTTTCTAGGTCAACAATGAAATTCCATAAAAGTCTGTCTTAGGATCAGTTGATTGGATGCCGATCTTCAACTGTTAGCTGAAAATAGTGTCAACCAACTCATCTCTATTTTCTTAACTGGCTGGGAATTATTCTGTAGTTCCTTTTCCTATTGGATGCACTGAAAATTCTAAGCTGTTCTCAATATTTTTTCCATCATATTTTTATATGACATCCAAAATACTTTCATCTTTCTTAGGAGTGCTCCTCTAGGAACGGTTAGATTTTGACTTAATGAAAACATCCCCTTCCTCTGGAGGTAATGGCTAATCCTCAGGATCTTCTAATTTCAAGACTCCAGGGTCATCATCCTCTTCTTGTTTATCATCAGGATTAAGAAAGAGTGATTTTGCCATAGGAGCCACATAAGTTGGATCTACTTTTAAGCCCTGTCCAGTTCCTGCTTCTTTACTAGTTTTGAACAGCTTGGTAAAATTGATAACAGGACCATCTTCGCTTGCCTCTTAAGCTTGTTCATTGCTTATCTCTTGTTATCTCACTTATTTATGCTTAAATCTGGTAGATATTTTTGGCTGAGCTTTGGGTGGCGAATTGTCATCATCTTCCTCAAAGGCAATTATATCTAATTAAGAAAGTACATACTATCATCTTCTTCTGTCATCTGATTATTTAATAATTATTATATAATAAAATATTATTAAGACTAATTGTCTACATTTAAATATTCTAATAACATTAAGACAATAAAATCAATTCGCACTATGAATTAAGTTCAACTTTCTGACTTCATTAATTTTACTCATTTATTGAATTTTGTTTGTAAAAAGCAATATTAATTGAATGTTGAAAATCCTACAATATAATTTGATCAAATTAGATATTTAATATAAAGAGACCATTTGTATAAGGGAAAAAATCTATTAATTTACAAGCCAATTCAATATAAATAAAATGTAAATTCAAATTTAAATGTTTCAAATTATCTTAAGAATCATTTTAATAACGATTTAATCTCTTAATAAATAAATATATAAGTAGTCAATTAAATAATATCTTTTCAATATAATTTATGCAATCGTCCCTACTCAAATAGGTTCTACTAGTGTGTAAGAATTGTTCTACATTTTAAGAGTATTCTCCAACGAACTTTGCGTAATTGCATAATAGAAATGTAAATAATTAAATCTTATGATTTTCATAGCCTAATAGAATTTAATATAAATATTCTAATTTTAGTTAAACTTATTACCTTTGATAAATGATAGACTTAAATGCTTAGCAAAATTACAAAACTATACTGAATATTCAAAATTATTATTAAAAATATCCATGAATTGCAGATCATTCATTATAAGAGTATAATTTTCGTTTAACAATAATTAGCATTCTTAAAAGTTATTGAATCCATCGAAATGTAATTCTAGAATTTGCTTTTCTATATTCTTAAATGTATCTCTTTGTTTAAAAATTTCGAAATTTTTCAACTCGAATTTATTAACATTTCCATCAATTAAACAACTTTTCAACTAAGTTGTTATCATCATTATATTCTTCAAGATGATGAATTGCAGCTTATATACATTAGTTTATTGAATAGTGACCTACTAATAGTCTAATAATTAGTTTCTTATATTTTTCAGTAATTACAAATATTCTAACTAATTTTGAATGATTTTTTTATTATTTGATTATTCATCATCCTCACTTTTTTTTCTAAAAAATCCCTTTTAATTTTCAGTAAATATCTTATTCCCACTATTTCTAGTGCTCTATGGCTAATTTCCAATACTGATTGTACGATCTTTCTTTTATGTTTCAGGAAGCATTACTGTTTTGCTATGATTAAACAATTATCGAATTTCTTATTTAGGCGATTCTACTTTTGATAATAATTCCTTTTAACTGGGTTTCTACTTATTGTAGATTTAAAGAGGATGTTTAATTTATGGAGGAGAATTGACTGCAACTAATTTTGCATTCATCATTGAAGAATCAGATTCATTTGTAATTTACGAGATCGAATGCTGAGATTTTTAATCTTACTCTTTCATTAAGAATTTATTGTCAAACAAAGGGTGTGTAAACACTTATTCCCATCCTAAACGCTTTTATTCTTCATATTACAAACATCCCAATATGAATTATTATGACATCGGTGATATCTTTTTGCCTAGAATTGATAAACATTTTTAATTTACTAAATTTGATATTGGTGTTTCTCTATTTATTAATTAAATCAAGAATATCCATAACATTCCATGGAGTTCTGCCTTCTATTAATTCATAATAAATAAGGCCTATACTCCATACATCACATTTGGAAGTGTATTATTTTCTTAACAGCACTTAAGGTGACATATATAAAGGAGTTCCTGCCAATGAATTCATTAGATCTCCTTCTAAGTGTTAGAATCGTTTCGCAAATCCAAAATCAGCTATCTTAAATATATTTTCAGAAGTAATCAAAATATTGGCAGGTTTTAAATCTCGATGAATGATTCCTCTCTTAAATGATTATAAAATCCCTTTTAAAATCTGAGTCAAAATTGGTAAAGCTTATTATTCTGTTAGACAACCATATCTTTTCATGTATTCTCTCAAATCACCTCCTGTGCACAATTCACTAACAATGTAACAATTATTTGGTGTTTAGACAACATCTAATAATTTAACAATATTTGGGCAATCCAAATCTTTCATTATTTCAATTTCTTTCCTCAGAGATTGCTGATCATATTACAAAGGTACAACTTTAATAGCAACAACTTAACTTCAATTTAAATTTCTACATACTTTGTATCGATTTTCATTCCAACATATACAATCCCATATGACCCTCGTCCGATTACAGCTTATTAACTGAAAGTATAATTGAGAATTCTTTTATCTGGTTGAAGTTAAGATAGCTATTGAATTCGAGTCTGCATGATCGTTAATTAAATTAAATATCATTATGATTATTCTTTCAATTCTACTAACTCATAACAAAATGTCTTAGTTCATAAAGAATATTTTCAATTTATTTATAAGGTTGGATTAGTTAACAAATGCGTAAAATTTTTTAAGAGATATACATATAAATTAAAATTGAATACAATATAATCTAATTTTTATTCATTTCTAACTTTGATAACGGATGATCAATTTTCAAACGGATTTCAAAATATCTTACTAATTAGATGCAATAAGTGATTCTTATAGTAAAATAAGNATAATAATTCCTTTTAACTGGGTTTCTACTTATTGTAGATTTAAAGAGGATGTTTAATTTATGGAGGAGAATTGACTGCAACTAATTTTGCATTCATCATTGAAGAATCAGATTCATTTGTAATTTACGAGATCGAATGCTGAGATTTTTAATCTTACTCTTTCATTAAGAATTTATTGTCAAACAAAGGGTGTGTAAACACTTATTCCCATCCTAAACGCTTTTATTCTTCATATTACAAACATCCCAATATGAATTATTATGACATCGGTGATATCTTTTTGCCTAGAATTGATAAACATTTTTAATTTACTAAATTTGATATTGGTGTTTCTCTATTTATTAATTAAATCAAGAATATCCATAACATTCCATGGAGTTCTGCCTTCTATTAATTCATAATAAATAAGGCCTATACTCCATACATCACATTTGGAAGTGTATTATTTTCTTAACAGCACTTAAGGTGACATATATAAAGGAGTTCCTGCCAATGAATTCATTAGATCTCCTTCTAAGTGTTAGAATCGTTTCGCAAATCCAAAATCAGCTATCTTAAATATATTTTCAGAAGTAATCAAAATATTGGCAGGTTTTAAATCTCGATGAATGATTCCTCTCTTAAATGATTATAAAATCCCTTTTAAAATCTGAGTCAAAATTGGTAAAGCTTATTATTCTGTTAGACAACCATATCTTTTCATGTATTCTCTCAAATCACCTCCTGTGCACAATTCACTAACAATGTAACAATTATTTGGTGTTTAGACAACATCTAATAATTTAACAATATTTGGGCAATCCAAATCTTTCATTATTTCAATTTCTTTCCTCAGAGATTGCTGATCATATTACAAAGGTACAACTTTAATAGCAACAACTTAACTTCAATTTAAATTTCTACATACTTTGTATCGATTTTCATTCCAACATATACAATCCCATATGACCCTCGTCCGATTACAGCTTATTAACTGAAAGTATAATTGAGAATTCTTTTATCTGGTTGAAGTTAAGATAGCTATTGAATTCGAGTCTGCATGATCGTTAATTAAATTAAATATCATTATGATTATTCTTTCAATTCTACTAACTCATAACAAAATGTCTTAGTTCATAAAGAATATTTTCAATTTATTTATAAGGTTGGATTAGTTAACAAATGCGTAAAATTTTTTAAGAGATATACATATAAATTAAAATTGAATACAATATAATCTAATTTTTATTCATTTCTAACTTTGATAACGGATGATCAATTTTCAAACGGATTTCAAAATATCTTACTAATTAGATGCAATAAGTGATTCTTATAGTAAAATAAGAAAACAATTAAGTAATATCATCACGAATGATATGATTTGCATACTTAAGTTAAATTGAAAATCAGATCAATGTTAATAAAATTTTTATATTAATATTTTAATTGGTCATTATAAAAATATTATTTATATATACCCAAACTTAGATAATTCTTAATAAACTTATAGGTGTTGTTTTGCCAAAAAGTGTTGTAAATCATTTTTCAAATATTATTTTTGGTAGTAGTTTGAAGCCAAAAAAGTATATTATTACGAACTTCCTAGTATATATATTATAATAAAGTAAATCACCTTTAATTCAGATATCAAATGAAAAGATATAGATTTCTTATGACAAAAACTTCAAACAATCAATTTCCTATTATCGACCTTCAACTTTAAATTCTAAAATGAAACTGAAAGCCTGGATTTTGGATTAAATAGCATCTTAGTGATAATTTTAAATAGTTTAGACAAATATTTTTAGATTATGCTAGTTAATATCTATTTTGTCTCAAAATATACCTAGACCTAATTGTAATAAATTATAGTTTATCAAGTAAGCATACTATATATCTCAAAAATAATAAGTCATAAATTCAAGATGAATAAGAAATTCAATCCCAAACTAAACAATTATGATTAATTACACATATTATCTAAAATTAAGTATTTAGTTATATTATTTGAAAGAACAAATATTCAGAATTATATAAAGATTTTATTGAATAACAAAAATGAATATAATGTAACTTTTATCAAAGTGGCTAAATTTATGTTTTTTTTATATGCAATTTATTTCTCAACTTTTTACTTTATTTATGTAGAGTTAAAAGTTTAGAAAATTTGGCATTTTACTCTTTTTTAGTTACGACTTCCTTTTTTATTTCTTTTACATCAAAACTATCAGCTTTCAATTTATATTTATGGATAAAAGAATAAGGATACATCAAATACTTCACAAAAGACTAGAATATTTTTGGTAGATCTAATTCTTATAATTTCACTTTATAAAATTAATTCTAAACAGTTAATATCTGATCTACATTATTATGAACACCATAAAATTTAAATTGCCTTACAGTTTCAAATTTTTCTTAGGTCTCTTCTAATCCTTGTTGGAGAGATAACAACACTTACAATTTCATCCTCAAAAATTCCATTTCTTGATAATCCTTATCAATACATTCAATATTATGATTTTAAATGTATTTTAATCGTCTTTTAATACCACTCAATAAAGATCTTTATTCTAAATCTCTATAGTTCTCACTACTTAAAGAAGCTAAAATATTCTTTGTTTGGGCTTTACTGCTCTTCTTATTTACAATTTTGTTTAGACTTTTGACAACCTCAACTACTCTTTTGAATTTTTTAATCCCTTTAAAAGGTTGTAAAGTGAAATCATCGACAAGCAATGATAGTGATTTTTTTGATATCATGTTTTATACAATACTCCTTCTTGATTATTAAGGTTATTAAAAAGGTTATTATTTAGGAGATGACTCTAATTGAAACTCTTCCTTTATAGAATCTGCCATTGTATAATTTATTGATCTTATAAATTAAGGAGTATGCAACTTTTGTTTATCTTTTTCAGAATCATCGTCAATTTCCTCATAAAATAAACATTATTTATAATTATCAGCTTAAAACAATTTCGCTGTTTCTTGAATCAAATCTAAATCATGTTTAACTGAAAAATATCCATGTTATCTTTTTTGATTTCTTCGAAATTTTAATTTCATTGATTCATTCCTTTTTTAAAATCTAGAAAATTAATATTTTTTTATAATGAACTCTTTGTCAGGAATAAAATGAACTAAAGGGCAATCAATTACCTTATGAGCTATGCTATTACAGGAAAAGCAAGCTAATTTAAGAAACTAAGAGTCTTCATTTAAAATTAAATCATCATGCATTTCTCTAAAGATCTCATAATCTTCAGGAAATTCCGGAATAATTTTCAAAAAGTCATCTCTGGATAATAATAATAGTTTTGAAAATCCTAAACTCTTGAATCTTTCTCTGGCTTTTACTCCAGTTATGAAAGACATTAATCCAAGACTACTGCCTTTAGAAACAGTATTCACAATTGAAATTGAATTATATGAAACATGGTTTTATAGCATTTCATTCTCAATAAAAATTTAGATTTCCCCTTCCTCAACAAAACATATACATTGATTCAGCTTCTATTCTGGAAAAAAATGATTGAAATCTATAATGTTTTCTGGCTATACAACAATCGATTTGATCTTTTTAACCAACTTTTTCTTTAATTATTCACTAAAATAATTCTTAAATAAAGGACAATTATTTAAAATCATAGAATTCGCTTCAAATTATAGGTTTTCTCTGAGGTTTTCGGATAATTAATTAATAATTTGCTTTTCTTCCTAAGTTTCTTCTTGTTAATTACAAGACCAATAGTAATTCAAATATTCTCTTATCTTAAATTATAATTAATAACTAATCTTTTTATTTTGCATGTAAGTATTTATTGCTTACACCTTCTTTCTCTTCTCTTTTGTATAAAATGATATTTTGTCTATGATCGCTCCTACAGTACTTACACTATAAGATAATTAAATGCTGCAAATCATCATAAACATAATGCATAATACTGTTTCTAAGCTACTTTACGGAGTTATATCACCATAACCTACTGTAAACATAGTAACAGTTGAAAAATAAAAGGAATATAGATACTATTCATTCCAATTCATTTAATCTAAGTTTTTTAAATGTAACCAAGTTTTGTGATTATTTTTTAATTAGTAATATCCAATCCAAAACCATAAACAAGAAAATATATGTAAGACAAAAAATAGTAAAAAAAATAATTTGCCTAATTCTAACAATGAACTCATCTATTTTGATAAATTTAAAGCTTCTTCAACTTATTCTGATAATTTTGATACATTCTTATATTAAATAAGAAACAACAGTAATAATAATTGATACCAATTCTCAGTTAAGCTTACTGTTTAATTTTTGAACACAGATATTATTAAAAAAATTATTAAGAATAAAATTGATACAATGTCTAATCCATAGCTTTTTGTTAAAACATATTGAACAATTTTACGTCGATCAGTTACAATAGACCCAAATTCATAAAATGCTTGATTAAAACTGATAATATAATCAATTATTAATAAGGCAAGCATAAGCGAAGTAGGTATAATTAGAAAATCAAACATAAATTATTCCATTTCCCAAGCAAGATCTAGAGGAATTATAAAGATGAAATAAAATCTTGCCGCTGTCACTATTCCATCCCATATCAATTTCAATTTTGATTCTGGATATATTAATGGAATTTTTTTTATGAATAATACCCATCTTTATTGAATTTAAGAGGTTATTTATTTAAATCTCCTAGAAAATTGATTTTCTATTTTTCTAACTTATTTTACAATAATAGGTGTTAATTTTATAGTGTTTTCTCTAAATAAATTTATATCAAATGAAGCACCCAGATCATTGATTACTTCGAAGTGATATCTATCAAATAAGGAATTTAGCTTCTTTTTAAATGATATTTTGTGAACAAACTTTTGAATTAGAAAATATTGGAAAAAATCTCTATAAACCTTTTCTTGTGTTGTATTTACACTTATTCTGTCTTAAGAGTGTGATTTTTAAGCAGATGAAAGATAGCTAGGTTTAGTTTAATTTATATTATTAGGAGAAATTGGAGTTGAATTTTCTTATTCTTTATAATTCAAATTCATTGAGTTTTCGCTAACATTTTTTCGATTGTCTTTAAATTTGCTTACTGAAAAATAAACCTCAGACAATGAATAGTTTAGAAAATCCTATTAGTCATCTAAAGGTTACTCTGTCATCATTAGCTATGGAATTTGTGTTGACATCAACTTGATTTTCAATTAGAAAATTTACTTTTGTTAAAATTTATATAGTTTAATGATTGAAAGTCAAAAGAAAAAATGTTCAAACTACCGAAATACTAATGGTTTATCATTTGTAATTTACCTAGCATTTATTTGATCATAAATATTTTCTCAAAATAATCATTATATTCATGTGTTTTATATGTAAAAGAATTTCCTTAAAATCAAGAAAAATAATATTAGATGAAAGAAAATAATTATTTTTTTGATTATTTTAAATCAGATTTTGATTGTTGGAAGATAAACATTAGTATACATCAATTAAATTTTGATTAATATATTCTTAAATTTAACAATCACAAATTATTTTAATTATCATTATCATTTATAAAACACATTTTTAATAATCACAATTCTTTTCTTAACAAGCACTTTTACAGAACTGAATACACTGATTCTTAATAATTTTTTAGATTCTTTTGTTTTATTTGAGAAAAGCAGCTGTGAATTTCTTAATTCAATTTTAAACTTGTACGACAATCTTGTTTTGATAATCTTCTTTTCAAGTCACTCCACACATACTCAATAGGGTTTAATTATGGACTATATGGAGGCAAATAGACATGATTAACATATTTTTAAAACCTCTTTAGTCAGGTTATTTTCCTTATGAACTGAAGCATTATCAAACACGAAGACATAATTACTCAATCCATATTGCTAATTACAAACATGAACTAATTTAATTAGGTAATTTTTAATGAGCTCTGCATTCACATTGCATCTTACGCACTAATACAATAAAAGATCCTTGCTGATTCCCCCAATTATGTTTATCCTATCTCTAATATCCATTCTATCAATAAAAAATGATTAATTTTTCTTACACCAAACTTTAGGTCTAATGTAATCCTTACCTAATCCTGTTTCATCAATATAAATTATCTCTTTCTATTGTTTTATATGGTAAAATATAGTTAATGCATATACATATTATTTACTTTTATTAACCCTTGTTGTGGCTTTAAAATTAATCTTTGATGCTAGCTTATAAGAAATTCCCATAGATTTGACTATTTTGATGAAGCTAGACTGTGATATCTGATTTTTACTTAATTTAAAATGATTTAAAAAATCATTAAAAATATGTTACATTGAACTCAATTAAGTTTAATTTGAGTTAACTAAGTATTGATTAATCCAATCGCTATGTTATTCTTCAATCCAAAATAAATTTTCGTTTGTTTGATTGCACTCTAAATCCAATTCGAAATTTAGTTATTTCAATTTTTTTAAGATAAGCCAGTGCAAACTGCTTAGGTGAAAATAGGAATTTTATTGTAATGAAGCTTTTTGATTATCTTTTTCATATTGTTGTGTTGCTTATATTGATTTTGAAAAGGCAGTGGGTGTTATTTAATTATCTTTTATTTTACGGTCTTTTGTTTTCGTTTGGCACTTTGTTGAATAAGTTAAGAACAAAATTATATTGCTTCATCATGTTAGAGTGAGTAATTCAGATTTCGTTCTTGAACTAATCGCAATTTATTTATTGTTCCAAATGATCTATAATAATTCAAACATTGGCCAGAGCAATCATGATCATTCAACAAGATATTTTAGCAGAGATAATGTTTAGAATCCAAGCTTTATCTGCCTAATTCTCTATCGCTTTCCAACTCCTCTACTTACATCTTTAATTAGAAATTAAATAAAAAATGTCTGTTAATAATGTAAAAAATTTCATAATATAAAAACATTATTCAAAAATAAACTTACTACTTCAATTATTACTAGCATTATTATCATGCTCTAATTAAATAATTCAAATTTTCAATTTTTAATTCAAAAATCCATTTGTTAATTCAAAAATCCAATTCTGAATTTGAAAATAAAAAATTATATTTACATTTAACGACCATGCAATTTCTATCAAGGAAGCCAATGCTGCCATAGGTTCTGTAGATTCAGCCTATAATGGCATCTTATTGAAAGGATACTACATTCCTAAAAGATCAAGCTCTCTAATAACAACTGATTATTTATTTAAGGTAATGACTAATAAGGTATTCCGCATTAAAATTTCTGATGTGAAGATTGGATAATTAATATAAAAAGCTAGTTCATAAAAGCTATTAGAGGGCTTGGAGTAATTGAATATTGGAAAGCCATGGGGATTTGATTAAGATCACCATCCAGACAATTAATGGATGGTGAATGTTTTATTCACATTAAACCCAAACCATAAACTGTTTAAAGATTCTGTTCATGAATGCTAATCTATATTAACTTAAGAAGACTTGAAGTAATTGTTTTTGTATTATTAATATAGAATGATATAATCTTTTAATACATCCAGCGAACGACAGTCACAAGGAAGGTTTTTTCAAAGAACAAAATAATAGACTCTTGAATACAAATTATAAATGAAATAGGTAAGAGCCTAAAATAAATAAAATAAACTTAAAAATAAAAAATAAGAGATCATTAAATTGAATCAATAGATTGAAGAACTAGAAGATGCTTCTATTTAAGAAGAGCACTAAACATGAATGTACTACAAGATATTTAATTATTATATTTAATACATATTTTGAAAAGTTATAACTATTTTAATTATAAAGTATGTCTTTAGCTCTCTATTAGTATTGTTGTAAGTAAGAGATCAAATCTTAAATTTACTTGCTTTTAGAATGCTCTTAAAGAATATTAAAACTAACTGGATGATTTCATTATTTTACTGAAAAGGGATAGAAATTATAAGTACCTTTATATTAGCATTTAGTTAATTGAATAAACACCATAATGATATATATGACTTTAAAAAATAGTTCATTATCATACACATGAGTTAATTAGCAAAGCAGTTTCAAATAATCATTTAATAGTAGAAAGTAATTAAATAAGGAATATTGGATATTATACATTTTAATATTGATTTATAGATTTTCAGTTAGTAGTACGTTAGTTGTAAAAAGAAGAAATAATCATCTCAGTTAAAGCAGTGATAACAATTAATTGATAAAATATAAGGAAGATTACAAAAAAAAAAAGAATAGAAAGCATCCTAGATGAATAAATCACATTGAGCTTTATAAATAGAAGAAAGTATAATAAACTTAAATTACTGAAGACTTAAATGATTAAAGTAAAAATAAATAATGCAGAGATGGAAATTAACTGTAAAATTTGACTGATGATAATAAAGTGAACATGATAATTTAGAAAATATAAAATTAAACCAATGAATATATAATCTAAATTTAATTCATGTANTCATAAAAGCTATTAGAAAGCTTGGAGTAATTGAATATTGGAAAGCCATGGGGATTTAATTAAGATCACCATCCAGACAATTAATGGATGGTGAATGTTTTATTCACATTAAACCCAAACCATAAACTGTTTAGAGATTCTGTTCATGAATGCTAATCTATATTAACTTAAGAAGCTTGAAGTAATTGTTTTTGTATTATTAATATAGAATGATATAATCTTTGAATACATCCAGCGAACGAACGACAGTCACAAGGAAGGTTTTTTAAAAGAACAAAATAATAGACTCTTGAATACAAATTATAAATGAAATAGATAAGAGCCTAAAATAAATAAAATAAACTTAAAAATAAAAAATAAGAGATCATTAAATTGAATCAATAGATTGAAGAACTAGAAGATGCTTCTATTTAAGAAGAGCACTAAACATGAATGTACTACAAGATATTTAATTATTATATTTAATACATATTTTGAAAAGTTATAACTATTTTAATTATAAAGTATGTCTTTAGCTCTCTATTAGTATTGTTGTAAGTAAGAGATCAAATCTTAAATTTACTTGCTTTTAGAATGCTCTTAAAGAATATTAAAACTAACTGGATGATTTCATTATTTTACTGAAAAGGGATAGAAATTATAAGTACCTTTATATTAGCATTTAGTTAATTGAATAAACACCATAATGATATATATGACTTTAAAAAATAGTTCATTATCATACACATGAGTTAATTAGCAAAGCAGTTTCAAATAATCATTTAATAGTAGAAAGTAATTAAATAAGGAATATTGGATATTATACATTTTAATATTGATTTATAGATTTTCAGTTAGTAGTACGTTAGTTGTAAAAAGAAGAAATAATCATCTCAGTTAAAGCAGTGATAACAATTAATTGATAAAATATAAGGAAGATTACAAAAAAAAAAAGAATAGAAAGCATCCTAGATGAATAAATCACATTGAGCTTTATAAATAGAAGAAAGTATAATAAACTTAAATTACTGAAGACTTAAATGATTAAAGTAAAAATAAATAATGCAGAGATGGAAATTAACTGTAAAATTTGACTGATGATAATAAAGTGAACATGATAATTTAGAAAATATAAAATTAAACCAATGAATATATAATCTAAATTTAATTCATGTAGACAAGTTCAATAAAAAAACACGCCAGCAACAAAATGTTTTAGGTATCTAGTTTAATTAAAAATTATATTTTACAAGTGACATTTGTTGATTAGAAATTATAAATTCTGTTTAAAGGAATTAAAAACTAACAGTGAAATGAAGATAATTATTAGTTAAAAAAATCTTAGAAAAAGAATTGTATAACATAAATCAAAAAAAATCATTAGTAATATAATAATAATCTTAATATGAAACAGATTTAATTCTTCATACTGAGAAGGGTATATATTATAACTATATATAATTTATAGTTTGTTTTTGAGATTATATTTTATGCTTGATTGAATATAAAATTTAATAATTTCAAAAAAGAAGTCAATTCAAAAATTAAATATATATTTGTTATGATAAATACTCATATAGATATGAGAATTATAAGAATCTTATAGCAATAGTGCTGTTTTTTTTTAATCTAAAACCTACTTTTCAAACACAAAAAAATTTTAGTGCTTAGAATGTTTTCATATTTTATTTAGAGATGATTTGCTCCTTATAAAATAACACATTTCAGTTGATGATTTCTTTCATAAAAATTCCCTTAGCATTAAGTTGTATTCAGAGCAGTATGAGTTTGAAAAATATAATCAAAATATTAAATGAAGATAATCTATTAAACTTAGTTTTTCTAAGTAGAGCAATAACACTATTAATATGATTTATTTTTTATAAAAATAACGATAAATTACTTGAATTTATTTTCTATATTGTTTCTAATAAAATCTAGGTTTATTTATATTTTTATGCTTGAAAGTTATTAATATAATCAAAAAAAACATAATTTAATGTTCATAATAGGACTTTTATTTATCAAATTTTCATCTGGATTGGAGATAGATGTAAATACATTTTCAAATTACCTTGATGTATAAAATAAGCATATCCATTTTGAATGGCTATTAAATATAGAAAAAAAATAGATTAATGCAACAGCTAACTATAAATTTCATGTTGCAGGATCATCTATTAACAAAGTTTATTCCAAAACTATGATAGATTTGTTTAGACATAAAGGATTTGAATATCTATTCAGTTTATATGGACAATGGACATCTTCTTCACCATATAATTGATTATCCATATGTGAATAGTGATTAAGGCTAAAGATTGAATATATTACTTAATCGGGAATATCGAAGGGGTGAAATTATTATGTTATCAATCAAATACTCAATCGATTCTCGATCTGAATCAGTTAGTTTTATGAATGTGTCATAGACATCAACGAAAAGTTAAAATTTATATCAATATTTCTAGGCATGCCTTTTTTATTTACATAATGTGAAGATGCTTATTGCAGATCTCTAGCACCATTATAAGATACGCCTGCAATAAAATAAACGTATTCTGCTTCTATCATTTACAAAAATACAGAAGCAACAGATGTTTTTATGTCAGCTGATGAAAGCTAAGAATAATTTAAAATTTAAAACCATCCCTAAATTGATCCAAATTTCACTTGGAAATATAAATATTTTATATAAAAAATTCCGATCCCAAGCTACTTAATTGCCATAGTCGCAGGTAATTTAAAAAAGGTACCCACAAGTAATGGAGATAGAACCTTTTTAATTAGCGAACCAGATAAAATTAATGAATACAAAGAAGAACTTAAAGATATGGAATAATTTTTATAGGCTATTGAATAATACATAGGACCATACACTTGGGGAACTTACACTATTGTGATATTACCTCCCTCTTTTCCTTATGGAGCTATGGAGAATCCATTATTAACATTTGCTAGCCCAACTATTATGACAAAAACAGGAAGCGGATTATATGTTGCCATCCATGAGATGGCTCACTCTTGGTTTGGCAATACAATAACATGTGTAAATTGGGGAAACATGTGGATTAATGAAGGATTTACTGTATTTTTAGAAAGAAAGGCTTCTTCATTTTATTATAAGGTTCCTGATGATATTAAATTAAATGCCATAATTGGAAATGCTTCAATGTATGCAGATATTCTGAATTTCGGTCCTGATAGCAATTTTACATCTCTTCATCCTGATACAACAGGAATTAATCCTTAACTATCAATTTCTGATGTACCTTATGAAAAAGGATTCTAATTTTTAACATTTTTAGAAGGAATCATTGGAGAAGAAGATTTTAAATTTATGCTAAGATCGTATTTAGCAACATATATGTATAAATCTATTGACCAGCAAGAATTATAAAGCTTTATCATTCGATACTTATATGAATAACGTGTAGATAATTATTCAACTAAAAGATATCAAATCTTAGAGCATTGGGATTCTTGGATTTTTCAACCAGGATTACCACCTATTAGATTAGATTTTTCAACTAATAAACTTATTGAAACTTAATAATATACTACTTCTTACATACTAGCTGATGGACGATAACCTGATCATTATGATGATTATTTTAATTTTTATCCATCCTAGAAGAAGGTTTTCTTGGAAGAATTATTTAAAAAAGCTCAAAATAAAGAATTAAAATAATAAGTTATACATCAAATAGACGAAGATCTAAAATTAACTGATGAAAATGACTATGAATTAAAATTTAGATGGTTTAAAGCCATTTTGACTGCTGGAGATCGAACCCGTTTTACTAAAATTTCAGACTTCTTAGGATCGGTTGGTACATGTGAAATTTCCTGCCCTGTCTACTAAGCATTAAATGAATTAGATCAGTATTTTTTTTATTTATTTAAGCGAATTTGCGGTTTAAACATTTAGAACTCATTAAGAATTCTACCATTAAATAGTAAGATAAAGCATTAAAAGAATTCTAGAAAAGAACAGTTAAATTTAATAATGAATAACATATATATTTATTATTATTATAAAATTATGGGAGGAGATTAATAAATCAAATAGCATTTATTTTGTTTAATCATGTTATGTTAATAATAATATAGAGTATTTTTAGAAATTTAAAATTTATTTTTGAATTGAGTTCATGCTTCTATTTAATTATTACAAAAATGATAAAATTATATTAAAATTTCCAGATGCAGTCTAAATTTTACTACATTTCTTATTTTATTAGTAGATCTACTTCATATATTAGAGAAAATTATATCTAAAGATGAATTCTTTTTTAAAATTAAAAATAAATAAATACCTTAGAATTAAAGGGTTAATTAATAATTAAATTCATTACCCTTTAATAGATGACAAAATAAGAACAAATTTATTATGAAATACATCATTCAACCTGAGGGAGCTAGTTTATGACAGTATAGTACTTTCAAGCGAAATTATTTTAAGAATTGAAGATGCCATTTTTGATTAATTTTAAACACAAAAGTGTGAAAATTTATATTAATCAGTTTAAAAATTATCCAAAATTAAGGTTTAATTTTGTATTCTTATTCTGATTTATAAAAGATTTCAAAACTAATTTAACCATAAAGATAATTGATAATACTTAAAAATAAAATCACTTATTTATTATTTTGTTTAATAACTATGTTCTTAATATTTTCTGTTCTTCAAAATCATCTTGTTCAAATATTGTCTCTTTTAAGTTTAATTGATTATATTAGTTTATTTTCATAAGCATTTTTGATTATTTTTTTTTTAATTATATTATTAATTCTTCTGATTTTACGTCCCCCCTTACAAACAAGACATCAACAGGTTAAAATATTTTCAGACTTTTTATTAGGTTTTCTTCATCTTCCTTGCTTTCACTTAAATGGAAATCAGTCACAACTATACTTATTAGATTTGCAAATTTCCTAAAGTACTTATAAACAGAAATCAATTTTTTTTTCATTAAATCAGTTCTTTCAAAATTCACTACAATAAATATTGAAGAAATTCTGTTATCAACTTATTTGAAAAATTCTTAAAATTTTTTGATTTGAACCTCTCTCCAATCTATCTCACTCTCAAAATCGAATCCTGAAGTGTCAACAAAATTGTATTATAATTCTTATAATTTATACAATGTAAATTCTTTTAGACTTTTTTCATTTGGAAATAATTTATGCATAATAAATGTTTTTCCAACTCCTGGAGCACCTAATAAAATTGCATTATGGTAATTGTTATTTTCAACCTTACCATTTTATTTTGATATATGTGAGTCAGATATAGGTTTCTGTTACATTTAGATAATTTTATTTTTATGTTTGGACGAATTTTCATTATTTATTATTTGAGGAAGTTTCTGTTAATTTTAAGTGATTGTTTTGACAAAAATTAACTATTATATTAGTTTTGATGTTTAATTTGTATATTTGACTACACTTCTTTTAAAAGTTTCATTTTTACAAGAATTAACTTTTTCTTGTTGGTTTACTTTCTGAATTGGGTTCAATTTTATTTATAGAGGTTTTCTGCTCATTTTTTACTTTTTTTTTTAAATCTCATTTTTTCATATAATTCGGGCTTAATTTCAATCTTAATAGAATTTGAGTGTCTCTTAAGTACCTAGCAAATTATTTAATTCGTTCACATTTCTTATATAGAATTATAGAGTAAATTATATATATAATATTTTCTAACTTAAATAGGTGACAGGAATAATTCAGATTCTACTATTATATATAAGAAATCAAATAGTTGAAATTATTTATTTTCTTGTGCTCATTAAAATGATGTTGAATCTCCATATCATTGAAGTACAATTATCTACAATTTAAAGCGAGCATCAACTTTATCGCATGAATTTCTGAATTTATAGGGTAGATTGAATATTTATGTATAAATATTGGGTATGATAAATATTCAATTGAAATGTTTATCCATTCATAATCTAACTGAAATTACTTTTGAACCTGGAATTGTAATTATAATTCTACTTGGTGATTAAATACTCCTATAAAATCGTTTTCTTTAATTATTTTAGAATTTAAATAACTTAGAAGCTTATAGCTAAATCATTTTTAATTAAATCTAATTCTATCGATCATTGTATTCCAAAAAATACAAACCAAAAATCCAATGATTTCTTCATTTATACAACACTCAATTACCTTGTGAAATACTTCTAAATTTTGAGGAAATTAATTCCCTACAATTTTATTTCAATGCATTTTGATATTTTCATATATATTTTTTTACTTAGAACTTTTTGATTAAATTAATGAAGGATTAGCAAATTTCTAGTAAGAAATTATTTGTTTGATATTTGTTTCTTAGCATTTTATCCTAAAACAAATTCTTTCGAATTCAATTATAAATTTAAAATATTTATAAAGAGTTTTCATTTTTAGAAATAAGCCTTCCGATGTATATTTGAGCTGATTCCATATCCCAAGTTAGTAATAAATTTCCATCATTGCTTTGGCTTCCAAATAAATATCCAATTGAAAATTCTATTGATTAATATGATGTAAATATATGCTCAGAAGGCACAGCTCTTATTACATTTATATACTCGCAATTTTTACAATCGATAGATTCTTAGATTCAATATAAACTGATGGAAACCCTGAATAGCAATGGTGTTTTCTTCCTAAAATTGGGATTTCATGAAAAAATAAAACTATTTATTAGATGAATCGAACCTAAAAATTGCTAAGTTTCTACCATTATTAAAAGAATTAGGTTGGAGTACAAATATATCATTTGTTATAAAAGACAGGCGAAATCCATATTATGTAATTTTAATTGTATGTCTTACCATTTTTGATAGTTAGAGCCTTTAATAGTTAAAATTCTCTTATCCATACCACAAGAGATTAATTTATTGCCATCATAATTAAAGACTAAGGAGTTCACTTATTTTTATGATCATCAAATGTCTATTAACATAACTATTGTGATGATGAGACCCAAAATTTAATTGGATCCAGAAACAACCATATCCTCATTTTAGGATGCAAAACAATCTAACTTACACAAGAGTATGATTCTTCAATTTAAAAATATCATTCCTATCGGAAAATGTATCTAAAGACCAGATAATTAATGATGAGTCAAAGGAATCGGAAACGAAGAAATTTTTTGTTTTAAGATATTTGAGAGTCATTACTTGACCTGTATTTGCTACTGCTATTTCCTTTTAGATGCCCTCTTAAAATTTAACATAATTGGATTGAATTTCCATGGTCAAATACTAACAAATTTTTAGTATCATTTATTGCAAGAGCCAATACTTAGTGTCTATAATCTAATTAAGATATTAGTTCATAATTATACTTTGTTTCGTTTTAAGTTGTTGCTTCTTTTACGCATAATCTCCCATTTGAGAAATTTGATTTATATTTTAATTCAATTAATTCTTTCTTAACCATTTAGGAACTAACTTTTTTTAATATTTTGATAATTAGCTTTTTTATATATATTGGATTCAATAATTTATTGAAGTTTGTTTTTGAAATTTTCAATAAATGTAAAATACAATTTTTTTCTACTTAAAAATCATGAAGGAATATTGAATTAAATGGTTTATGTATCCAAATTAATTACAAAACTATTCAAATGAAGAATTATATCGATTTAATTACATAGAATTCAATAAATTCTCAATATAATTATTATGATTTACATACAGATTTTGGAACTATAATAATCAGCTTAATTAATTATTATTTTAACTAAACAGATCAATTACTGAGTTATATTCTAAATATTTCAATTCATCAATTTTGAATTCAGATTTTGTTTCTCAAATTTGTAAACATATAAAAATTATTGTTAGGTAAAGTAAAATAATTATAAATATAATAAATCAAAAATTTGGATTTATTTGAACTTTAAAAATAAACCCTTCAAATTTATCTAAAAATATATACAAAAATATTTATCAAAATATGTTGTGTAAATTGTTTGTTAGGAGGACTGATTAAATTTAGTTATTATCAATTAAAATTTATTGCAAAATATATTAAGTTTGCCTTTGTGTTGATTAAAGTGAGAACATTGCAAGAATATCGTAGATTGTGAGTTATTATATACATAATTAAAATAAAATATACTTTCGATATTAATATTGATTATTATATCCTTAGACATCTTTCATATATCATTTTTCTTTGTCAATTTGGTTTTTTATTATTGAACTCAACTTTCAATTTAGTAGCCTCTTCTATTACTATACTGAAATCTTTAAGTTTCTTTTCTGATTTTTCTGAGTTCTATTGATTAACTTATTATATTTTATCATTAAATGATATTGATTCTTATTCAAACAACAACTCATCTGAAAAATTTGACGATTCTAATTTCTCTATAAAAGTTGAACTTTAATAAAATTATTTAAGATCTTTCAATTCCTTTTACCATTTTCCTACATTATTAATTAATTGATCATAGTTTTCAACTATTTGTTTTTTACCTGATTACAGTAAAGTCATAAAATCATTTAGTTTCTCTATGTCTAATATGATTTAATTTATAAACTTTTAACAAATAGGATTGGATTTAGCTTTCTCTAAATATTTATTTCTCTTGTGTTATTCTATTACAGCACCATTAATAATGGCTTATATTATTTGTTACACTGAATTATTATCCTTTAATGAAATCTAAAAAGATTGAATATTATCTGACTGATCAAAATTTAGTTCTTATACTTCTTTTAAGTTATCTAAATGAGTCCCTACTATAACGAAAGGGTATTTTTTTTTTTCAGGATCTAATTAACAAACACGAGAAAAACTTTCCATCCAACCCTTAACATTGTTGTAGTTCTCTGGATAAGTTAAATCATAAACTATGACACAGCATTCAGATTTCCTGTAATATGCTTAACTTATACTTTAGAATCTCTCCTATCCTGATGTATCCCAAAACTAGAAGATTTAATAAATGTTTTACCTATAAATGATATTAAAAACCCTCAATAGTGACTTCTTTTATTCTTACATCTATTCCAATTGTTGCATAATAATGAGGAGTGAATTCACCAGTAGTAGCTTGATTGAAAAGTGTTGTTTTACCTGCTCTATATATTTATTAGGTTATATATACCCTTAATCACCGATAATGACAATGTTGACAATATTCTTCTATTGACTTTACATGTAATAATTAATATATTTAAGGTTATAAATTTTAAAAATTCCCAAAATTAAAAATAGTTGATGAACTCTTAGATTATAAGAAAAACAATTCTTATTATATTAGAGATAAAGGAAAGAATTCAAATTATATTATAATTACCTTCTATATAAAGTAATCTTTCTAGATGGACGGCTGAATTCAACAAATTATATAATTAACATTTTATTTGATGAAATATTAAATCAAATTTTCCTTTATAGTTATAGATTTTAGGAAGGTAAGTTTGTTAGAAGTATGATGAAGAAAAAAAGTGAAAATTTATATAAATTCTTGAATTAATTATGAATTCATTTAACTAAAGCATTTTCGTTTATGGTTATTTAAATAATGGTAATCAATAATTTTATGTGCTTAGGTCTTGTTTATTCAATTAGGGAAAATTCAATAAAGCTATATATATTAAAGCAATAGAAGAAAGTCCTTAATATGCTGCTTATCATAATAGAGGTGATTCAATATTTTAACAATCAGGAAATGCTTTTTAAAGTTTGGCCAATTTCGAACAAGCCATTAAAGATTATTCTTTAGTCATTGATATTAATCCCCAATATACGGCTTTCTTTAATAGAGGTATGAAATCGTTATTAATCATAAAAGCATTAGTATTGCAAAACAGGGAAAGTTTTAAGAAGCAATAATCGATTATACTAAATTCATATACATGGTTCCTGAAAATGCATCAGCATATAATAATAGAGGTAATGGAATATTTTAGGAAAGCAAATGCTAATTAGAATTTAGGAAATTACAAAGAAGCAATAGAAGATTACTCAAAATCAATTGAAATGAATCCTCAATATGCAGTTGCCTATAATAGAGGTAAAAATATTATGTATATTTTTGGCAATGCATATGTAAACCGTGGGAAATTTGATGAAGCTATAATAGATTGTTCAAAAGCACTAAAATTACAAAGATAAAATGCCTATGTTTTTATGTCCAGGTAAACAATTTTTATAAACAAGCAAATACATATAAAAATAGGGGAAATATTAAGAAGCAATAGACGATTTTTCTAAGCGCTTGAATTAAATTCTAAACATGCTGCAGCCCATTATAACAGGGGTAAAGAGGAACCTATAAAAAACAAGGACTCATCTTTTATGATTAGTAAATATATGAAAAAGCAATAATGGACTACTCTAAAGCCATTGAATTATTGCCAGCACACCCATTATCGTTTTAGTTTAGGTTGACTTTATTTTTCTCTAAAGGACTTAAATCAAGCTATGAGAATTTTAAAGAGCAATCGAACTTCTTTAAAAGTAACTCCCTAACAAAGATTTTAATTTCAACATACAAAAGATAAAATTATTTTTCTACAATAAAAAGTTAACATCAATAGACAAAGAATTATAAAATGTATATGAAGAAATGGAATATCTGCTGAAAAACAATATGATATTTGAAGTATATCATTAGCAATACTAATCTGAGATTTCTATCGTTGATAATCTTTTAGGATAATTCGCTCCTTCAAGATCAAAAGAAAATTAAGGAGAAATATTATATACGCTTAAATTGTAAATGGAAAAAATTTGAAATTGCAAAATAAAAATTTCTAAATTAAAGAGAAATCTAAATGACTTTGAGGATTCAAATTTCCAACCTAATGAAAAAAACCCTTTTAATTAAACAGAAAAATTATGAATAAATTTAGAATGTTCAAAGTAAAGAGAATTATTAAATCCAAAAATGAATTTGTATTAGCAGCCATTATTTTGGCATCTGTTTAATTATCCGTAAATTATAGATTTATTTCCATCGGATAGTTTTATGATCAATTCTAAATTTGATTCAAAATAAATCCTGGAAATAATCTAATAAAAAGATAATCTCAAAAATTCTATTGAGAGATTTGCTCCAATCAATAGAGAAGCTTTTGGTTTAATTAATTAAGCTTTAGATTTTATTGGAAATATTTAAGGAAAGAAGCTTTAAAGTAGAGTACTTAATTTAAATTAAATTTTACAAGCCTTTACAATAGATAGATCTGAATATAGAAGAGAAATAGAATAGCATCTTTATATTTGATGAATAATACGAAAGAAGATTTTCAAATAAATCAGTTCAATGTATTTGAAGTATTTGTAGAGAAGATTTCAATCTAAGAAATTGAATAATATTCGGAAAGCAAATTTTTGGAAAACTGGAATCCTACATACTCTGATAATTCTGTAATATTTTGATTAAAATGCTAATATATAATAAATTAATCTACCATTTGCACTTTTAAGGATATTATTGTTAGGTCAATTAATGAATTTAATTCTGAATACTTCATGATTGAGTATATTAAATAATAATGAATAAAAGATTATATCAGAATATTATATATATGAATAGAACCTTTTAATTATTTTTGAAATATTAAATAACATATTCAAGGATAGAGATTTTAATTAATAAATATCTATTGGAGGATTATAAAGTATTATAATTAAGTTTATATGAATCTCATATATAATCACAGCGAATCAATCCATTTAAATTAATTATCAAATATGTGTTATTCATTATATTTGAGAATAACCGTTAAAATTAGTAAAATATTATCTAAATTCGAATTCAAATTATGTAGCATTATTGATTTATCTAGCAACTAATAAGCTTGATGGCTTAAAAACACCTATCAAATAAGATAATAGATGAATAACCTGGAATAGCTAATAATAACATTTTGATTAATTTTAAATAAACTGTAGGAAATTCAGATTCACAGAAATCATTTTTCTCTGTATAATCTTATTATAATCTCTTTTCTCAAGGTTTCATATGTTACTAAATAGTTTCCATCGTTTGAAATAGTACCAAATAATCCACAACAATCACCCTTATTCTCAATAGAATATTCTGTTTTGAATTCACCATTACCATTAAGTCTAATTAAATTGACATTTTATCCATTTTTATTTAATAGAATTTATTTATCTTTAATAAATTTTTAAGGGAAAAACTATGAACAAGTAGCATCTGACTTAATGCTTACCTCTTGTTCTATTTTAATAAATTATTAACTGATTGTATTTAATTGATAGATATGCATTATATTTAATTATTAAGGTTAAAATGTAAACATTGAATCAGTTATGAAGCATAAACTATAGCCATAATTTTACGTTAATATCTTTTATATTGTATTCTATTTTTTATTACTACCTTACGAGATGATCAATAATAATTGATCTTCACCACATGATATCAACTAATTCTATGATATATTCAATGATAAGCATCGAACTTTTTTTGTATGATCTCTGATAATGTCTAATTGCATCTCCATTATTAATTCTCTTAAACCCAAAACTTAATCGTGGTATCAAAACTACCAGATATGATACAATCTTCTTGATTTATTCATTATTAAGCAATTAACTCTATCAGTGTGACCTTCTAATTTTTGATAACTCTGCCATTCTTTTTAATTATTCATCCTCCAGACTATTATCTATTTATCATTGCCAGCAGATATAAAAGAAGAAGAATTTTACATGAAATATAAACTTTGAATATAACTTGAATGATCTTTAAATTGTTAAATTTCTTTTATTTATCCTACATTAAATTCAAAAACCTTTATTAATCCGCCTTCTAAACCAGCAATTAAAATTGATGAGTCATAATTAAATGCAAATGCTCTACATTTACTACTTTCTGAGATTTAGGAGACTATTTCATAGGTAAATGGCTTGAAAATAGAGGGTATGATTTACTTATTAATTTATAACGAAAGAATGAGAATTACAGATTATAGGGATAGCGATTTTTAAATTTAAGATTCAACATTAATGTTATTTTTATCTACTTTTTCATTTGCAACAAAGGACTTACCATTGGAAGTAATTTAATATGGAAATGTAGAGTTTATCAAATTTTAGAGTTGTTACATTTGAACATAAATCATTGAATCAATAGCTTAATCTTTGGATTAAAATTCTTATTCTATCATTTGATCAACTAAAGCTAATTTATTTTACGAACTCATAAGATCAACAATATTAATTAGATTTTCTTTACTTAAGGCTTGCCATGTTTTTTAAAATAGTATATGATGATGTTTAAGATCGTCATTTTCTAATGCAACTTTGGATTAAATTGATTCAGTTAATTACTCGAATAGCTTCAAAACTATTTCTCGAAACTCCTTAAGTTAACGAACTACTTATTCTTATTTACTTTAAGTATTGCTTTGCTAAAAATTAAATAATTTCAATGCTTATTCGGTATACTTCTACCACTTTTATTGCAATAATTCTAAATTTGTGTATTAAATAGGATATTCAGGCACACTCTCAAGACAAGCTAATCTATTGTGAATACTTTTTTATTAGGATAAATCAACAAAAACTATTTCCTATTAACGCTTATCGCATCTCCAATCTGTCTTTAAATATGTCAATTGATCAATAAAGGACCCAAGATTAAAGAGTTAATTTAAAGTCTCCCTTTATTCTCCAAATTTTAAACACTATACTAATTGTTGACATTTTTACAAAAGTTGAACATTGAATAAATTACCGATTTGACTCTAAATTATATCTTATAATTCCTTATTATTAATGAATTAATATAAAATTGAGCTTTTATCAATATTGATATTTTCTATTTGATCTAATGAAATATCAGTTAATTCTTTTTAGAATTACATTGAAGACGCTTCTATAGTCTTTATTCCAGAGTCTATATTTACTTTAATTTTATCAATTAAGAGATTGAAATTTTATGCAAGATTCCCTAAGCTATCTTTAATGTCATTTAATATTCCTATGTTATATTTATTAAGTGACTCTCTTTCTTCTATTATTCCAGCCTTTGTTTCTTAAAGGTACTTCTTTGCATCATCTATTAAAATTAGGTTCGTTAATTTTAAATTTTGTTTTTTGTCAATAACACATTTATGGCAAAGTCTTATTGTTTTTTTCTCTGAAATGGATCTTGCAAGAAATACAACAAGTTCATTGTGATCTTGACAACGCCATATATAATTTGACATTTCCATTATTAAATTCTATTATAAAATTTATAATAATAATAATAACATCAAAAATATTTTCTCAAATGTAAATTACTATAATAGATATACATATATTAATGCAAAGCAAGGTTTTACATATATTTATGAATCTTGATCATCTTTTTATCCTTTATGATATTATAGTACTAGTATTTTGCAGCATTAACATTAAGATAACATTAACTGTATACGAAAATACTCTGCATCAATAAAGTTATGGAAAAATTTGAATATCAAGGTCAGTTCAAGATTGAAAAAAACATAATCAATATGTCTTTAAGATTTAGACGAATGATTACCTCTTTTGAAATTTAGAACTATAGTTTTTGAAACTATATTGATTAAGGCGAATAGAAATATTTGTTTAAAACTAGACGTTAGATTATTTTTTAATTAATTCCAAAAAATAATAGAAGATATTTAACTAAATTGAAACTTTATTTTCTTAGATTAATAAGAACCAAATATAAACAAAGAATTAAATGAAATTATCAATAACAAATATATGTTTAAAATTTAGATTTCTACAAAAAATGAAGTGTAATTAGATAGAAAATTCATTTTAAATACTAGAGGAATGAAGTGTAGAGCATTATGTACTCTATGAAAAACATAGAATCAAAATATACTTAAATAATATCAGATGAGTATTTTTAAATTGTTTACATTAACAAATTATCTTAATTGTTCTCAGCCTTAATGCTCACTATATGTAATAAGATGAAGTATTTTCAACATTCATGAATTTTAATGATATGTAATCTAACAGAATATGAACAAAGAGATTCTATGATATAAAGTACCTTCAAATTATTAGGTAAATAAAACAATAAACACATATGTGCCCAAATTCATGATTATAAATTCTAATATTTATAAAAGCAATAAATAATTCTTTATGGAATAATCATTTGATTATGTTATCAATTATTTTTATTAATTTAAAGAAATATTATATATTTAGTAAGATTCTAAATTGTTGCAAATTCAATATTTAAGAATTTATAGAATATTGTATTTAATTTATATAATAATTTATTTCTTCATTAATAATTAAAATCAATTATTTTAGTCATCAATGATCTTATACTTTCTTACTTCTATTTTTTCTAATTTCTAATCCCAAGTAATTAAATATTCACCATCTTCACTTAATGATCCATATTATTCATAATTATCAAAACTTAATGAATATAATAATACAAGCTCATTATTTACAGGATTATGATATACAAAATTAAGATTTTAACTATTTTTACAAGCAAAAAAACCTTTTGAATTAATATATTAGGGCTTGAAAAATATATTGCAAGGCTAGGATTTACACTAAACAGGTAGAAATTATGTTATAACATACTTTTCATTTTAATCTTATTGGAGCAATTAAAGATTTTTTCCACAATAGGATTGAAATATGAAATCTGAATCATTTATGAATAGAATTCGAAAACTAAAGTTTAGTAAACTAATCTTTTATTTCAAAACCAATTAATAAGTTTCCATGTTTTATATTATTTCCATAATTAACATTTTGTCGTCATATCCACATGATACTGCTTTATTTTATTTTGAATTAATATCTAAAGCATAGACAGAATTCATATGACCTTTAATAGTCTATTAGCAGGACCATTGACAGCTACCTTAATTTTATTAGTAGCAACTCCATAATTTAATTTTTTAATCCATCGAGCCAGATAAAAACATCTTTTAATTTTAACCGATAACTAAACAACTAATGGCTCTCTTATGTGAGTCCAATTTCTGAATGTATTTTTGACTTCTTAATTAATTTATTGATCGAACTTCTATAAAACTATCACATGAACCCGATAAAAATTAACACTTTCTGTTGTAATTAAAAAAAGTCAAGACTGTGATAGTAAATCGACTTTTTGATAGTATTTATATTAATTTTAAATATCCATCATTAAATTGGTAAACTTTAATATTGTTATCACAACAGACTAAGAGTAATTCTTTATTTTGATTGAAAGCAATAGCATTGCACACTTACTTTTGAGGGATTGTTAATTCTGAGAGTAATTCATAACAAAATTTTACTTAATCTCTTTGAATCTATTATTATTACATAAATATACAATTAATCAATAAATACGCAGAAATTAAACTTTGCAGATGGAAATTATGCTTAAATACATCTATTATGAACAATTCCACAATTGAATATTGGATTAGCAAAGAATAAATAAGATTTTTCTGAAAGAGTTTATAAGTAAAATACAGTAAGAAGATCTACGCAGATAAAAATGACAAGTCCCCATAGGAAAATTGATAATAAGAAAACAATTCTCAAATAAAATTTTTGGAATAGTTTGAATAGTGAAGATTTTTTCATTTTAGATGATTGATAATAATTTTTGAGTTGATTTTCTTTTGGAAGTAAAGAAGAAAATAGTCTGATTTAACTATTTGACAAATTTCTTCTATCATTTCAACTTAATTAATGTCACACTTTTAATAAAAATTAGAATCTCTATAAGATAGAATTAAATGTGAAACTACTTATTGCATATAAATAGGAATGAATCAAAAAAACAAAAATCATAACATCTAGAAAGGTATTTCAAATAGCTTAATATATATTGCAATTTCTTGTTTGTAATTATGCTTGCTTTTAATGTATATGAGTAATATATTATATCAGATATTAACTAAGTACGTGATAATTTGCAAATAGTTTATAACTTCTATGATATTATTATATTATAAAATGTAATTTGTAATATTATATATATTTTATTAAGATTGTGGTTCAATCTGATTCTTTTAACTTTTATTTGAAGATTTCAAAAGAGAGATGTAATTTATAAATATTAAAATTAGAATGATTTGATTTAGTATTAAAAATAATATTAAATCCGAAAATGCTCAAAATTACATTTCTTTTTTTGCTTTGTGGATTTTCTGTATTTGGTTAGGATGCAGTTATTCCCAATATTTAATGTGCATGCTAATAGATTATGAGCTAAGTAGAATGCAATAATTGGAATTGCTAATGGATAAGTACAACATCATAGGCAGGTTATTGTGGATAAATTCAGTGTAGTTAACTAAATTAATAGCAATGCCAAGACGAAAACGTTAGATGTTATTACTAAGAATCTAGTTAATAAATTAGTTGCTTTGTTTTTGATACTTGTGAAAACATTAGAACAACAACTGGATAGTCATGCTAATAAGCTAATCCAAAGTGTGTATAATCAGAAATAGATATAAATAAATGTATTTCCTCAGGAGAAAAATGCCAAGGATTATCATAAAGTCAGTGTACAGTAACGTAGGATATATAGGACACATATACTTTGACAACGGAAGGAATGTGCTTTTGGAATGTTTCATCTTGTCAAGTTGTGAGTCAATGTGCAGAAATTTAATATGAAAGTATATGTAATAAAAAATGGCTAAATTATGCTTGTTATTGGACTGGTACAAAATGTGTAAGTTAAACATGCTCATAATTTCAATCTTAGAATACTTGTCGATTTATTCAAACAACTCCTTTGAATGGTGCTTTAATTCAATCATGTTTTTGGAATGGTCAAACTTGCACAAATGGAACAACTGATCAATTAACTGAATACACTTGTGCTGCTAATACCAATTATCATTATAGATGGGTACCAATTGAACCATTATTTGGGATTTGTGCGTAATGTATTCTAAATTAATATGATTTACCTAATGATTGTGATTGTACACAACTATTACTATAATCTGAATGTAATAATTCTCCAAATTGTAAATGGGCCAATGGTAAATGCATAAAAGTATAATGTTCAGAGTATACATCATAATAAAAATGTGCATAAATTTATGGATGCTTTTGGAATGCACTTATAATTCCTTCTCTATGTCAGCCATATAGTAATTGTGAGGAAATATTAGAAAAGAACTCCTCTACTTGTATTGCATCCTCAATCTATTGCCCAGGGTCCTAAGATGGTCATTGTTTATCTTAATCAGGCTTAAGTACATGTTCAGAGCTCTTCAACAACAAACCTATTTAACCTAGTATTTGCTATAATTCTATAGGGAAGGATGGATATTGTACTTATGAACCAGGAAATCGCACTTGCACGAATGTTTCATAGTGTAGTGGTCAGTTAACAGATGTCTGTAATTAATTTTATAGAACTTGTATTTGGAATAATAATATGTGTTAAAACAAACAATGCGAAGATTATTAAACTCAAAGTAGTTGCACTTATGTTTACAGTTCCATTAATGAAGCTAATATCAACATTTGTACTTGGAATGAAGACACAAATAAGTGCAAGAACTTTGATAATTCAATATACTTTGATATAAATTCATGCTACATATAATCTGGAAGAACTCATCGTTGGAGTCAACCACGAAGTACTATCTAAAAGGGATTCTGTTTACCATGTAAATTTTCACATGTTTTGAATGTCAAATCTAAGTGTGAATGCCAAGACTTTAGCCAGTAGATTGAATGCATGCAATCTTCCCCCAATTGTTATTGGAATTATAATACAAGCACATGTCAAATTTAGAATTGTAGCTCCTTAACGAATTAAGGTTCTTGTATATTCAACAAAGATTGCTATTGGAACCAATCAAAAAATTGCACTCATATCTCTAATTCAACTTAATCATTTTGTTCATCATTATAGGGAAATACATAACAAGAATGTTTAAGCCAATCCATTCTTTGCGCTGGAATCACCAAAACAGGCTTATGTTAATCCTCCTTGCAATAGTGCAATGATTATTAAGAATATTATTAATGTTTTGGTTCTTTAGGTGCTGATGGCTTGTGTTAGTGGAATCAAACTACTTCTGTGTGTTCAGGTACTAGCAATTGTACAAAGATATTAAACTCCATCTTATGCAATACTATGTTACGCTCTTGTTATTGGTATTAAGGCTAATGTTATGCATATAACTGCACTTCTCTATACAGTTTAAACTAGAGTTGTGATTACTATCTTAGTTAGCCTAATTAAAATTACGAAGTCAAATTTTGTAACTTAAACGGAAATGTGTGTGATGAGACTTAAGATCTTAATACTCGAACTTCACAAAACTGCTATAATTCCACTGGAGGAATCGCCAGATGGGATAACAATACTGGATGTGAAAAATGCTATGGTTAATTAATCAGTATCATTATTATCATCTTGATTTCCATATTATGAGATATCCGATTTATAGAGTTGGTCAATTTAATATTAAAATCTGTATTTAATAACATTATTGTTAATAAATAAATAATTATATAATATTCAAATACTTAATTAAAAATTCAATATCCTTCATATTGATTTATAATTATAACTATAAGGAAAGTTGCTCAAAACCTATTTTATTCATATATCTAATATCTATTAATGAGATTCAACTATATCGTTAGGAATCTAATATCTGATTTTATTATACTTGAATATTTTAAAACATATTGTGTTTTAGTATATTATATTAATTAATTAATCTTATATGTCGTTATTGTTATGATTTTATTGCTGGAGTATTTCAGGGATTAATTGGTTTGGTCATCAGCTAATCTGTTGCGATCTTGAAAGAGAAAATCATAAATTACATTTTTGAGAACAAGAAGAAATCGATACAAGTCTTTGTTGGAAAATATGAATTTATAGAGGGAGTATTAAACGATATGGAGGCTGGAATATCCATAATAAGAGAAATAAAAGAAAATATCCTAGATGAGGTTCTATAGTAGCTAGAATTACTGAAGTAAAGGTGAAAAACAATAATACTATTTCTTATAAACTTGTGGATAGGGATATCAGAAATTAACTGAAAAATACTAAAGCTTTTATGAGAATTAGATTCATCATAAGCCTGGTGCTGTCAGAATTTAATTCAAATGAGAATTTGGTGTTCGGGCAATAAATTTTATCATTTATATATTTTTATCTTTCATATTTTAGTCTATTAAATTTAAATTAGTTATTAAACATTATAACGTAAACACTATATATTATATATTGATAATAGTTTCAATATTTTTATCAATTCACCGTTTATAAGTTACTTGATTTGAAAATAAGAAAATGGTAATAACTTGTTACTTTTGATGGATCTTCAAATGAACTCCTAAGTTGTTTCTTTCTATATACAGAGATTAATCATAAGAATGATTAATACGATGCGAATGAAATAATAAGGGTTTAGAAATAGTAGTAATATTAAAATATTACCTTATAGACGCACCTTACTATCTTCCAAATTTAAAAATAGTTAAATGTATTAAAGTACAAATATCAAGAAAAGTGTTTGCATTGAGACTTAATCATATAAAAATAAAAATATAAGGATAAACATAGAAAATAGTGATATGATTGCTAGTTTTTTTTTTTCATATGACTCTAAAGTTGGGATGTTGTAGACTAAATAGAATATTAACTTTTCATTAATTTGGTCTTAATTTATAATATTAAATAACATTTTAAACTAAGGATCATGTAAATTACTTGCACTTAAGTTGACCATCAAAATTTCTCAATAGAAGGGGTTTGCACAGATCCAGAATGCAAACAATAAAAACCTTATTGCCATTTCTGTTTACCCTTCCATTCTAATCATTTGATAAAATTAATACCCCATAAAATTTTAAATTAATGGATGTAAAAACAAATGAAATGTATAGAGGATGTTTAGGTGACTATTTCTGAATGCAATACAGCTCTTGAAAGCATTAGAAAATCATTTTACCCTTTTATCAACATTGATTTTGAATGTCTATCTGTATTAGAACTTAACAAAGTAGACCAAATAATAAATGGTTTCATCTAAATAGAAGTATTTCAGCAAAACTTACTTTAAAAATTCAAATCATCATCTGAAAAACTTCAAAAAATAGCAAATAGTTTAAAAAGTTAAATGAAGAATTAAAAATCAAGTGTGAATTAACAGGAATCTCAATTTTTAAATACAGTGCCAATCATATTAGAATAGTCTAAACAAAAAAATTACTAATTAAAGTTTAAACTTCTTAAGGACAATTCTATACAACAAAATGAAAGGTGTTATGCAATAGCATTTAATAGTGATGGATAATTTGTTGCAATAGGTTGTAGAGAAAAAATTAAAGTATTCGAACATGATAAAGGAAAATTGAATCAAATCTAATTATTAAACGAGCATAAAAAGGATATTAGTACATTAAATTTCATGATAAAAACAAACCATTTTTTATCTGGAAGTAAAGATTAATTCATTATTATATGGTAATAGAATCAAAATAGAGAATGGAATTGTGCATAAAAACTGGACGCTCATAAAGATTGGATTTAATGTATTGTATTAAACAAAGATGACAATCTTATAATATCATGTAGTACTGATAAAACAATCAAATTTTGGAAAAAATATGATGGATTTTCATGCCAATAAGTAATTGCAGAACATTAAAGTGAGGTAGTTTCATTAAGTCTAAATTAAAAAGAGAATACACTGATTTCTTGTTCTAAAAATAATTAAATCTTTGTAATAGAAAGATCAAGTATAGGTGCAATATGGCATGTTGTATAAAAGATTCAGTTAGATTAATATGGCCTAAGATTGGGTTTTATTAATGATGAATAATTCATATTCTAACCTTGTCTCCAAGAAAAAGTGTAATTGTATGAACTTGATCTCAATCATAATAAGTATAGGAACGTAATAGATTATCCTGTATCATGTGGTTCATGCGATGAATTTAATTTCTTCCCAATTTAATACCAAAATGTTAAGGGCCTTTTAGTGATTAAGAATGGAAAGAGTGTTAATTTAATGAGGAGATAAGAAAAAGGCCATTTTGTTATTGAGTAGCTAATTTAGTTTGGAAGTTGTGACAATTATGGCTAATTAAGCTAGGATGGTAATTATCTCATTACTTGGGATAGCAGTTCAAGACACATCCAAATACGTAAATGCAAGAAAAAATTATTCTGAACTATATAAATATTGATTTTGGAAATTCTGATTTTATGGTATTATTATAAAATTCTATTTAATTTGATTACATAAACATATTTACTATAAACTAAATTAATAAATTATTAATAAATTTATATTAATTCATATTCTAGTGATTTTATAAGTGGATATTCTAAAATGATATTAGCTTACAACAACATTAACTGCCATTGAATTGTATTATTCTTATGTTGTTGCTTAATTATCTCATTGAATAATCTAATATTCTAATTTTTATAATTCCCCTTTAATTTTACAACTGATGAATTAACTAGTTACTAAAAACCATAGCCTATGCGCATTCGATATTCTAGATTACATTTGTAAATTTAAAATGTTTTTAAGTCTAAAGATATTCAGAGACAAAGACATTTGTATGACCATTTTTAATACGACTTAGTAGGATAATATTAGTTACTAACTATTGAAAGTGTTATATATAACAGTCATCATTATCTGATTAAACTACATGAAATGAAAATGTTCTCATTCTCACTTAGGATGTTCATTAGATTTTGATAAAAGCTCAATCTTTAGATAATGATTTTACTGAGACTTTAATAATATTAATTTGCAGAAGATTAAATTATGTTATTTGCATTTAACCCTAAGAATTCAATGCTCTTTATAATAAATTAGTTCAATTTTAGAATAAATAGAAGATTACAGCTAAGATTTTGATTGGACAATATTATATTATTTTTTAACATAATTATAGACCTTATTAGTGCATACAATAAAATAATACTCTAATCAATCAATATGTAATTAGAATGAAATAAGTTTATCATTTTTAACTTAATTTTCAATAGAAAAATGAGATGAATTAAATTACATTGTTCTAAAGAAATGATAAAACTGTAATTCTATTAACGATATTCTAATAGAATATATTTGGATACTTATCAAATCGCAAATTTAATAGTTTTTAGTGTTTTATGATGAATTTGGAGTATGAAAGAATAAAGTTTATATTTCCAAGTTTAGATAAATTTATCATAATGGTATAATTACAATAAACTTAGGACTTTAACAAGAAGATAGCCTTGTAAGATTTGAAATTTACATTTACAAATGTTCTAAAGATAGATTTATTTTCAAAATTACCTTAGTTTTCTGTCTCTAGAGGTTTTCATTCCATTTTATTAAACTCTCACCAAAGCCTAAGTGGGCAAACAAATTAAAATTTTTATTAGAAGGTTGGGAATCATCTTGAGATTACAGTAAAATTTCAAGAAGAAGGAGCATGATTAAATACAATAATCATTCTTAGATACTCAGTATTAATGCATTTAATAGAAGTATCCCATATACTTAGTTAGAATGATAGCAAACTTCACCTAGAAACATAAGAATGATCATTTTATATGATATAAATCTTGTTATCTTATAAACAGATCGATTGCAATCTCAAAACAATTTGTTATTATTATTTTTATGCAGAAATATTATAAATCTAGTTTACTAATCATGCAGATATATATATATAGATAAAGTTACATATGCATATATTGAGTTTTCTATATGTAAATTGTTTTTTTTCATATTCTATCAAACATAGTTTATATCTTTTTTTTAAAAATTAAACAATCCGCAAATATGTTAGACAGACTTTAGCAAAGGTATAAAAACTTTTATGTTGATAGAATTATACAAATGATTATTTTGACAATTAAAAATTAAAGTAAACATAATTGCATAGAATTCTATTAATATTCTGAAACTTGGTAATAATATATAATTCTCTATAAATATAAGTATACACTATAACGCAGCAATATGAGTTCAAAAGTAGCCTAAATTTTTCGAATATTAGAAATTAATTAAAAAAATCACAGTATTTTAATATGTTTTATACAATTGATTAATTCATTTAATAGCCCAATAATTATTATATTAATGTTTAATATATTTACAAGAAAAAAATATATATATCTAGTTTTTCTAAATATTTTGCATTATAGAATACTGCAGAATTATATTTGATTCTTAATTTGACTCTCCATTATGAGGGTCATAATGTGAGGTTGAGATATGAATTACTCCAGATAAATTTAAGAAGTTTTTCAGAGTTAGAATCTGGTAACCCAATTATTTCATTTCATTAGTAATATATACCAAAATAATATCTCCTTATCCCCTTAGAAATTGTAATTATATTATTTGTTGATGTATCAGTATATCTCTATCAAAAATTATAAATATTATAAAAACCAAATTAGTATGAGTTATAAGTTATATCTATATTAAAATAGGTTGAAAAATCAAAAAGATATTACTTAAAAAAAATCCTTTATATAAATTTTTCATGCGAAAGCTGTCTAATATTGTGATAATTTAAACTTATAAATATTCTTAATATAGTTCAACTTCTTATAATTTGATTTTTAAATATAAGCTTTAAATTACTAAATTTTTCATATTATATGATAATTGAAAATCTAAATATTTGAAAATTTATTAATACAGCCAAATTCGAATTATAAGCAACATCAAAACATTAATAAATCAAACTCATTCAAGGCATTATTTTGGTTAGGAAATATCAACTATTCAATTCAACATTAATACAAAATTAAGATTATCATCTTTAAAGAAAGAAAAAAAATTAGATTTTTAGTTTACATGTGAATTTACATGTTGTAGAAAATTAAAAGTTAGAATACTAACATTTGTTAATCATATTTCAAATATTCAATAATTTGAATATTAAGTCGAATAATTTGAATAATAATCAATTGTATTAAATAAATTGAATTTAGGTTTTGTTTTCTTAGTTTCAGAATTCCTAATATTAAAATGTGACCTTAGATTAAGTTATTCTTCAAATTTGAAGTTTTTTGAAATTCAACATTATGAAAAAATCATATGATCAAATATTGAGGCTTATTAAGCATGTTAAGAATATATAGTAGTAAGTGTTATTGAAAAAGTAAAAAATAAATTCAAACTTGTATCTACCCTATGTCATTTGGTCGAAGAGGTTAGGTTAAGGACAGAAGTGTTTAAGATGTGCATGCTAAATTTATGATTCTCCAGGTCTATTTGATTATGATCACTCAGCGGATTTAGAAATTGATTTGTCTAGTACAAAAATTGACTAGACATTTAAAAATACTTATAAAATTTAAAAATGATCTAAACAATTGATCAATAGTGGAATAATAATGCAAAATTTAAATAAGAACTTTTATAACAATATATAATAATTGACACAGAGATTGAGATAAAACCTAGTGAAAATTAGTTTTACGAAGTTTTTAACTGCATAACGTCTCCCAAAGATACTATGCCTGAAAACTTCAAAAAAAATTTTCCAAAACAATTTAATTCAATTATGAGAGATTAAAATGGTTGGAAAATGCTTTATAAAGAACTCTATGTTTTAATAAAACAAGAAATTGACTATTAAAAATATGGACCTCCTGATCAATAAGGGAATCAAAATAATAAAGAAGATGAAACTATTTCATCTTTTAATCCTTATATAATTACAAGTATAATTTAAAAGGTTGAAAATAACATTAAAATTAAATATAACAATTAATTTGCTTAATATGGTCTAATTTTAACTGATGTTGGAGAAAGATGCATCTTTTATTATTCTATGTTAATTATATGGAGATTTCTTTGCTATTAAAGATGGAACTCTAAAAATATATAATAACAACATTAGAATAATTATTAAACTGAATTAATTAGATGTAAAGCTGAAATTAATTAAGATAATTAAAAATAAAGTTGTATTAAAGCAACTGAACTAGTCAGTAAAATATAAACTTTGTTAAAGAAAGAATTTTTGGATCGAACTAAAAAAGAAGTTTTATAATAAAAGAATTAAGTAAGCATGTCAAGTGCTGATCTTATATCAAAATTAGATAAGGAATTATTAATTGATGTAAATACAAAAATGTTTGAAGATTTAGACGTTTAAAAAAAAAATATTATCTTATACTACTGATCATAAATCGTTTATTAATTAGTACACATTTGACATGCTAAAATAGGTTTAAGATAAATTGTTAACTGATTATTCAAATAAATATAAAAAAGAATTAAGTTTATACTTATAAAGCATATAATAAAATGCAAAAATATTTTTTAAATATATCAAGAATCAATAAAAGGAAGTAAAAACAATTAAATATTTTGTTGAAGATGCTAAGTAATAAGATAAAATATTTTATGAAAATTATCTTTTTAGATTACTTATTTAATGTCTTCTAGGTAAGATTGAAGATAAAATTGATATAATTGAAAAATAATATACAGAAATCTTCTAAGTTAGCAATTACAATCCTGTAAATTATTAGCTTAAGATAAATTTGCAATTATTAAATCAACAAGATCAATAAGTTTACAATCTAAAGTCATTTGTTGAAACATTAATTGAAGAAATTAATCTAATCTTAAAAAATATAGATTAAATATAATTTAAATAGGCTGAATATTAACTTGATGTTGAGTTTGGGAAATTAAAATTATAGATGAACGGTTGTGAATATACATGTCCATGTTGCAAAAGAAAATGTGATGAAGATAATGATAATGATAGTAACCATATTCATAAATGTTAAAATGGCCATTAAATCAGAGGTAAAGTTATAACATATTTAGGTATTAATGGTATTTTGATATCCCATAACAGCCCATCATTATTTACATGTGAAGAAATTCTTGATTAATGCATACTTATAACACTTGAAACTAATCTATAAAAAACATGGAAAGAAGTCAAAAAAGCACATTCAAATTGGAATTTCAAAAATATCTACGATGCAAAAAATAATGAAAATAAAGAAAAATGGGAAAAAGTCTGGAATATAGGGTTGGGAAGGTTAATTTGTTTACACTTAGAAAAATAATTAAACCATCAAATTATACTCTCATAAAAATCAAGTTTTGAAATTTACATTTCGAATATTCATTATATTCTCATTCTTGATGATTCAGGGTCAATGTAAGGAGAGAAATGGGATAATGCCAAAAATGGAGCTTTACATTGTATAAAGTCATTAGAAAATGCTGATAGTGCAAAAGTGAGCGTTATCATCTTTAACGGAGATGCAAGAATAGTAGTAGAATGTTAAAAACCAAATTACAGTTAGATTAGTAGCTGCATTTCTTATAAAGGGGGGAATACTGCGTTTGATCCTCCATTTAAGATGGCTCTCTAATTGATTGAAAAACATAAGGGCTTTAATAAGTAACAAAATTTATAATATTAGAATTTAAATATTATTTTATACTGATGGAGAAGCAGGTTATCCATAAGCTACAATTGATCAATTCTTTTAGCTACCACCATAGATTAGAAGTCGAATCAGCCTAACAGCCTGTTCTGGAGAAAAATCTTCTCATTCATTATAATAAATGATCGAGAAGTTCTCATAACATATGTAATTAGCTTAACTAAAAAATTCTGTATAACCAATGGAAATTTAGAAAGTTTGGACAGAAGTAGTGAGCAAAAATATTCATTCATAACTGGTATGAAAATAGAATTATAATAATTGAATAATTTATGAACTAAAGATATTCCCTAAATTAAAATGTAAATAAATAACATATTATGATTATAATTCGAATAACATTCCCTATTAAGCTAATCATTCTAGATTTTAAATTTAAACGAAAAAAGTTCTATAACCAAAAATGTCGAAAACACCATTTTAACGACACCTAAACTTAATCCATCTAAACCACTTCGTCTGGCAAAAGTCTATGCTTATTTTTGTTCAAAGTAAAATTTATTAACCATAAAATGGATATATCTTAAGAAGCAGAAATTTTTTGTAAAATAAAATTATTGAAAGCTTAATCACAAGCAATTCCTTCGAAACTAAACTGTGTTTTTTTAAATAATTATTCCTTTCAATTATTATTGTGAATGAGTTTCTACGTGCCGTATTTTAAAAAATTTTATTATAATTTTTTCTTTTTCCATTTTTTTTTCAATTAATTTTATTTAAAATAAATCACTAATTTAACCTTTTATTCATTTTAATGATTCCAATTCTAGTAATTTTACACATTAATCAAAATATTATTGGGCTATTTTCAATACAATAAATCCTCATTTTTTGTGCTCAATAACTTTTTGTTTTATTTTTGTGATTTTTGCAAAGCAACTTCAGATCTGAAGTGTAATATCAATTGCAAAACATTATAATTATTTTGTTTTAAATGCAATTATTCCCAAGAATGAATTTATTTTATAAAATTAACATGTTTTGGAAATTCTTCAATTTACTATTTTAATTCTACTCCAAATATCTATTGTAATATATATTTATTGATAAATAATAAAAGAAAATAAAATTAAAGAAAATTTAATTACTAAAGCCTTACAATATATTTGAGAATATTTAACACTTTAAATCGGCTGTAAATTTCAATGTAACCATTCTTAGTTTTGAACATAATTCATTAACAAAATGAGAATAGATTGAGATCATTTTCTATTTCACACTATTCTTTATTTTTTAATTTTTAGGATTAGACATAATCAAAAAAATAAACATCTTCATTTACTTAAAGTCTACTAAGATATAAATACTAATAATGAGAAATATTATTTCAAACTATTCAAAAATCCATAAAACTTTAAAAATATTATAGTTACATTCTTTTGAATAGCTATCTAATAATATATTAATTAAATGAGTGAATAAATTTTTGAGTATTTATTAGAACGAAAATTAGGATTCGGTAAGCATTAATTAAGATAATTCTTTATTATCAGTTTTATCGACTTCCTTGATGGTGCTGAGTTTCTTTTTTTATCATTACTAACACCAACATTAAAATAGGAATGGAATTTATCAATTGTTGAACTTTCCATTTTTGGTGGCTCATTTAACTTAGGCTTAATGATAGGTTCAACAATATGTGGATTCTTAGCTGATAGAATAGGAAGAAAACGTATTTTAATAATAGGAACAATTTTGCAAGTATTTTATTGATTTATGCTATAAAGACTGGAGTCGTTTTTCTTACAGTATTTTCTTAAAACATACTTCAGATGATCCTGCTTCGACTTACATATGGAACTGTAATAGGAATGAATCTTCCTATTAGTTCAATATTAATGATTGAAGTGACTCCAAAACTTCATCGAGGTAAGATTATAGTGGCACTATAAATTATGATATTGTTGGGACGATGTTGGATTATGATATTAGGATATATTTTTATGGAAGGCATTTCAAAGGGAAACTGGAGAGCGATCTCTTTATGTAATAGCATTCCATGTTTGTTTTGTCTAATTGGTACAATCTTTTGGATTTAAGAATCTCCAAGATTTTTGATTTTACACTAAGAAATACAAAAAGGAATTGATAATTTAAACAATATCGGATAATTTAATAATTCAGAATACGAGATGTTGACTGATAATGAAATATTGAGTCTAAAAGAGTGGGCATCATAGTAACATTTACACCATCAATAAGAAAATAATTCTATTAAGCAACTGTTTAATTCGGANATGTAACCATTCTTAGTTTTGAACATAATTCATTAACAAAATGAGAATAGATTGAGATCATTTTCTATTTCACACTATTCTTTATTTTTTAATTTTTAGGATTAGACATAATCAAAAAAATAAACATCTTCATTTACTTAAAGTCTACTAAGATATAAATACTAATAATGAGAAATATTATTTCAAACTATTCAAAAATCCATAAAACTTTAAAAATATTATAGTTACATTCTTTTGAATAGCTATCTAATAATATATTAATTAAATGAGTGAATAAATTTTTGAGTATTTATTAGAACGAAAATTAGGATTCGGTAAGCATTAATTAAGATAATTCTTTATTATCAGTTTTATCGACTTCCTTGATGGTGCTGAGTTTCTTTTTTTATCATTACTAACACCAACATTAAAATAGGAATGGAATTTATCAATTGTTGAACTTTCCATTTTTGGTGGCTCATTTAACTTAGGCTTAATGATAGGTTCAACAATATGTGGATTCTTAGCTGATAGAATAGGAAGAAAACGTATTTTAATAATAGGAACAATTTTGCAAGTATTTTATTGATTTATGCTATAAAGACTGGAGTCGTTTTTCTTACAGTATTTTCTTAAAACATACTTCAGATGATCCTGCTTCGACTTACATATGGAACTGTAATAGGAATGAATCTTCCTATTAGTTCAATATTAATGATTGAAGTGACTCCAAAACTTCATCGAGGTAAGATTATAGTGGCACTATAAATTATGATATTGTTGGGACGATGTTGGATTATGATATTAGGATATATTTTTATGGAAGGCATTTCAAAGGGAAACTGGAGAGCGATCTCTTTATGTAATAGCATTCCATGTTTGTTTTGTCTAATTGGTACAATCTTTTGGATTTAAGAATCTCCAAGATTTTTGATTTTACACTAAGAAATACAAAAAGGAATTGATAATTTAAACAATATCGGATAATTTAATAATTCAGAATACGAGATGTTGACTGATAATGAAATATTGAGTCTAAAAGAGTGGGCATCATAGTAACATTTACACCATCAATAAGAAAATAATTCTATTAAGCAACTGTTTAATTCGGAAAATCTGCCAATTACTTGGAGGAATTATTTGATATTTTTCTTGTTTATGTTCACAATGTTGGCTATCTTTAACATTTTGCCATTTATTTTGGATGATGAAAACAAGTCTTTGTTACATTTATACATCGTCGATATAGGTGAGATTCCAGCTATATTTTTAATGTTATATAGTATAGATACATTTGGTCGATTATCCACCTTATTATTATCTACAACAGTGCTCATAATAATTCTATTTTCTATTTGGGTTTGGAAATTTTAAATTATTATTATGGGACTAATTATCTTTAAATTCTGTTGCAAGGTAAATTGGGGAACATTAAATGTCTTATTTGCTGAATCCTATCATACTCTATATCGATCATTAGGAGTCGGAACAACAATGGCCATGGGTAGAATAGCAGGATCTCTCGCACCGTTCGTCGTCTTCCCAATCTACTTCAATAATAATTATTTGCCATTCTTAATATGCGGCGTATGCAGTTTTTTCATGCTTATTCTATTGATATCTTATCCTATTGACTTAACAAAAAAGCCCTTAGATTAGTTAAAAAAATAATGATGTATAAATTATATTTAATATAAAATTAATAATTATGTTGCAATTATAGAGTTTTTTATGGGTTAAAGAAAGAATTATACTTCCTATACTTTTCAATTAGACAAGTAATTAATATAAGTATTATCACACTTCAAAGCTTAAAATGAATTTAAATTGTAAATCTTGATGGATTTATTCATTTACTTATTAAGTATATATTTCAAGATAAATTTAGATGAATTTCATTTGCTTTCAAAAATTATTAAAGGGATGTTTCAAATTTTAAAACAAAGGAGCAATAAATCAAAACTTAGCATATATACAATGTCTACCTAAACTTAATCAATTTATTGCAATATAAAATTTTCATGCTATAATCGATCCAAAAATAATCCAATAATTAACAAATCAAATTGAAGATGTAAAGACAGAATATGAATTCGGCTATTAACCTTATCTTTGTTCATTGATAAATTCCTCCCTTTGACAACTGTAATAAAAACCTTAAAGTAAAACCTACCAAGTGAATTATTTATTAGAAGAGGCATGTTTTTCTTTAACAGTTCATAATTTGCTGAAGATTCACTAAATTAATAATAAATTTTTACATTTATTCTTTAAATGATATTTCACTGGGTTGCAGAGCAACAGTTATAATTTGATGGATTATTTTCATTAAATTTTGGACCTCTATAAGAATTTCAATACTAAATTTCAACTCAAAAACAGCTTTAGATATACAATTCTTATAAGCCAATTATGTCATTAGCCTCTACAATAAAATTAATGTCTATGTGCTAATTAAATTTAATTTAAAAGTAGATCTGTTTGCGATTATCTCAAATAACTTTTGTTTCAATAACACCCATAGCCAAATCATATTACAATAAAAAAAGCAATGTATCGATATATCAAATAGGAAGAATGTTATATTTAGTAGGTATAGATTTGTGAGTATGATATCACTTTACGATACAAATTATACTAGTTTGCGTGTAAACTTCATTTGATAATCAAGTAAGTATGCTATCACCTCAGTAATAGTATTTAACTGAGGAGTAATGAAAATTTACCTGTGTGTACATGAGAATCTGTTATTGCTTGACATACTTATTTGTGTAATAATTATTTATGGATAATTTAGTATAAGCTATGAAAATTAATTTTTATACTTACATTATACCAAATTTGGATCTTCATACGACTTTCTTGTACTGAATTTCCATCAAGCATGCTTTGACAGTGAAATTATTTTCTGCTTAATTAAGTTCTTAATGCAAGATTTGACATTTCACAACAAAGGCCATTTTATGTTTTTTATTAGAATTAAGATAATAAGCATAAATTAATTTCCAAACATGTTTTTATCTCAAGTCGGAAAAAGAATGGCAAGAAAAGACATTAGATTTCCAGATTAATATTTAACAAACCTTCAATTATTATCAAAATCACCAAGTAGTTTAGAGGTAGAACGTTGCTCTAGAAAAGCAAAAATCCGAGTTCGAGTCTTCGGGTTGGTGGCTTTTTTATTTTTATTCAAATAATTAAAAATACAATAATGTATAATGAATAGCTCATATAAATAATATTTCAATTTATTTCAAAACTACACAAGCTAATTCTTAAATGTAAAATCAAATAATTCAGACTTTAACATTTGCTCATTCGAATAAGTGTATTTTTAATTAGTACAACAGATGATATACAATAAGAGAGAAAATTTATCAATGTATAAATTGACTCTAGTTCATAATATTTAAAGTAATTTGAAAGTAAATCAAGAAAGATATAGTTTTGGCTTTAAAATGTGGATAATAAGCGGCGGAAGTTTATCAATATAAGTTAATCTCAATTACTGCAACAGAATTAATGTAGATGTATATGGGTGCATAAAGAGAAAAAGTGAATTTCATCAAAATTCATAAATAATAAAGAATTGCAACATCACTCTAAGTTCAATTGCAAATATTTGAATGGAACTGAAAAATATTCATGATTACAATTAATGCATTTCACAAAATTAAATGCTAATAATATTGTGGTATCATATGTCAATTTATTATAGTCATACAGATTTTTGTGAATACGAGAACCATAGTGAATTATGTGAAGAGATATTCGAACAATAATGTTAAATATAATAAAGATATAAATTTGATAAGAAAGTATGTAAGAATGGTTAGAATTGATAGGAGAGAAAAAAAGAATGTAACTACATTACAAGTAGCAAATTTTAAGATACAAAAGAAGCATAAATTATTGTAATAGAAAAAATGAAAATAAATATAATAATAAAATGTAATGTAAAAGTAAACAATAAACATTCTTCTCTACATCCAAAGATATCTTAAAAATAGTTTGAAAAATATTAAAAGATTAATCCTATAATATATTTTAATAATTGTAATTTTACTATTGTTTAATCAAAGGCATATTATTTGATTTACAAATCTTGGGTTACATCTTAAAATGATACTCAACAATATAATCTAGTAGGTGCTGATAATTTAAATATAAGATTGTGAATATTAATGTTAATTATATTTTAATTTTATATTATTATTCATAATTTCTATTGAAAGTTTCAACTTCCAATTTGTCAGTAGTCAATTACCAAACTACAATAAATTCTCCATCTCTACTAGCTTCTCCATTTAAAAAGTTGGTTCCAAAATTTATAAACTGCTCTCTAACTTGCACTTTTCAATCTCTAGTTTAGATTAATTTGAAAAAGCCAACTTTAGAAATTAACATAATACAGTTATTTGCATAAATAAAATCATATTAAAAATTCACCCATTTTGATGAGAATAAGTAATTTTTAACTTAATTACTATATCCATTCTTTGAAATCAAGAGCTACTTCTCTGGAATGTATTACATAGGAAAGTAGGCTTCACAAGGCTGATTACCTCCTTTAACAAAAATTATCCGCTACTCACAAATTAATTATTAGAATCAGAAGTATAAATATCAATATAATGATTGGGTTTTGAAGTTCTTGTTTGAATTGCAAAAATTTCATCTGTTATGAAACAAATTCTGTATCCAAAACCATTCATAACAATTCTTTATTAAATAACCCCATTTTTCCTTCTGTTCCATCAGAATAATTTCATTATTTTATAAACAAGTAATAGGTTTATCAGCTTTCTGGTTGAATACTAATCCATATACTGTTGAATTGATAATGTAATTTTTTTACGTTGGTTGATTTGACATTGGTAGAAAGATTATATCTCCTTAATTATATCCAGTCGCAACTCAATCATCCAATTACCTAACAGTTAAACAACTAACTTTGCCACAGTGAAAGTCTCTATCTATATGATATTCTTTAAAATCCTATTTCATCGGTTTCAACCCATCATGCTCTGTTGGAAACATTATAAATACAACTCCTGCTTCAATCACACTTACAAAGTAAAAGGTTGTAGAAATAAAAATTTGGCAAATTTAATCCAAGTAATATCTCCAATTTTAAATATTGATTCTTGTAAAAAAGTGAAGTTAATATTGATGATCATCTTATCTATTTTTAATTTCATAAATCTCACTATGACTAGTTACTAAGAAGGTATCATCAGAATTTATTGAAACTTCTTAGTTAATTATGCGTGGATGTTCAGTAAAAGGTACTTGATGCATGTTTTCAAATTAATATTTAATTTGAGCCTTTCTGAATATATTTAAAATTATTTCTTTATAATTCTCTCGATTTTATTAAGATACTAACTTATCAATGAATTAATAAGCTCTTTATAAAAACAATTCGTTAATAGACTATATTTTTTTTTTAAGAATCTTTTTGTTTTCTTTAGGTTCATTTTTAACCTAATCAATTTCTTCTAAAATATTTGATGAAAAAACTTATGATTCAAAATTTTCTATAGAAAGGATCCAATCCTTTTGTAATGAAGTTGAAACACTTATTAATCAAATTCTCTAATATTTTCAATATGTTTTTGGAAAGCATCATTTAGATTTGTAATTATTTTCTAAATCTTATAGATTTAGCTTCCGACTCAATCTATTACATTCTAGCATTTTTACAAGTGAATTAACATCTCTCGTTTTCATCTCATTTGTGCTAATCGAACAATTTTGACAAATAAGCGTTTCATTTGGCTACAACCTTTTGTCTATAATTACTTTTTCTATTTGAAAGTTATGTTTTTTATAACTAGCAAGATTTATTACTTCTGCAATGTTAACTACACATTATTCTTTTTATTTCCTTTCTTTATAATACATCCGAGCTGACTCAAAATATTCAAACTAACCTCGTTTTAATAAATCTGAAAAAAATTTATAATGAATAACTCCTGGTCTTTCAAATAGATCAATTAAATCTTTAACAATACTCCTAATAGTTTTAGCAGGGTTCCAATATTCAGGGTATATAATTGTAAATTATAACATCAAACCAACAAATACATTTATCTCTCTAAAAATTATAGGGTGAAAAACAATCTCTGTCTCAAAATTAATTATTGGAGAACTGAAGGGATAATTCTCCCTTAAAACAAATGAAAATGAATTATTTCCTGTTCGAAAGGGCTGTTTGGAGGTCCAGTCCAGGTAAAATTTATTCTAAGATAAAAAATTGTTAAACTTTAAAAAAACTTTCCTTATCTGGATGCATTCATAATCCAGGTAGAGGGCCTTCAATTACAATCACTTTAGAAATTTATTTTATTTTTTGATGAATAAATTTAGACAGTGATATGACACTAACCTTATTTTTATCATTGGAATAGAATAAGAAAAGAACTCATTCATTATTAAAAATGTATGTTTATGGAAAATATCATAAAAAAAGGCCTAAAGAAACACGCATGAATCATAAAGACAAGTATTATCATAAAAGAATTAAAACTATAAATAATTGTGGAAAATAAAGTCAAAGAGAATATCAAACCACACATTTATTAAGGATGAAGAAGTATCAATCTGATTTGAAAAATCATGGCTATAACTTAAAAGAATGTTGAGTATCTAAAAATGAAATTATTTTGTGAACAAAGCTAACCCGAACCATACTGTTCACCACCTTGTTACATGAACTACATAAATTAGAGACACTAAAATACTCCAATCCAAAATTAGCTTCACTAAGTTCTTCATTGTCAAACTTTTACTTTTTTTTTAAGGGAATTAAGATGATCATAAATATTAATAAAATAATTATTTGAAAATCTTACATATCTTCTAACCCAAAAAAAAACATACACTAACAATTCATTAATTGTTCGATTCTCAATTTTGTATGATATTTTAGTCTTGCCTATCCTCTAATCTTTAATACCTTTTCAAATCTTTCTCGAAGACTACATTTGATAATCTGATAGTAAATTAATATTTGTGCTATGCCCTTCAATACATAACCTCATATAAGTAGAATTGGAATTGATTTATCTTTCTCCAATAATATTAATAAACATAATCTGAAATACAAGTTTATTAACACTACAATAAACATTAAAAATTTGTAACTTAGTCTCAAACTTAGGTAATTTTTTATCTAAAGACGTATATGTTCCTAATCTAGTTAAGAATAGCACCTTGTCTTACTTGAAATTTGTCTTAACAATATCTTGAGCGTTTAATAAAAATTATTATTTCATAATCCTCCAAGATAATATGGATCATCATTAGTCTTTCATTACTTTTATGTCAATATTTTATTGTTTTATTTTAATTTAGCCTTGCAGTTTATCAACAAATATTGTTATTGATTTTGTATTATATACTAATTCATTTTCTTCTCCAATTAGAATTTATTGAGATTAATGTTTCTGTAATGAAATATTTTAATTATAATAAAATGGCGATTAGATCCTCAAGTCTAATAACTCACTAGCAAATTGTTCTACAATTTTTTATCAGATATTTTTATGATATTTTAATATTACCAGGGTCTTCTACCATAATCTTCTTGAGTTTGTATATTAATATATTTATTTGATATCTATGAGTTTATTGTGACTATTTCTCTTGTTCCATTAACACTTTAATATTACTCTTATTCTGTATAGCTTTATTATGATATTATTTTGTGAAATCTTTTTATGTTTTCAAAAGATTTCATTAAGCTATCATGTGATTTGAATTCTGAAGAGGGTTTTAAGATTAGAAAAGTATTATTTTTAATATTCTTCTTTCTCTTCTTCGCATATGTTTCGTCATCAATGATTTAATTCTGTGATATNTTTATTAAGGATGAAGAAGTATCAATCTGATTTGAAAAATCATGGCTATAACTTAAAAGAATGTTGAGTATCTAAAAATGAAATTATTTTGTGAACAAAGCTAACCCGAACCATACTGTTCACCACCTTGTTACATGAACTACATAAATTAGAGACACTAAAATACTCCAATCCAAAATTAGCTTCACTAAGTTCTTCATTGTCAAACTTTTACTTTTTTTTTAAGGGAATTAAGATGATCATAAATATTAATAAAATAATTATTTGAAAATCTTACATATCTTCTAACCCAAAAAAAAACATACACTAACAATTCATTAATTGTTCGATTCTCAATTTTGTATGATATTTTAGTCTTGCCTATCCTCTAATCTTTAATACCTTTTCAAATCTTTCTCGAAGACTACATTTGATAATCTGATAGTAAATTAATATTTGTGCTATGCCCTTCAATACATAACCTCATATAAGTAGAATTGGAATTGATTTATCTTTCTCCAATAATATTAATAAACATAATCTGAAATACAAGTTTATTAACACTACAATAAACATTAAAAATTTGTAACTTAGTCTCAAACTTAGGTAATTTTTTATCTAAAGACGTATATGTTCCTAATCTAGTTAAGAATAGCACCTTGTCTTACTTGAAATTTGTCTTAACAATATCTTGAGCGTTTAATAAAAATTATTATTTCATAATCCTCCAAGATAATATGGATCATCATTAGTCTTTCATTACTTTTATGTCAATATTTTATTGTTTTATTTTAATTTAGCCTTGCAGTTTATCAACAAATATTGTTATTGATTTTGTATTATATACTAATTCATTTTCTTCTCCAATTAGAATTTATTGAGATTAATGTTTCTGTAATGAAATATTTTAATTATAATAAAATGGCGATTAGATCCTCAAGTCTAATAACTCACTAGCAAATTGTTCTACAATTTTTTATCAGATATTTTTATGATATTTTAATATTACCAGGGTCTTCTACCATAATCTTCTTGAGTTTGTATATTAATATATTTATTTGATATCTATGAGTTTATTGTGACTATTTCTCTTGTTCCATTAACACTTTAATATTACTCTTATTCTGTATAGCTTTATTATGATATTATTTTGTGAAATCTTTTTATGTTTTCAAAAGATTTCATTAAGCTATCATGTGATTTGAATTCTGAAGAGGGTTTTAAGATTAGAAAAGTATTATTTTTAATATTCTTCTTTCTCTTCTTCGCATATGTTTCGTCATCAATGATTTAATTCTGTGATATTATAATTACTTTATGAGAAAAGTTTGAGAGCAACAAATAACAATCTACTTCAACCCCCTAACCAATAGTTAAGTATTAAATCTGATGTATAACTGCTAACTTAGTTTTTTTGATAAAAAATTTATTTAATTTATTCTTTAATTCAAAAGAAATTTATAGATAGAGGAAATAGCGTTAAAAACCTTAATTATAAATTACTATTTATTTTCAATAATTCAACATTTTAAGTAGTTTTATGAATGAGTCCAAAAGTTTATTTATATGGTAAAAATGAGAATTGACAATAAAACTCAGTATTAATAGAAATTATTCTTTTTTGAAGTTTCATCAAGGTCCTTTGAAATGATCTTTAATCGCTTTAATGCTCTATATAATCTTTTTTAATAAGATTAGAATTGCAAAAATCGATAAATTTATGTCCTCGATTAAAATAAATTCTACATTAGGCTAGTTCATTTACAATCATAAATATATAAGAATAGTTCATAATACTGTCATAAATCATTAATTATTATTAATTGAAAAAAAGAGTGTTCTGATCACAGTATGATAATTTTAAATTACAAAATGCTAAAAATATGAATTCAGACAATAGCGTTAATTTAGACATCTCTAAGTAATCAAATAATTATATTAATACTCAATTTGAATATTTATTCTTTAATTCAAATAATAACTAGATTAAACCTTAAATATTGAATTGAATGATAATAATCTAACATAGCTTAAGATTTTGGGTTAAAATCAAATTCTGTTCAAATCTATGTGAAATTTAAGCTAAAGGTTAAAATTTTGGTTAATTAATAATCCAGAATTACTAATTAATACAATTCAACGCTTGTTTCACTTAACTTCAGTATAAATTATTTAATTTGTTCAAACTTTTAATAGAAATTTATTTAAAAAATAAAACTTGTGGAATTATTTTAGCAACTACGAGTAAACATATAAATTTGCTAATTGTTGCATCTAATATATGAGTGAATGGAATTGTGAATTCTTAAATTTTGTGGGCATCGGGCCTGAATTTCAAAGTTTAAAACTGGCGTTGTAGAATCAAATTCTATTTCATTTTCACCTAATTTTAAGGTTTCCTAAGCTATTAAATCGCTTTTAAACTATATTTAGTTGATATTATTTGAAATTTGTTTTAGTTTTTAAACAATCTTGATATAACCGCAGGTTAAAGGAGGAATTTTATCATAATGAATACATTATCCTTTAAAAAGGATCCAATCTTGAATGCAAGCAGTACATTATTTTGCCCCAGGTCCTAAGCACGACTAACAATTAATTGAACATTTAGCAACATATACTTCAATTGCATTAACTCCCCAATATTTCATATTACTTGAATTTGATTTAGTAGCAAATGTGATTTTCATTGAGTCTTAAGAATGACTAGTTTAAGCTCTTAAATTTATAAAAGCAACTTTTAGTGTAAGGCTACCGCAATTAATAGGTGGACCAGATTAATTTAAGGGTTCTTCTAATAATTGGAGGTCATCAAGCTTAAGAATAAAAGTTTCATTCAGCCAATTATCAAACAACCAGAGTTTCAACTCTACTAAAGCCTAAAAATGTGGAGGCAAGTCGAAGATTATATTTTAAGCTGTTTAATTTACTCCTAATATATGTTGTCCACCGGTTATATTAAAACCAGCACATATACTTGAAGAGATAGTTGTATTATCATCCCTTTTCCATTGATTAAATTCACTTGGAGTTTATAAATATGATTTAAGATTTATCCAATAGTCACATTAATTGAGATCATCAAAGCAATAATTACACCCTTTTGGGCATTGCATAATTTCAATTTTGAAATCACTAATCCCCCATGATTCCTAAATTTTTCATATTTATACATTGTTTGCTGCTTAATCTAATGTTGAAGTTATTATGATAAAAATAAATTTATTGGTATGAATCATCTAGACTTCATATGAGAACACTTCATCTTCATCAGGAATACCGCAAATTCGACTACCTTCTCCAATAGGATACTATTGTTTTATTATTTTCTCATCTAATAACATGTAAATCCATTCATCATTCCAACTATCAATTCTAAAATAAAAAGTTGTCATATACTTCCAAATTTTGACTGAAATTATTATTTAATAATGAGGAGGAAGACTTGAATTATAAGTAATTAATGTGCTTTTACCGAAAGTGTTAAAACCCCCAAACAATGTTTGATTATCACATTGGGTAAATAGAGTAGTGCCATAAGAGCTTTTAACTTACCATCCTAATTAATTACTAATTGATAAACCTTCATTATTATAATTCTTATCACTGAAAACAGTGTATAAAGGATAAAATTGACTTTCAGCATTTTGAATTACTCTCAAAAGGATAAGCACTATAATCATCTAATTATATAATTTATATATAAAAGTACTAATTCAAAGTAAATAATATTGAATGGATTACGATTAATATTTTATCAATACTAATTTTTTTTCAAGATAGAGAGAACCTAAAATCAATTAATTAGCAAGAAACATCATTTTTCAATTATAGGTATAAATACCACTTTCCACATCGTTTCAGGATCTACTTCCCAATAAGCCTAATTACTTTAGGAACATAAATAATTTGTACATGCTTGGATAGTTCTTTTCCTATTTATAAATTAGTTTCTATCATTATTAATAAAGTCTAATCATTGTTACCGAATCAACCTAAAGTTTGAACTTCACAGCAGCCCTCTAATTTGCTTTTATTATAATACTGCTAGTTAATTGAGAATCAAAATGCTTAGGTCCAATTTTTGACTATTGCACATTTAATTTTAACTTATAGATTATTAGGGTTTGAAGCATAATCCATTGATAAATTTAGAGATTGCACAATTATGAGCATCCACATACACACTAGTGTAATTCAAGATTTATATTAGAAAGACAGATAAATTACTTGCATTGATCTTAAATTTGTTATTAGATAACTTCAATTCAATACGCTACTTAGAAACATTGAATATTAATTATTTTATTTCAATACTAAAGTAGCTAAAGGACATCAAAAAGGTGGAAAATCGAAATATTCAACATTAAAACAACCAGAGATGTGATAGAAAACTGAAATAGAATTCTCACACCAAAACACTATTAGATTAAGAAAATTGGAACTTTCTATTCAATGAAAAATAACTATGTTGGAAAATTCAAAAAAGACGTAGGGAGAGTTCAACTGTTTATTATTCTGTGTTATTTAATCAAAACTGCTAACAGAAAGAAAAAATGCTGTTTAAAAAGTCAATAGAATAAGGGATTTTGTCCCAATTGAAGGATACTGATAATAAAGTTCACGATCAAATTTAATTACCTATAATAAGATAAGGAACATTTTATAATTTGAACTATGAGAATAAATTGGATAGAGGGAATCAATTATTGTTGACAATGTGAATTTGGGTTATTGAGTTAATACTCTTTCCTAAATTTCAATTAATATTTATAATATGTAAAAAAGAAATAATTTAATAGGTCTCCCATTTAAATAAATATAAAAAATATATTATATATTTAATTTTCTATTATCTGAGATACAGATAATAATTTTTATTTATAATACAAATGGTTGAATTCGGAGAGGAATCAAAAAAACAAGAACGAGGTCATTTTTTTTATCCTCTGATCATACTTTGCGCTACAAGCATACTAGAGGCTTAGTATATTGATCAGGAATGTGATTTGGATTTGGCCTTGTTTACACATTTAGTATTCTATGGAAATATAGTTATGACAGTCTATACTTTGGTCAGTTTTCTACCCAGGTTCATTTTTCTATTTAAATAGGGGTGAAAATCTTATACTAAACTTGGTATTCGCAATCTTGGGTATTTGTTGTTCTCTTTACATGTTCTCTTTGTTAATTTATGGATTTACGTTGTTTTTATCTGATAATGATTGTGTAAATGAGGCTCCTGTACTTTACTTCTTTTTGTAGTTCTACGTATTGGTATGACATCATTGTGAATTAGGCTAATGGAATCACGTTTATCATTGTTGTTGTTGTTATTATTGGCGTCATTTTGAAGATATTGATAGATGTTTGCAGAGGGAGATGAGGAGTAATTAGATGAATAATAGTAATACATAAATATAATATAATCACCAGATTTAGAAATCAAAATATAATTTTTTTTAATTAAATCTTTCATCTTAAACATTATATTACTTCTTATCATTCGTATTTATCAGAAATTCATTCTTATATACTGCATAAATAAACTAAGTTGCCTTTTTACTATTATTTATTATTATATATCCTTACTTATTAATATCTTAACAAAATCCTAATGAGTTTTAATGATATTTAATTGGGGTTATTCAACAAGATAGATAGTTCTAAATTTAATAAATAATTGTCTATATTATGCTATAACAATTATCATAAAAATGTCAATAGTTTTGCATTTCCAAAAGAGTAAGTGGTTGTCGTTTTAATCTTGTTAATTATTATAGCAATAGTTGGGAATATTTTAGGGCTAATTGTATTTATAACTTCATTAAACGTTCGAATTGTAGTATTNACGTAGGGAGAGTTCAACTGTTTATTATTCTGTGTTATTTAATCAAAACTGCTAACAGAAAGAAAAAATGCTGTTTAAAAAGTCAATAGAATAAGGGATTTTGTCCCAATTGAAGGATACTGATAATAAAGTTCACGATCAAATTTAATTACCTATAATAAGATAAGGAACATTTTATAATTTGAACTATGAGAATAAATTGGATAGAGGGAATCAATTATTGTTGACAATGTGAATTTGGGTTATTGAGTTAATACTCTTTCCTAAATTTCAATTAATATTTATAATATGTAAAAAAGAAATAATTTAATAGGTCTCCCATTTAAATAAATATAAAAAATATATTATATATTTAATTTTCTATTATCTGAGATACAGATAATAATTTTTATTTATAATACAAATGGTTGAATTCGGAGAGGAATCAAAAAAACAAGAACGAGGTCATTTTTTTTATCCTCTGATCATACTTTGCGCTACAAGCATACTAGAGGCTTAGTATATTGATCAGGAATGTGATTTGGATTTGGCCTTGTTTACACATTTAGTATTCTATGGAAATATAGTTATGACAGTCTATACTTTGGTCAGTTTTCTACCCAGGTTCATTTTTCTATTTAAATAGGGGTGAAAATCTTATACTAAACTTGGTATTCGCAATCTTGGGTATTTGTTGTTCTCTTTACATGTTCTCTTTGTTAATTTATGGATTTACGTTGTTTTTATCTGATAATGATTGTGTAAATGAGGCTCCTGTACTTTACTTCTTTTTGTAGTTCTACGTATTGGTATGACATCATTGTGAATTAGGCTAATGGAATCACGTTTATCATTGTTGTTGTTGTTATTATTGGCGTCATTTTGAAGATATTGATAGATGTTTGCAGAGGGAGATGAGGAGTAATTAGATGAATAATAGTAATACATAAATATAATATAATCACCAGATTTAGAAATCAAAATATAATTTTTTTTAATTAAATCTTTCATCTTAAACATTATATTACTTCTTATCATTCGTATTTATCAGAAATTCATTCTTATATACTGCATAAATAAACTAAGTTGCCTTTTTACTATTATTTATTATTATATATCCTTACTTATTAATATCTTAACAAAATCCTAATGAGTTTTAATGATATTTAATTGGGGTTATTCAACAAGATAGATAGTTCTAAATTTAATAAATAATTGTCTATATTATGCTATAACAATTATCATAAAAATGTCAATAGTTTTGCATTTCCAAAAGAGTAAGTGGTTGTCGTTTTAATCTTGTTAATTATTATAGCAATAGTTGGGAATATTTTAGGGCTAATTGTATTTATAACTTCATTAAACGTTCGAATTGTAGTATTCTGAATTAAAATATAATTTTGAAAGTGGAACATAATAAAGCATAATTGCGGATAAAAAATGAAAAAATAGACTTAGAAAATCAAGTATTTCATATCGACCAATAAGCCTACATAAAATATAATTTCAATATTTCAGACTCATTTTGTTATATAAAACTAACATATTTTTCGTACAGCGCAACCTCACATCGCTTTTACTTATTGGAAAATATTTTATATCTCCCCCAGCATTTGAATCATTAAATTCTCATGAATTAATATATAAGACTCTCATAAATCCTTTTTAAATGAACACTTTTTTTATTATATATGTATAGATATCTTTGCAAATTTAAATTTTTATTTATTATTTCTCAAAATTTCATAAAACTCTTCTAAGGAAAAAGGGGATATTTGATTTTAAAACACCTAAGCATGAGGTTAAATAATGTTTTGTATTCAAAATGATTTCAAGAGTAATTATTATTAATATATAATTCTTTGTATTACAATGACTAATTTATATTCTTAGTAATCTAGACCATCGCGATAAAAATCTCTGAGATTGTTTTTTTATCAGACAGATTAATCTAAACATAGTATTTTTGTCATTATATTAGACAATTCTCTTTTAGTATCATCCTCAAGAATCTGAAAGGTATTCTACTTCAGATTTCTGATTATTAGGTACCTGTCTTGGATTCTGATTTGAGAAATAGTATGATGCATCTAATAATTTTCTGAATTTGAATTCTTACTTTAAGTCCTCACCTCATGGGAGTGGTTTGCCTATGAAAATAAACTTGCCGTATTAAATTCTAAAATACTTGATATAGGTATTATATATTGGCTAAACGAATAACAATAAATCGTACCTTTTCATTAATAGAATTTAGTTTTTATTGACATTTCAATCTTTATATAGTTCAAGAAATAATCAAATATAAAAACAATATGAAATTCATCTCAATACTATTATGTCTTTTGGCCTTTACAGCTGCTCTAAGGCTTGATTTTAACCATCAAAATTGCACTTTAGACTTGCAAAAATTAGGTGTAACAAATAATCCAGAAGAAACTACATTATCCAAAAATTTCTTTACAGGAGATGCTTATGTAGTTGAAGATAATTTGAAAGTATATATAAGATATCCAAATGCTTATTTCATTAGTTCAGACTATTTTGGTCTTGTTTAAGAAGATGGAAGAACAGCACAAACCACTTGTCTTGATCTTAAACTATTGTAATTCACTTCAAATTCCTATTGTAACCCTGTTTAAATTACAGATCTTCCCGTAAGAGGTCATCCCTATATAAGTTGGTTTAGCTTTACTATCTGGAGTTCTTATTCATTTTCTATTCCAGTGTAACACATAAGGAGAAGATTAATAAAAACTGCCTTTTGTGGACAATCTATTTACAAAGGCTATTATGCTATTGCTTTTTATGCTGCAGGTACCGTGAAGCCATTTTTACATTCTATTTTGAAGTCTCAGTTACTGAGATACTCCGTTTTTCTGAGTATAGGTTTGAAGCCGTATTCAAATCATTAACTTAAACGTCTACAGCACATTGCACTCTTAGTGCTTGTTGCAATGAAAAAGCTGATACTGTTTTAAACTAGTGCACAGATTTGACATGCACGTCATTTACCACTCCAGATTTACATTTCCATGATCATTTTATATTATAGTAAGTTGTGACTACTGCTGGAATGGATTACTATTTGACTGGAACTCAAGTTTGGTACACTGGTTATGGATTGAATCAAGAAGCCACAATAATATCAACTCATAATTCAATAAAAGGATAAGTTCTTATCATTTTATAGGCTAATATTGTTTGCAGTTCAGAAGTCACTATTAGAGTAACCTTTACTTTATCAACAATCTAAGAGTTTGAATAAGATAATATTTTAGGTATAGTACACGGCGAAACAAAAGAAATCACCTGCATTAAAGTAGAAGGAGAAGAAACATGTCCCACAAAAGAATAAGAAGAGATGAAGAATGATTTTTGTGGCCACGAGTTTAAGAAAACAAAATTTAATGGTGTTGTTTTTTTTTCTATTAGTAATCCTTTATTGTTTATTACCGTTTTGCTGCATTTGTATACTTTGTGGTTTACTGGTTTGCTGCTGTAAAATACCTTGTTGGAAAAGGTGAAAGAATATATGCAGAAAATAATTAAGTTTTAGTTTAAATCAAAATATCTATTGAAAAATTCAAATATTGATATGAATATTGTATTAATATTTAGTTAAATTTTGAATGAGAGTAATAATTCGAATTAAAGTTAAATGGGTATTCAGGTTTATCCTTTTATTTAGACCCTTCTTCCATTTATTTTATTACCCTGATTTTCTTTCTAAATCTTCGGTTAGGGTTATATCTTTCCATATGCCATTATACTTAATAACTTTTAAATTTATTCAAATAGGAGACCTCTTAATCGAGTATTTTCTTTATTTTTGAAATTCTCTTTAGAATTATCAATTCTAATACTTCAATTTAGAGCCATCAGGCCAAACTTCAACTAGTCCCCTCATTAAAACCTCTATTAGTTTGTATTATTAAGAAAATTTTACCAAAGTCTTTAGTACTTTTAAAAAGTTATTACAATTCATTATTCGCCCATTAATTGTCCTCTGAATAAGCTTGTAAAGATAGATCATGAGTAAAACTTGTGCATCTTATTGGCTCTCTTAGTAAAATATTGATATCATCCCTCTTCCTTGTATTGATATTTATTCTTCACCTCGCCTTCTAAATGCAATTAATACTATCTATATATAAAGTTGACATTATTATTTATATCATATAATGATTTATAAATATACAAAATTTTTTATGATAATTTTCACTATTTAATCGCTTAGAATACCTTTCTTTATCAATAAAGATTTAAATAACAAGAAGTAGAAAATTGATTCCAACAAAAATGTAAAATAATTCTCATTTTATGGATTACTCAAGAAATATAGTGTTATAGAAAATAAGTTTAGCTTGAAATTGAATGTTATCAAATGCGATATTTTATACCAAGAACCAAATTTAGAATCAAATTACAATTGCATCCTAAAATTTTAGTACTTTATAGATTTGAAAAAATAATTTATCCAGTAAACGCTTTAATGAATAAGAAATATTTATTCAATCAGTTGAATGACTTTAACAACAATTTCACATATCAAGAACTACGCTTGCATTTTCATTTCTTTGTCTGATTTTAATTAGATTCCTTTACATTGAGACAATCAAATCTTGAAGGATTCAATAAATGTGACTATTTTCCTTAATCTAAATAAATGTCGCTTTATTTACTATACCCAGTCAATTAAAATCATAATTGATCTCCTGTCACCTATGTGATCTTTAAAAGATATCAGCCATCTTAAAAAATATTGTATTATCTTTCCAAACAAGTCTTTCTTTTTCATTAGTCTTATGATAGCATGATGAATAACATAATCTAGTAAATCCTTATTGTCTATTTCAACAAGATTACCATTAGAGATTTCAATTTGACTACTCCTATACTCCATAAATTCCTTTTTTAAATTATTTAAATCTCCCTCAAAATATTCCTTATAAGTATCCAAAGTATATTTTATTATTTTTCATTGCTAGTTTCTCTTTTCATTTGTAGCAGTCTGAAATAAATTTATGTGATATTTCATTGCAGTTATAATAAAAACCTGATTTATAGCTGTTCTCAATTTACTTTTTATAGAAATTAATGTTGTTATTTATAATATTTCAAGAAACATCTTATGGTTTTAATTCTTTAATAAGATACAGCAAAGGATAGTTTTAAATCTAAAATTGGAATGAATTTAAGTCAAATTACTCAAAATTATTTTACATTGAGTTTTAGATTTTTATTATTAATCCGCTCTTTTTTGTTTTGAATTATTACTCTGAAACATTGTTTTGATTATTTAATGTATCAGATTAAATCTTTAGATAGTATATTTCTTTGCATCCTTTTTAATAGAGAATTTGGGTTGCTATGAATATTTATCCAAAAGCACATGATCTTAAAATTTGATTAAAATTTATCAGGAAATGAATTTAGAGAACAAATTCAACCTTTGATCAAACATTTCCGAATATTTCTTATTATAAATGGAAGGAAAGTAATATATCTTCCTGTTTATTAATTTTTCTCATATATAATATATCATATTGATTTCTCAATTCAAATTGGGAATTTTATCAAGTATTTTAATTTTGGAATTGTTCCATGCATTCACACATGGATATAATTCTTATGTCAGTGATGTATCAATTTGTTACTAGTAATAATAGATTTGATATTTACTGTTATTGTTATTGCTTATTATTGATTATTTTATTTTATCCATTTTATGTATTTATGCTCAATATTTACTTCAACTATTATGATATCATTAGTGGTAAAAGTAAATGATAATTTTTTACTATTTATATTATTATTATGATGAGAGTATATATTTCCATCAAATGAAATCAAATATGATCTATTAATAATTTATTGGATTAATACCCATAACCAACTCCTGCAGAACAATAATTATTTTTGGATATTATATCTTTAAATCCAATTCCAACCAGAAAGTTAGATCCACTAAGCATTTAGAAAGCAAATAATATTTTCCCAGTATTTGGAATTACTTATTCGCAAAGACAATACTAATTTACATTGTTATTATTTTCAAAAACTTTTCCACCTTCACTTACTTAACAATTTCCACCCTTCCATGTATTTGAAAATATTAATTATCCACTATATTCATACATCTATCATTATTTTAATGAATATAATAATTACTTTTATTAATTCTAATTTTTAGATGCTTTCTTTTTCTAACTTATCTTGATTAATTTAATCAAGTTATTTTTAAACTAATTTTAATTCTAATTCCTTCTAATTCATTTTTTTATTTATTTCAGCGATTTCATTGCACTCTATTAAACTATTAAAATATTATACTTTTATCTTCTAAAGTCTTTATAATCTTTTATTTATCCTCTTCATTTTATCGTTTTAGATCTGCTATTTCTTAAGTTTGTTAATCAAATAATTATTTGTAATGTGAGTTTTCTTTTTCATTTAATTTTAATTTTTCATCGATCTCATTGATTTCTCTTTATTCTATGTAATTAAACTAGAAATACTTTCTAGGTGCTATTTTGCTAATTCTTCCTTATGTTCCTATTGCTTCTAATCCAATGACTTTGTCATTTATTAAAGCAGATTTATTTCTATTTATTATTTATTAAATTTACTTTCATTTTCCAAATTTTGATTCATTTCTACATATTTGACTAAGTCATTTTCTAATTTTTAAATGCAGCAAAATTTCTTCATTTATTTACTTTTATTATCCATATTTATTATGTAATCATTCAAAGATTTAGAGAGATTTTAATATTAAGCCTGTAATTATTCAGACGAGTTAACTTAATTTTTAGTCTGGTTTAAGATTTTTACTAAACCTAATTAAGATTACTTGCATGTTATTAATATAGAGTTATAGTCTATTCAAATAAATTTATTTAGCATTAATATTTTTTGGCTTATTCAATCAATTCTTAGGTATCCTTTATAATTTCATAAGTATCATCCTTTTTTTACTCAAATTTTGAAATTTATGAAATAATATCTGATAATTGCAAAATCAGATTTTTTTCAACTAAAATAAGAAAATAATAATATTGTATTACTTGAAACATCTTTGAGGATATCTAACGATTATTAAATATCTTATTAATCATACTATTTCAATGGCTCTAATTGATTTTCAATTTCTTTTTTAAAAATTGAATCTTGGTTTTTTTGGGTTGCTAATAATAAATTTTATGAAGGTTTTTCTCTTCCAATTAATGATTTCAAGTCATTTAATAATTCTTCGTCTAAACCTTATATAGAACTCTGTTTTCTTGGATTTTATTCTATGCCCTTATAATGTTATCCAAATTATTATAATATTAGTTTCTCACTAATTTCATTCAGTTTTGAATTATAATTTTTTCTCATTAAGCCAATTTAATTGAATATATCAGAGTTTTTCGCCTTTTTTTCTTATCTAAACTCTTATAACATTTTCTCAGATTCAGACTTATAATCCATCAATTATTTATTCAAATTTTCGACTGTTTAATATTTAATTGATGGATTCTCATATATACAATCAACACAGACTAATCTATCTTCAATCTACTTATTTTAAGAATCCATGTCAATCATTATAATTTCCTTTTTGTGATTTGGGCAAACTCTATTCAAGCTTGGTGTTTTCTATTGAGTAATAATTCAAAATTACAGATTCACTTTTTTTTAAACTTTATGGTGGTAATTCAACAAAATTGGTTTAAATCAAATCTTGAATTGTTTATTTTGTATTTTTGAAAGTGTCTAAGGTCTAAAAATATTCAGCATTGTTAAAAAGCAATTCAAATTGTTTTACTATTACATCAATGAAATTATCATCATCAATTAATTTAGTTGATTGTTGCTGGTCTTAAGAATATAAATTAGATAACTGTTTGAGGTCCTCTAAATAAGTGGATTGGAATGAATATTCTTGTAATTCTTATTTTTCTTTTTAAATTTGAAATATATATTATTAAATTTGTTTGTACATCTTTTCTAATGATTCATCTATATATCGCTTAAAGTCCATAATTTAATCAAGAATATTTTTATAATAGTTGAGTCTTGTTTAATTTTCTTTAGCTTTATTGTTAGATGCTTTCCTTCGATTGCTCAATTGTTGACACTTTATAATTATTCAGTTTATCCACTAAACATTTTCCACACAAAAATTTTATCTATGAGCCTTCTGATGTATCTAAGTCAACAGCAATAAATTCTAAATTGTGAAATTTGCAGATTGTTTTTTAGGCTTCTTAGGTTTCTTAAATTTATTTTGATTTTAAATCATTCATATTTTTATTGATGTTAATTATACATCAGATCATTCGTTCAAAAAATATTACTCTAATTCTATTATCTGATAATTCAAGATATTTTTATTAAATATATAATTATTTTTTTATATTTCTATTCACATTGCTCTCTAGCTTTTATTTCAATCAATTGAATACTATCAGTCCCGTTTAAGCCAGGTAATAGAGAATAAACTGTTCTCCACGTATTTTGAGTTTATGCAAACAAAAAAGGCAGAAATACCAGATAGAAAATTGAATCCATTTATTTTGATTTAATGTATCAATAAAAATAGTTTTTTGATTATCAGATTGAATTATTCTTAAAAATACAATAGTATATATAAATTAGTCATAGTACCTAGAAATCACTCAGATATAATCATATTAGGATTTATGTATTTATTTATCTGGACTAGAGCTATTGTTCTTTTCATTAGAATTAAGTATTTTATAATTGCTCTATATATTTCTATAATAGTTTAAAGAATTTTTCAATTTTCTTTTCTCTTATTACTTATAGGTATTGAGCTTAGAATTTGACAAGAATTTTAATTTTGGCATCTTTAATTAAAAAGAGCACTAGTAACAAATATTATTATTACAAAATATCTTATGTTCTCAATATTTCAATTTTGCTTACCCTTTATTAGACCCATTAAGTGTTCCTTTTTAATACTATTTATATTGCCTCTCTATTGACTAATATGTTTGAAAGTTAGTATAACATTTTTATTATAAATATCACTACTTTTATACTATTGGTGTGCTTAAATCTAAAAGTGAGAAAGGTTGCATCTTTGTTCCATTTAAATAATTTTAAAACAGAATTATTTTTTTTATCTTATTTTTGAAAAATTGTATAACAATTTTTATTATGTCAAACAAGTTAGGGCTTATAAAGGGGACACTAAAGTTTCTGTAAGATCATTGAATTTTCTATTTTTCAGACAAGCCATATCAAGCCTTATATCTATTTTAATAAATTAATTAATTAAATTTTCAGTGAGTTCTAATTTATAAATTTTCAAAATAACTATTTTTATAAATTTTTATGTAATTTTTTTGCAATGTTTTCATCTATCATTTTGAAATTTATCAAATTATCTCACTCAACAATAGTTTTTTTGTTTTATTTATTGCTTATTTAGGTTCTTAATTAATTAAATTTACAAATATCATTGATATTTGATTTAACTTTGTGTATCAGTAAATGATCCATTTAAAATCAAACTAGTTAGTGAAGAATAAAACTTTTCAAATCATTATGATCTATTAGGATCCTTTTACCTACCGAGGGATACTTTTTCAATTATCCATTTTTTTCTATCCCCAGCTTATTAATCATTCAATTCATTCCCATTTCCTAAACCCTAACATAAAATGTTTTTTATTCTACAATAAAGGGTATTAACTTTGAATAGTGGATCCAATTAAAAATAATTATTTTTTCTATTACATTCTTTCATTAGAGACAATACTATTAATTTAATATTTATTAACACATTGATTGCTTAGCAATATATTTAACTTAAAGCATTAAAAACAGCATTGAGAAAGTTCCTATTGAAATCTTAATTCTTTCAGATGGAAATAACTTTTCGTATGCATTATAAATAACAGTAAAGACAATTTTTATTTATCTTAAATTCAATATTTAACAATGCCGAACAATGAAGACAAATAGAAATTTAAATTTTAATTTAAAAATCAAATAAAAACAGATGGATTCATAGACAAATTAGCTATTGAAGTGTAAATCCACGCTTTATGATACTTTTAAATCATTTATTCTAAAACTTATGATATCTTATTCTCAATGAATTTCAAGTATTAAGGAAAATGATTTAATCGGTGATAGTCAAACATCCATTATAGGAAAAAAGAATAAGAAATTAAAATTAACAATAATTTTTATTTTCATACGGTCAATGTTATTAAACAGCTGAGTTTTAATATAAACTAAATTAGCTTTTCAAGCTATTTGAGAAATACTTGGAGAAATATCCTTGTAATTTATTTAAACCAAGACAAGACATATACTCAATGTTTATTATAGGGAAATAATTGAGAAATATTCAAAAATTATTTAGTAAATAAGAGTTTGTTAACTTATTTATGAGAATGGTATTTTCCTCAGTTCTTTCGACAAATTTCAAATTATATTCACAATTTTATTGAATGGTTTCCTAAAACCTCAAATAACAGGTTTAAATGAAATTTAAATAGTTTATAATATTTCAAAACTTATTTTTAATTCATAATTAATATATTTTCAAGTTATAAAAAACTCATAATTTAATAGTATATTATTATTATTATTATTATATANAATTTCTTCGTATTCATCTATAGAGTAATTCTTTAAGTTAAATTCATGAGCTTTAACTTTGTTGAGAACATCTGCTATTCTCTTAATATCCTTCTTTTTTTTTTCAGCATTGAGCATCTATTCTTAATTATGCAATGATAAATTTTCTACCTTTTTGTTATGTTTTCTATAGCCCATTAATTTAGATCTTATGAAAATTCTTGGCAGTATTAAATTTTCTCTCTTTTTAATATTGTAATGAGGATAGGGAAGACAGCTTCATCAACTTCTTTAGATAAAGCCAAACCACTGTACAAATCTTCATCCTAGTCCTTTTCATTATTCATTTTAAATAATTATTAATTTCTATATACTATTTTTGAGCATTATACAAGAAACCCAAAGTATCTTGTATGTTTATATCAGAAAGAAATCAAATTTTTTGCAAAGTCAGAGTTTGATATAATTTACCATAGTAACACATCGCATAGGATTGTGCATAGCCAGATTCTTATAGAATATAGAACAAAAATATAAAACAATTTATGAACAACAACCCCACACAAACAAAAGCATCATTACAAAAGTTACTCTGAATTTAATGACCCGAATTCATTTAGATACACTTGATTACCCTTGAGATTGGTTGAATCCTCCATAACTTAAAGAAAAATCTATAATTATAATAATTATCAAAATATTTATTCCAAGAATTCGCTCAAAAAGTATATAATGATAATTAAAAATAACTAAATTTTGACCCTGCAACTCCAAAAATAGGTCATCTTTGATGATTTATGACATAGATTTTTCAAACTCACAACAGCTTAGTTTTTTCGTATCCTTAAATGTATAAAAATTGATAAGTAATTTTATTTTAAAGGTTTGTATTCCGATTTTAAGGTTCCGTCCTCCTTATAATAATTAGACTGTTAATTTATAAATTCTAAAAGAATGAGTTAAAATGGTCTAACAGCTAAACTGTATATATTCTACCAATATGACTTTTTCCACAATTTATAATAACAGAAGAATCATAGAAACGTAAATAACCTAATTGTCTAGTATTAAAGTTGCTCTAACATTAGTATCACAGCTTTGATTTCACTGCCTGAAGAATTTTTGGACAACAAATTTTCTAATTATTATATATAAATTCTACAATTTTAAACAAATATTTAATTACACTTTCAGTTTTCAGTTTAGACATCTCTAAAGCTAAAGCACAATGATTCAGATATAAAGAAATGGTTATAAATACTCTACAACAAATTCTAAATTTTAATTTTTTAATTTAAGTGTTATAATATTCTAGAAACTCTGAGACTATTGTTGAATTTTTCTTCTAAAATTAATCTTAGTCCTAAATATATTTCCATAATAAAATTAAAATATTGAAAAAAAATATATTGAAATTTTATCTCTAAAATCCAAATAACAAAGACTGAATTCTTTTAATTAGTTAATTTATATAGTAAACTTAATAAAAATTTTGATCGATTTCTTTCTAAACCTACTTGATTCTAATTTAATCTTAAAATAATTAGAAAAATCTTTTCAATTTTAATTTCAAGGTTATTCTCCTCTCATTTCTCAAAATAAAAAAAGTAAAATACGTCAGTATGTGATAAATATAGGCATTTTTATATTTAAATGACATGATGTTAATTGCTTATATCATTTAAAATATAAATTGATGGAGAATTACTGAAGATTTTAGTTTATTCGTGTCTAGCTTTTCATTAATTATTCGAACATAATTCCAAAACAAAGTTAGAAGTCATTTTATTTTCTAACCTTACTCTAGTTATAAAATAATGTCCATCTATGTATTACATATATTGTATGAACTACTATAAATTTCTATCAATAGAAAATAATGAAGATCAGCATTAGAAGAAAGAAACATGTGGTATCTATATATTAATCTAATTATTCATTATGGATTGAGGTTTAAAGAATAATCCGGTCTGAAGAATATCAATCATAATTTAGTATTGCCTAAATTCTTTAAAAATCTAATTGCAAACCCTAGCCAAGATATTAATTTATATAAATATTGAATAAGACAATTCACCTAACGAATTATTTCAAAGAGGGTATTAATATCCATCCAATCAATTCTTATAGGCTCATTCCTTTTTATTTTATTTTTTCCCATTAGATGTTGGAATTCATACATTATATTCTAAACTCTTCAACAAAAATGATTATTTATTCATCTTTATTATCATTTAAATTGCTTCTGAACTCTTTCTCGAGCTTATGTTACTCCAATCCATAATGACTTTTTAAATCATAAAACTTATATTAAAATTATTAATATTAAATAACAATCTTATCCCAAACCTCCTTAATAGGGATAGTTTATTACTCATTAATAAAAATTTTGCTGTAAGTGTATAACTCCTCTATTTATTGATCAATGGCTTCAGAATTAGATTTAATCAACTAATAATTCTCTTGATGAGTGACATATTTTTTCAAAGTTATTAGTTTCAATTTCAGCTTCTCCAACCAATCTTAGATTGTTTCTTAAATTATTTTGCAACTCCCTTAGGCTTGAAATCCACCTTCTAATTTATCACCTAAATCCTATTCATCACGTAGGTCTGTATTTGCTATTTAAAGAGTTTGATCTTCAATCTCAAAAACCCAATATCCATAATGATTTCTATAGCATCTACTTCAGATTGCATTTTCGAGATCAATTAGAATTGGAGCTTAAGCACATCTGCATTCAAAAGTTGATCTTCACTCTTTACGAATTTATCCCATAAATCCTATATCCTTAACATGTAATGCTCTATTTATTTGTAACAAAATTATAGTTCTTACCCAAGTTCCTTTCCATAATCATATGACTTTAAGTTTTGTCTTCCATACTCTCTCAAATCTTTCTTAGGTCGGTTGTGCCTGAAACAACTTCATTGTTCTATAGTTCCTACTATTTATGCGTTGTTTAAATGCTTTATTCAATAATATCGATAGCTTGTTCTATTGTCTCAACAAAGATATCCTACATGCCTCAGAGCAATGGTTCAAACACTATGGTAACCTCCATTAAATGAATGTCCATGACTACCCAACTGAAATAGGTCATTTATCGAATAAGAGTGACAATTACCCAACTTAAGATACTTATTGGCCTTCTTCAATACCTTCAAGAAATTATTTATAGAATTGTACATTAATGTGATCATACTCTTGAATTGAATATAATCGACCATTCTTGTAAATTTTTTGATTCGTTTCCACTGAAATTATCTTAGATTTGATTAGAAGTAGAATTGTCCTATGAATAGGTAGAGCATTAATACACCAAATGTCAGGGACTTTTATTATAATGATCCTCTCTAAAAAAATTAAAGGAGTATTGTCATGCTTCCACAACTATTTTAGATATTAAATTAATGTTCTAAACTTATTCCTTTTGGAAGTCAGTTAAACATCTTTAAAATTTTTTTATGAACTTCATTTTGTTTACTGGACTCATTTAACTAGGGATAAAAAATACTAAACTCTTGATCCTTTGAGTGTGTTTATAAATTTCCTCTTTTGGGGCGCTTGAGAGATGGGTCTAATAACAAGAAACATGCAGTTAGATCCCCAGAAATTGATTGAGCTTTATTCTTGATGCTTAGCTTCTTCCACATGGCAAACGTCTTTTATTTCAAAATTTTTGTAATCTATAAAATCTTTTTCAAATTACTAGGTTGACACAAACTCCTCAAAATTACTACGATGAATTATAATCCCTCCTCCGTCATATACTGTTCTGACTATTTTCATAATTGAAAACTTTCCACCTATATGGATTACCCTAATTATTTAAATAGCAAAATTCCTATCTCAATTGATGATCAGGCTGTAGCAACAGAGCAAAATCAATTTATCCGAAGAATCCTTAAGAATTTTCCCTAATGCAGATTTCCCTCTTTGTCTTAGTGGTAACTTTGAGTTCCAAATGCTTTTATGTAGCGTTTTCGATTGGTTTCGTTTAATGATGATTATTGTTGTTCATAAGAGGAACGGCATTGAATAACAGAGAGTTATATCCACATCAACAGACTTTCTGATTTTAAATTTGTTCCTTAAATCTTATTAATCCATGATAAATTTAAGATGTAGGTCATTTACTTAAATAATCATTTTGTGTAATATAAATCATATTCAAATAAAACAGAGTACTATTGTCAATAAAAATAAGTAAAATAAGCAAACCATAAAGATATCTAGCATTACTGATATTTACATACTCCTCGTAACTCTTACTATACTTAGAAGATATTATCAAGGCGATCCAATTTGCCACTTATAACACTTATTTCCCTATACTCTTGTCTAGCATATTGATCACAAACACAATCAAATTGATAGAGTGATCAATACAAACCAAATCAGAATTTCTCTTAACTCACACTTCGCTTTCAAAGAGTGAGCCATCAATTCTTTAAATTGCAATACTTGTCTCCACAAAATAGCAAAAAATAAGATCAATTGTTGCAAATTCCAGTTTTCTATTAGAATTAAATTTAGATTTTAAATAATTATTAAAATTAAGGCTTTTAATATTTTCCATGTAATCTACTTATTTTCCTTCTTTTCATCATATCCTATGTGATCTGTTTGGATTTCTCCTCTTAAAGCGTACTCAATGTATTGGTTCTGCGCTTAACTCTCATACAACATCTGCATTCTGGGTTAATTCGCTTATTCAACTGTTGATAATAATTTTTAAAGGGCCAATCAATTTGAAATATTTCCTAATTAGTCTTAGAGAACTGACTTAAGGGTTATAAGTATTCCAAATTTAATCTCTCCAAAGTCATCCTCTAACTAAATTACATTCAGGTCCACTATTAAAAATAATTAAGTCTTTTACGTTAGATCCAATCAACACTCTACTAACGGGTAATTAAAATTCCAAGTCCATTGTTTCTCTACTAGTATGAAGGCTATTGTTTTCCCAAAAAAATTCATTCCCTACTCCTGCCTAGCATTCTGCATATCACCTGAAATATATGCTTTGACGACTATTGTTTTCAGTTGCGGGAGGATTTTAATTTTGATTCATTCTGGAATTGCTTTTATGATCGATGGAATCACTGGCTACTATTATGGAAATTATTTTTCCGACTCAACTCTATTTTGTTTCTCAGAAAGTTACATATTCAAGACCTGAATATGCGGAATCTCATCCTTTACTCATTTCAACACTTTATAAGATATAAACTCACAAGAAAGACAGAAATAGCTAATAAACATCTATCCTTTCAAAATATATAATTACAAATAGAATCTCCCATGTGCCTTATTTCCAATAAAAAAATAATAATGTTTGTCCAAGAAAACAGTAATTTAATTATCTTTTGATTAATCTGGGACTCTTTGAAATGAGCTAAGCAATCACAAAAGTACAAAATAATGTTGATTCCTTACTCAAGAGTTCGCTATTCATGCCTTGCTTTTTATTATTATTATTATTATAATTATTATTATTATTATGAGATTTAAATTAATTAAATCTAAAACGCTAGACACCTAGAGAACCTCATAAATCTTTGGAATTAATTAAATCATGAATAAATATTTGATAAATTTATATCAAAATTAAATGGTGTTTAGATTTCGAATAATCAATTCAAATGTTAAAAATTATTCTTTATTTAACAAAATCTTAAACATTATGCAATAACAAATACTAGTAAATATTAGAATTTGGGTAAATAGAGTAATTTCTACTGTAAATAGTCCAAAGTTATTTCCCTCTTTCAAACAGCAATCAATTGAAAATTATATAATTAATTCAACCTCTCCACATATATAATTGATCAAATTCAAGCATATTAATCAGATAAGAAAATAATAGAAAACCATTTGATTTATTTATATACAGAATTAAATAGCTTTAGTTATAAACATTCAATCCATTTCAAACACTTGATATATACATAATGATCATATTACTTAATTAGTCATTTCGGAGTTCTTCATAAATTGATAATTTGTTAAAGATACTCAAGACCTAAAATGGAACTCTCAGTAGAATTACCAAAATACCTTTTTTTGATATTTTTTCTATATTAAATCAGAAATTAAATCAAAGTACCAAATGAATTATTTTTATGTATAATAATATGCATGATCATCAAATGCTCAAGATTAAAAGTGCTACAAATAATACAGATTTCATTATTGAAGCCCAAGAACATCTTAAACAATTTTTACCAACCCAATGATAGAATGCATTGGAATTTTTCCAACAAGTATCTTTTGTTTGTTAGGTTGGGTCAAAATTTATACATCCTTTGCGTCCTATCATACAAAGTTGGTATCTATCTCCATTGATTTTCTCCTTTGCGAATTTACAATCAGCCATTTCTAATTGACTACATTAAAGATGAGATACGCATTTATCATCTTCAAATTCGCAGGCTGGAAAAAGCGAAAGAACATTATAAACTAGTAGGATCAACATCTTCGCAAGCCGTCAATTCTTAGCAAACTCCGTTTTTCCAAGCACAAAGGCCTTCATTAGCTATCAAGCATCTTCCATTAATGGTTTCAGAACATCTACCCAAATCGATTTTTTATGGATCTCTACAAGTCATCTTATTATTATCAAAATAACAATTGTGAAATAAATTCACACAATCATCTAATGTTGTAGCATTATGAGATGCACATGATTCAAAATCAGCGCATGTATTATTTACTAAAGCACAATTGCTATTATAAACACAATCTTTTGCAGACAAGTGAGTGCATTAAATAGTCTTGCATTCACGATGAGAATAGTTGCATATTGTAGCAGCCCTGCATTCATTCTCTTCGAGTAATTCTTCGCAAGCACATGTATCCTAAAGTTTCACAAATGTTTATCCTATGGCAATTGAACATAGATGGCTTATCAATAAAACGATATAAATTTTCAAATGAGATTTTCCCATAATATTTTAATTATTACTCATCTGAAAACTATATGTAGTTTATATCAATTTTTTCTAGATGACATTCATTTATGCATATTCAATATAAAATAAATTAAAGTAGAAATTGAAAATAAATATACAGACCGTCAATCAGTAATAAATTAATAAGATTCAAATGAAATGATGAAAAAAGATGGAATATCATTAGACTTTCTCTCGTATTTTAATTTTAAAGTGAAAATAATAATGATTAGAATATATTAGCTTCTTTAACAATATCAAAAGCATCACTAAACTTATATAGATTACACTTATATTTTAGTCATAAAATAATGAGTTATATCAAATATTGTAAACGTTATTAATTTTATTACTAAAATTCATTTAAAAATTTCAATAAAAAGAGTTTATTCTTGAAAATATAGTTTTATTATTGGTTTAATTTATCATATTGTATCATTCATTATTTAATGACAGATTTTTATATCTGTTACAAATAATTAAAGGGTATTGTCATTGAAAGAATATGATATATTTTAGCACAGTGGATTTTAAAAGAATTTTGGATTACAAGTTTACGAAAAGAATGTTAATAACGCTATTAATTGTAAAATCGAGTAATTCCGTTTTCCACCATAAGTCAACTAAAATCATTTAAGATGTTATATTGGGTAAAAATAAAATTAAACAACCGAATAAAGAAACTATAGATAAAATCATACTCTAAGCTAAAGAAGCTTGAAATACCAGAAGTGTTAAGTGATTTTTAAATTTAAATATAAATTTAAATTTATCAATTAATTATATACAATTAGCAATAAATTCCTTCAAGATTGTTAACAATAATCATCCATTGAAAATCAAAGCCTATTTGATTGAAGATCAAATTTAAAAGGGTCTATATTTTTTGGATTTTATAAATGGTGATAACCTATCAAATTTCTAATGATATTTTCCAAATTTTAACATATTCTCTAACATATTAGATTGATAAAACTAATTTAGAACAATTATTTTTTCTCAAAGTCTTTTTAGTATATTTTTTTTCCTAGCCCTTTAATGGTGAAATTTGTAGGTAGTTTACGATACAATTTTTCAAATTATTCTTAAAATTATAAATATAATTTCATAATAGATGTTTTTCTCTCAAGGAGTTTCAAATTCTTCAACCTTTTAACAAGATTTTGCATTCTCAAAAGTTATTTTCTTTTTTCTTCATTTATAAGCTTCATTCTTCATTCTTCATTTATTTATGTTTCATTAAATTTACTTACTCCTTAGTTTTCTAAAATATTTCAATCTTTTATTATCTAACTTTTAGATTGTCCTAGATTACAATGAAGGTTAATACACTAGATCAACTTGAGTTAAGCCAGAGTCCTTCTTTAACTTAATTAATGCTTTGGTTCCAATGATTTTCATATATTAATTGCCCAAACCTTACCTGGTAGAATGCAATTTGAAAACCAAAGGATATATTATTTATTAAGATCGCTTTCCTAGGTAACATTGCTTCGCTTTCCTAGGTAAAATTGCTTCGCTATTAATGCAAAAATTCATGCAAAAGGTTCTATAATAAATTTTTACTTTCCCTAGAGAATTTGGCCAATATAAAGTTGTTATAGGAACTGATATAAATTTAGAGTAAACATTAAACATTGTTACTTAAGGATTAGTACTTGCAAGAATGAAAAATATAAAAAATGCTAAAATACGTTTTAAATCTTCCTCTATCTTAATCATAAAACGTTTTACAAAATTCCAATTAAATTAGAAAATAATCCTCTCCTTTGTTCTTCAGTGGACACCTTTCAATATAAAGAACAGAGCATACAATTCTAATGAATAATTGAGTATTCCGAATTTAAGAGTAAACAAAATAATTTCTATTTACTTCTTACCATTTTTAAGGGCTTTCTGAATCCTAGACTTGGGATGGTATTTTGTAAAGGAATGATTCAATTTAATTTGATTTAAGTTACAATTCTTAGAATTAATCATCCAAACTTTTCATATAATCTATTGATGATAATCTTAAAAGAAAATTGTTTTCAGACACCCCAATCACCAAAATTTGAAACGCAATTATGAACATTAACAAAAATACGAACTACAGTTTTAGAATAAAATCTCAATTTATTTCAAATATTTATTATAGTATTTTATGGATAATTGTATCTATTGATGATTGAATAAAAGAAGTTATCTATTTAGTTATCTAGCCTAATAACTGGATTGTGAGAAAGAAACGCATTGATCATAAGCGTTTGAGTGTTATAAAAGTCCTTTTTCTCTAATTTACGGAAGGTGTATCTAATTTCTTTTTCCTTGAGGATAGTAGATAATTTTTAATGTTGGTTCTTAACATTACTATTAAGAATTATTAGTATATTGAACAGAATTCCTAAGTAATACATAATTGTGATGTAAAAAAAGGATTGAATATAAGAACTAATAAATAAGATAAAATAATACATGTTCGTGTGAATATATAGACTTGAGGTGTATTCCTTAAGCGTTAATTTTAAAATAAATTAAGCCCTCTAATTATAAGGATAAAATTTATACTCTATTATTTGCGAGATAGATAAATTCAGTATTGACCAAATTATATAATTCTATCTTCAATATAAATAAAATGTCATTATGACTATGACTGATGCAGAATTGGTGAATTTGTAGAGTTCTAAGACAGAACTCAGATATAATCAAAGATAATTTTCATCTATGAAGCGTATTGAACTTTAAAATAATTTACAACATATATTANTTCATATATTAATTGCCCAAACCTTACCTGGTAGAATGCAATTTGAAAACCAAAGGATATATTATTTATTAAGATCGCTTTCCTAGGTAACATTGCTTCGCTTTCCTAGGTAAAATTGCTTCGCTATTAATGCAAAAATTCATGCAAAAGGTTCTATAATAAATTTTTACTTTCCCTAGAGAATTTGGCCAATATAAAGTTGTTATAGGAACTGATATAAATTTAGAGTAAACATTAAACATTGTTACTTAAGGATTAGTACTTGCAAGAATGAAAAATATAAAAAATGCTAAAATACGTTTTAAATCTTCCTCTATCTTAATCATAAAACGTTTTACAAAATTCCAATTAAATTAGAAAATAATCCTCTCCTTTGTTCTTCAGTGGACACCTTTCAATATAAAGAACAGAGCATACAATTCTAATGAATAATTGAGTATTCCGAATTTAAGAGTAAACAAAATAATTTCTATTTACTTCTTACCATTTTTAAGGGCTTTCTGAATCCTAGACTTGGGATGGTATTTTGTAAAGGAATGATTCAATTTAATTTGATTTAAGTTACAATTCTTAGAATTAATCATCCAAACTTTTCATATAATCTATTGATGATAATCTTAAAAGAAAATTGTTTTCAGACACCCCAATCACCAAAATTTGAAACGCAATTATGAACATTAACAAAAATACGAACTACAGTTTTAGAATAAAATCTCAATTTATTTCAAATATTTATTATAGTATTTTATGGATAATTGTATCTATTGATGATTGAATAAAAGAAGTTATCTATTTAGTTATCTAGCCTAATAACTGGATTGTGAGAAAGAAACGCATTGATCATAAGCGTTTGAGTGTTATAAAAGTCCTTTTTCTCTAATTTACGGAAGGTGTATCTAATTTCTTTTTCCTTGAGGATAGTAGATAATTTTTAATGTTGGTTCTTAACATTACTATTAAGAATTATTAGTATATTGAACAGAATTCCTAAGTAATACATAATTGTGATGTAAAAAAAGGATTGAATATAAGAACTAATAAATAAGATAAAATAATACATGTTCGTGTGAATATATAGACTTGAGGTGTATTCCTTAAGCGTTAATTTTAAAATAAATTAAGCCCTCTAATTATAAGGATAAAATTTATACTCTATTATTTGCGAGATAGATAAATTCAGTATTGACCAAATTATATAATTCTATCTTCAATATAAATAAAATGTCATTATGACTATGACTGATGCAGAATTGGTGAATTTGTAGAGTTCTAAGACAGAACTCAGATATAATCAAAGATAATTTTCATCTATGAAGCGTATTGAACTTTAAAATAATTTACAACATATATTATAGTAAATATCAAAAACAATTATATACACTACATTATCATTATTTATATCAAATTATAATTAAGCTAATTAATTCGGTTAGAATGAATAAAAAATCTTTTTTTCTAAATAGATTTTGAAAGAAAAAGAAATCAAAAAGGAAGATATTAGAATCTAGGTGAATCAAATTTTGAATATATCGAATCAAGACTGTGTTGTTTACTTATTGATTCAAATTGGAGCATGTTATGCCGTTTATAGAAATTATAATAATTATTATAATATTTTCTTATGATATAACAATCTCATGATTTTAGAAACAAGTTATACCATTAAATTTTATATTCTTTATAGGCACTACCAAACATAATCCCTAATCTTTTAAACCTAGTATTCAAAACGTTGAATTTAAAAAAAATCAAAATTAAATTGTTCAAATCAAGACCTATAATTAAAGCATTAAGAATTAATAATAGAGACGAAAAAAATAAGACTGGAAAAAGTGTTTGAAATTTTTTGTTAATTTTATATATCCTCATAATTTAACTAAATTTAGAGATGCATTAAAAATAAGGAGATCTTTGAGATCATAAAATGAAATTATTTCCTTAATTTAAATATTTATTTAATCTTATTTATTGTAATATTAGTGTATAAGCAAAAGATATTAATTTTGATAAATTTTTGAGGATAAACTTATTATTAAAGTTTCTATTCATATTGCTTAATCTTAATTAATTGAGATTTCATTCGAAAGAAAATGATAATTAAGACTAAAATCAAATGGGAGGGAAAATCTCAAAATAGTATTAATAGTATTATAATTTTAATTTTCAACCTATCCGATTATTATAGAATCTTCTTATTAATATTGTAAAACATGTTACAAGATTTTCAGGAATGAATTAATATAATTATTTGAAATGAATGTTGGTTATTAGAGGAAATAATAATTATCAATATAAATAAATATTTAAAAATACAAATTTCCAAATTATTGTCAGGATAATTTATTTAACTAATGTTTAAATCTTCAATGATAGAAAAAGAAAAGGATCTAAAATGCGCTAATAAACACAAATTGCCTATTCTAATGGTTGTTCTGGATCCAAAATTAGAATTAAATTAGCGTCTTTTATGCTCAGATTGTATAAAAAATTTTACAACTCAATTTTCTACAATGGGTTATGAACTAGTGACTAAACAGATTAAACAAAATTAGAAGTAGAAAGTATAAACCATCGAGAAGACTATTTAATTAAATATTAAGTAAGTAGAGGAGTTATTAGGAAATATTAATAAATTAAAGTCAACAATAGCGTTTTAATTAGATGAAATAATTGGATTCAGTGGGGGATGGATTAAAAATTTGTTATCTGTTGGACATGAGTATTCTCAATACAGTTTTCATAAGGAATTAGAAAATTTAATTTCTAAATAAATGGAGAATTAAAATGATAAATCATTATTAGTAGATGAAATCAATAAAGTTAATAGTTTTTGGAATGTAAAAATAAATGAAAAATTGGAATAATTTAGCTCCTTTAAAGTGTATTAGAAGTGCTAAGAAATATTGTAGAACTTAAGTTAAACTATTCAAGTTAAACAAGAAGAGGTTTAATAATAAAAAGTATCCTAATAAAATAATTAATAATCTTAAGTTGACCAAATTCATGAGTCTAAATCAACTGCTAATTAATTGCTATCAGAACCTTTGATTAACCTGTAGTTGATAGATGATACAATAAAACAAAAGAGTAAATGTTATGCAATAGCTTTCAACAAAACTGGAACTAAAATGGTATCCATGAGTCATTTTGATATTAAAGTGTGGAATATAATTGATGGCAAACTCAATTATTAATCTACTTTACAAGGACATTCTAATTACATCTATTGTCTATTATATAGTAAAAAGCAAGATAGTTTTATCTCAAGTTCGAATGATAAAACAATTATTTGTTGGAAATAAATCAGATAAAATGAATGGAAGGCATCATAACATTATAGAGAACATAAAGGATGGATTGGAACCATGATTCTTAATAATTAAGAAAACTAATTATTTTCTGCAGGTGAAGATTAAAAAATCGTAGTGTGGAAAGTGGATTTCAATCAGAATGAATTAACCTGTCTGTATCAGCTAGAAAAACATACTAAATGTGTTCGTGCCATAAGTTTGAATGAATGTGAGAATATTTTGGTTTCAAGTGGAGATGATTAATAAATAATAGTTTGGGAATTCGGCTAAGGCGATAAGTTTTATTTTAAGTAAGTGTTTACCTAAGTTTTGAATTGTTCAGGTTGTCACATCAAATTTATCAAAAATAATAAATTCATTTGGATGCCTTATAGTAAAGAATTAAATTGTATTTGCGTATTTGATTACAAAGATGGCATATTTAATGAAAACATCGATAATAGAATTCAATTACTCAATTCTAATAAGAATATTGGATGTGCTCTATTCCCCATAGTGTATTTGAAAGACAACAATTTAATATTTATCAGATCTAAAAATATCATATATATCATAAAGGAAATTAATGGAAAGCTTGTCATTCAAAACGAATTAGATTGTAGCACAAAGTGGACCTTTGGAACTGCCACAGATGATGGAAAATATTTAATCTTTTGGGATGAACATAAAGGAGGCTATTCAACATATGAATTATAATATAAATGAGCCATAATAATATATAATAAATGTATTACATTTCAAATAATCATGATCAATTTATTCGAACTAAATCCAACATACAAATAGAGATAAAAAATAAATGACTAGCCTTATCAAGTAATCTAAAATCAGTCTCTTTGTTACTGACCTCAAATAATCTATTAAAATTCATTCATATAGAATGGGTGTTAGATCGCTTCAAAAAGTCTATAAGCATCGAAACGTCGGTTTGTACTATAATTTTTCTTCAGAAAATCACATTTATTGTTGGATAAATGAATGATAAAATTTTCATCCTCAAAAATTAAGCTTTTATGCTAATAATAATAATGACTATTTAATCAATTTTTATTCACACTCATCCTGTCAACTTGGTTTTCAAATAGATATCGAGATGTACCTACTAATCAAGAGCAAATAAATTGGGTTAGCTTAGAGATTTCCTAATTTTAATTCTGGAATGCAATCCTTGTGGCATATAAAACAGAAGATATAAGTTGATAAGGTGATCTAAGATTTAGTTCTACAACAAGTTCCATGTTTACTTTGACCTAATTAAAATAATCCATATAAGTGCTCCTAATAAAAGCTTATTTTGAACTTTATTTAATTTGCATTTTCTTCATCTTATTGGGAATGTCAATTTATTTAAGCAATTTATTTTGGTGAAATAAAGTCTTATTTAAGTGTGGGACTATAGTTGAAGATGGTTCGCTTTTAATAACTTGGGATAACTCAGACTCAATCCAAATACGAATTTAAAAGGAATTTTAATGTCAATTAGGAAGGATTGATAAATTTCATGCAATAGGAAATATTTCAAAGATATGATATTCATAATTTAGTTATTATAATTAATGTATCAATATACATCCTCTAATTCAAAAATATCAATTTTAAGTGATTTCAAGTCTGAAATCATCAAATAATTTCCATCTTTACTCAAAAATGCAACAATGATACTTGAAAATTATAAATGTTCACGATATTTTATTACATTATCAATAATTAATTTTCCTGAGTCTTAATTCTGGAATTTGATTACATTGATATTACAAAAGCCTACAACCAAGAGAACCTACTTATTTTAATCAAAGAAAAATGGAAATGTGTCAGGTTTATAAAAGGTCATGCATTCATTTATACAAAGGCTTTCTGAAGATGAACAACTGATTGCTTCTTCATTTAAGTCGTATGCCTATAGAGTTTATGCTGAATGAGAAAATAAAACCATTTATTTAGAAGAAAAAATGAATTTAAGGTTATTTATGAAGCAGATTTTATGCAATTCCTATTCAACATCTACTTGATGCTTAATATCCCATAATTGGCCATTTCTTTGCAGTACTAATATCTTTTTAGACTCTGCTAAAGCTATTAGCCTAGATCCCTCTTGATTTATTATTAATTAAATAATTCTTCCTATTGGAACAAATATAGTTTATTAGCATGGCTATTTTGTGATTGAAATTGACAAAATTTTGATTTTATTATCCTTACTACTTGAAAATAATAGATTCTCATCGATAGGATGAAGAGCGATGCAGACAGTTGAGTCTAAGTCTTCTGCAATTTTCTTGATGTATTTATAACTTCCTAAAAGAGTAGTAGACCATAAAATTAATGAACATTTGGAACAAGATATAAAATAGGATTTCTTATTTAGGAAAGCTAATGTTGCAGAGGTTTAAGAATTAAATGTAAGCAGCTATACTTTTTATATGAATCCATTTTTAAAAGCATAAACTGAAATAGCAAAGAGCGTATCTAATAAAAGGAGGGTATTTTCATTATTAAGAGCCATTCTCATGCAAAAATTCGATAAAGTAATTGAATTCTTAGGAATCAATGCTTTAGTTGTATTTTATTTAATTTCCTAGCATTCTTACATTAATAAAAAATATTAAAATATTAATAATTGTTGCTATTGATTTTGATCAAATAATAAATTCACGAAGTTTAAGGTTCTTATAAATTTTAGGCATCCAGAAACCGTCTATTAAATCATTATTAATCAATCAAATAATTCCATTCCTCTAAATTTAAAGATTTCGAATTCAAAGTATTATTAAATAATCTACAGTTGATCTATCTACAAAACATATTTCGTTAGTGAAACAACTTAATATAAAAATAATGTGTATTTATATAATAATTTTAAATATATAAAATTAAAAATGGGTGGAATCTCAATTAAGTACAAAATCTAGAAGGTTTCAGAATTTTATATATCTTCAGCTTAAAATATCTTATCAATTTAGATCAACCAATAATCTTCCCTATTACTCTTATAGATTTAAAATCAAAATATCAAAAAGTTATCATTGTTCTAATTTAAAGCAAAGCAAATTAAGCATATTTTGGATATTGGACTTAAATTTGAAGTAAAATGTACTTATTTCAAAATTGCAAAAGGATTGTTTATTTTCAGCTTGAATGAATAAAATGAAGGGATATTCATTAAATCATCAGATTAACTTAATATTAGTAAATATTTAATGAAATTAAGAACTCCATGTAATTCTGATTCTAACTCAACAATTTATTCATGCTTAACAATCAATTATAATGAAGATATCATTATTTCTGGAGGAATTGATCAAATAATTATTTGGGAATAAAAAAATATATGGAAACTGAAATAATTGTTAAAAGTTCAAGGAAATGTTCACTCAATTAACTTAAATCCTTCAGAGACAACATTAATCAGTGTAGTGCAACCATCGTACCGTTATTTTATCTATTTACATGAACTCTCAATAGAATAGATTTGGACTTAGAAACAATGCATTGAAGTTGGCTATGATATTAGAGAAAATATATGTTTTATTTAAGATGATGTGTTTGTGGCAAATACTATTGGAAAAAAGATTGTAGATGTACTATTTGAATATTAAAACGATGTTCTGGAGTTTTATAAAAAAAACAAAGATGGGATATTCTAAATTCAAAAGTAAAAATATCAAGGAAAAGATTGGATTTAAACTTGTAAGCTGTATGACAATTAATATTCCAGTCGTAGAAAACTATTATTTTGTAAATTGAAATCGATGCTTGGAGGTTTTAGCCATCAATGTATTAAATTCATCAGAATACAGGATTAAGCTAAATTTATTTTAATTTAAACCATAAAATTTGAAGAAAAGTTTAAATCTTTGGAATTCACTTCAGATTTATAATATGTTTTATTAAGTTTAGGAAATCAAATCAAGATATTTGAAGTAAATTAAAACTAATGAATTTTATACAATTTCGTGTTGTTAAATTTTTCAATTATTTTTAAGACTTAACTTTTGAGAGTTAATATTGCTTTATTTTACTACAACCCAGAGTTTTATCAATAATTAATACATCCATTTTTTCCATGATGATTTGACATTTTCTAATAAACTTTATCAGGAATTTTTGTCAATAGTTAATAGCATCCCAAGAACTTTTCATTCAGTCTTTTTGGAATTTGATCTTTCCTCGTTTTTGTGGAATGTAAATGATTTAGGAAATATATAAAGGTTTTTAAAGTTACTAATTTGTAGCACAAATTAGAAGCATATGAAATTTACCAACAATCTAAATAATAATCATTCTTTATTCATCTTGTTAATAATTTGTCTACATAACTATGGAAGCCGAATCCAAAGAAAAATTCAAATTCATCCATTTTTCTTTATTTAAACATTAAAATCATTAATGAAAAACACTCACCCTATCTTATCCAATAAATATCAATCAAACAATCCAATTTTTTACTCTTACAAATGCTTATTAAAAGGAGATTAACAAAATGTTAAAATTTGATAAATTTAATACTTAATTTAGTTCAGAAATTTGAACTTAATTTTATCCATTACCCAACTGTCCAATGGGGCAATGATACACCTTCTTTAAAAGACTGTAACAATTAATAAATTTTATCAAAATTGGTACTCTACTCTATCTGCAGAATTTGAAATTCACTAATTGATAATCTTTAATAGGTGTGTCTAGAAAATGATAACTTATTTCAATCCATTCTCCATCCTGAATTCTTATTCTTTGTATCTACTTCGATTATATATTTCAAACATGTTAGAAAACTGAATATATCCATCTTCTCTATAATGATATTCCATTACTAAAAGTTTTCATTTTGGTTACATATTTCCTCATATAAAATTAAGCAATATCTAAATAATATATTTATATTTGATATTACTCCAAAACGATTTACATAATTCAAACCATTATCCATTTTTTAACACCTAATTCATCATAGAATCTACTCCAGATATAATATCCTCACTATAGTTTTTTTCCATAAAATAAAGAAATTCTCCATTTCTTTCTTAATTACTAATCCATACAACAACTATTTTACATTTGTATATTCATCACTACATATAACTCTCCAATAAGCTTATTTGAACAAAAACTACTAATAGATTATCAATTAAATCCATCCATTTATTATTCTTAAAATATTGTTCATCAAAATATCTAACCTCGCTTTAGAATGAACTAACTGATACAAATAATTTCTTTTGTTCATTAACTATTCCTATAATGAGTTTTTCATCTACCAACTTTTTCACCGTTTAATATTTGCCACAACAAATATTATTTTTAGTTTTCGTAATCGTGAATTACGTTGATCCAAGTAGTTTGTCAATTCGATTCATTACACATTTTTCTTCCTTTTACAGCATAAACTCAGGAATGTTAAAAGATAACAATTTTTGCATTATTCGAATGAGCGTTATCCTGATGATATTCTCCAATTGTTTAATTTCTCAAAAATCCCATATATTTTACCAGATATGTAATAATATGGACTCCGAAAATATTAAATAATCAATTTTTGATATTAAATAATTTGTTTAAGGATATCACTCTATAATAACCAAATAATTTTGTTGTAAATAATTACATATTAATTTCTACACCATAACCTCGTTTTTAACTTAAATTTTACTATATATTTTACTTCTAATTATTTAAATCCCACTTTTTGATATAATCCAGAAAATTCGGAGTAAAAATCAAAATATTTTAATTGGTAAAACTTTTAGTTTTCATTAAATCGTTATTATTAGGATCATAGAATTGCCCATATTTACTAAAAACAATAATTTTAATAAAACTCTATCCTTGATTTAAAAATTGTATACTTTACGAATATATATTAATGTATTGGCAGACATGCATTGGAAATACCTATATCCATCCCATTTTTTTTATACATACTAATCTCCTTCATTTCTAATCTTTCTTTACCACAGACTAAAGCATATTGAAAGGTTTGAATCGCAAGAAAAGATTTTTCGATGAAAAAAGTTGATTATAATTATCCATTAAATAATATAATAAGTATTTGAAATAATTTGAGATTTTATTCTAAAACTGCAGTTCGTATTTTTGTTAATGATTATAATTGCGTTTCAAATTTTGGTGATCTCAAGAATACTCAACCGAAAAAGAAATATTTCCTAGTTTTTAGTTGAAAATCAACTTTAGAGAAATTCAGGAGTTTAATTAATTGCATAACAAAAGTTTTATTCCATATATTTCAACTATTTATTCATCTATGATAATTTATTTTAGTAGACAATTATTGTTACAATTAGGCATGCTTCAACATTTCTATTTTCCAAAAATTATGTATAGCTATGTATTCTACTTCAATATTCATTAAATAAATCGATTTATAGCTATTCTAACTGACAAATATATTTATAAACCAATAATTATTAAAATGAATTAATAATAAGGATAAGATGGATCTGTAAACAATAATGAAGATACTTAGTAGACAATTGAAAAATAATAAGGTATAGAAAACAAAGAGTTATGCGTGAATTGTAATGGAAAAATAAATAAGCAGAATGTAAAATAGAATTAGGCTTCCATTAATTAAATAAAATAAGCAAAATAGTTCATCCAATCAGATAGATCAAATTAAGTTTAAACAAAATTACAGTGCTTGAATAATTTAAATGATTCTGTAGAATAATTAAGAAATTTTTATATGCAGTAAATAGACCAAATCTAATAATCTATTAGAATTTGGTAATAACATCTTCGAGATGCAGAAGATGTGTTTATAAATAAACTATAATAGGAGGAATTAATAAATTTTCCATTGTTAAACCAGTTTATAAAGGAGTAATAATATGCATAAAATCAAGATTAGATTGATAGAATAAGGTAAGTTAATTATCTCATTTTTGGTTTAAAGGAAACAGATCTAGTGAAAAAGTGTTTAAGTCTTCTTGAAAATAATATAAATAAACCTATTAGATTAGATTCACATAATTTAAAAGAATATAACAATAAAGATGAAGTATTTTGATACATTAAATTAGGAACTTAACCTCTTTTGTGAAGATCACAATAAATAAATTACTTTATGTGATTTAAGTTCAGAAAAATCAATCTAAAAGCGTATAGGATGTTTGGATTGTTTAGATGGAACGATAAATTAATATACATCTATAAAGAGAGCCTAAATTATGTGGCAATAAGTATCATAGAAAAGAATAGAGAAAATGAATAGCAATTTTGAAATCTTAAAAATTAAAGTGAATTCAATAAAGGATTACTTTTTAGCGATTCAAAAAGGAATTAATTGTGCAATTGATAGTGCAACAAACAAATTGAGTCTAAATTATGAGGATTATATTTTACAAGTGAATTAGACATTTAGTTATTTAGGAAATCTATCATGGTAATCAATGACTAAAGAGTAAATGATTGCTATTGCTTAAGATTTGAGTTAAATTAATTAATCAAGTACTTTAGAGGATCCCTTATCTGATGAATTTTGTATAAAAGAAAATTTAATATACTAGATTGCTAGAGATACTATGAAATAGTTGCAAGAATTATAAGCAACATTTTTTGATTAAATTATTCATTTGGTCTGTAAATAATTGGATAAGAACAGCAGCATTTCACTTTAATTCCATTATTAAAGTGCAAATAACATTGCTAATTAAAGCACTGACATTATAGATTACTTAAATCAAAATTCAATTGATTTAGAACATAAATAATAAGAATAGCAATTATCAATTCAAATGAAAAAGAGTAAGCTAAATATCCAAGCATAACCATAATCTTCTTAAACAATCTCAACTAAAGAAAAGGAATAACAATTTAAGCCCTTCACATATAAACTAATAGAAAAATATTCGATTAAATAAAATGAATTTTGTAGAGCAATAGCTTTCAATAAAGATTGTACATTAGTTGTAGCTGGATGCAATAATCTCATCAAAGTTTTTGAATTCTCGTAAGGATAATTGAAACAATTTTAAGTTTTGAGTGAACATTAGAATGATGTTCATACTCTATATTTCATGAAGAAGTCAGCTCATTTTATTTCTGGAAGTGCAGATAAATCAATAATTATTTGGTCCTTGACTTAAAATAGTGGATGGGTTTGCCAATAAAAGCTAACTGGACATACACACTATATTAGATGCATGATTTTAGATAATACCGAAACTCTTATCATATCAGGTAGCCCTGATAAGACCATTAAGTTTTGGGTTAAGAAAAATGACTGGTAATGTCAATAAACAATCACAGAGCATACTAGTTGGATATCTGGATTAAGTTTGAATGAACAATAAAATCGAATGATATCTTGTGGCGGGGATAAATAAATATTAATAATGGAATAGTTCTAAAAGGATTAAATGTGGGTAGTAATATAATAGATAATGGTTGAATAGTACGGTGATAGAGTATGCTTTATTAATAATGATTTGTTTACATTTTAACCATATTCTCATGAGACTATGCATGTTTACAAAAAGGATAATAATCAGTAATATTCTAAATTGAAAGAAATTGATGTTAAGGGGGGCAGTTCAGGTGATAGTTATTTATTCCCATAATAATTTATTAAAACTAAAAGCATCCTATTAAATAAGAACGGCTAGAATATAAATTTCTTGAGTTAAAGAGGAGAGAGCGAGCTAATAAATGAATATTCTATAGACTTTGGGACATATTACTTATTTGGATAAATGAGTGAAGATGGAGAGTATTTGATGACTTGGGATAATAAATCAACTGAAATTTAAATAAGAAGATATGATGAGTTATGATAAATAAAAGCATATTGTAATAATAGATTAATAAATATTATGTGCTTTAATGCTAATTTTAAATGTATAAATTTTGCTGAAATTAAAACTAGTTTTTTTGCAAAAAAAATAAGATGGAAAGAGTTGTTTATTTGTAGTAAATATTCCTAAATTATAAATATTATATAATTATTGGAAGAAAAATAACAGTTTATCATTTGATAAACTCCCCAAAATTAAATAATTAAACTATAATTAAATGATTTTGAATTATTGATAATTCCTTCAAATTAATCTTGTTTCCAGGCATTGGATAAATTGTATCAATACCCAAATCCGACCCTTTACTGTAATTTTCTTAAGTCATTTTCAAAATGTGATTAAATTATTATTAAGAATTTACTTGCTTACTTGCATGTAGAATTGACAATGTGCTTACATTTAAGTTTAACTTCTTCAAGTGTTAATAATCCTGTTATTTTATTATTATGAATTTTATTTTTGCCTAAAAGTTAATTTTGATACAACTTTATATTAGGGATTAAGAATGGAAAATATATGTTGTTTATGCTCTTACTATTAATTTGTTTTTGAAGTTGGGATAATTATTAATTTAGTGTTTTTATGAATTATTTTGCTATTGCCCAGATTTAATCAAAATTAGTAAACTTATAACATGAAATTTAACTAATTATCCACATAGTTTGAATCTTAGTTGGGTCCTAAAAATGTTACAATTTAAAAACTGATATTCGACTTCAGAACTTATAATGATTTTTGGAATAGCGGGTTTGTCATATCGTGGAATCTAGTTAACTTTCATTCTTTAAAGTGATGAAGAAAAGAATCTAACTATGAAGGCAGCAATTATTTATGAAAGTGAAAGTATTAATTAAAATTATATTACTATCTAAAAAATAATAATAATAGAACTGGATAATAATTTAAATTATTATAACCAAATAGGTCTTAAAATTGATAGTAGAACAGAGAATTAAATCTCCAGAATTATAATATTCTATAATAATTAATTGAAAAATCTTCATATATCGTTGTTTGATTTAAATATTGTGGTTGATAATGAGTTGTTGTTTCGAATTTATTCAATTTATTTTTTAATTCATTGATAAATCTGTTGATGTATACGCTAACACAAATTGAGTGCTATTTCTTAAATAATTTATGATTAATAGAAATCTAATAGAAAAAGTTTGATTAATTCATTTGGGTTATTAAAATTATATTCTCAAATATATAGACTTTGAATTTCCATGTTAAGACTTTTAAGTTCTTAATGCTGTGTTAAATTTTGAGATAATTCTGTTTAAAAATTAAGGTTTTGTCATATCCTAATAGAGTGTCACCTTGTTCATAATATATATTGACCATACATGAAATTCCTTTTGGTATGTTATTCATATGAGTCCTTCTCATATGATTCCGATAGTCTTAAATGTTGTAATAAATGTTTTTGCATTCAAAATACCTGCTTTTTAATGAATTATCAATTTACTTTAAACAATTTCTTATCATTATTTTTTTAAGACTATTTATTTTCAAATCATTTTTCATGATTAAGGTCAGAATAAAATTGATTACCTTTTATTTTTGTTTGATTTTTGGTGTTAGATTCTTTGGAGATATCGTTAAAGGTGGATTTATTGGAGAATATGACTATTGTTAATAGTCATAATTAAGAATTTTTTTTTGTAAGATTTTAGATATGAAGTAAAATTGTTTAATTCCAAATGTCTCAAAAAAGATAAATTTTGAAGTTCCCCCTAAAAGGCACTAGCACTTAAAATCACCTTGGCAAGGAAACTATGGGGATTCCTTGATAGCTAAATGCTTGATTAAGTAAATTATGGATTTAAGGAAAAGGATAATATCGAACATCCGATTTTAAAACATAATTCATCTAAGGATCTAGACTTAGAAGAAGAATATTGTCTTGCTGGATGAATATTATAAAATATCGATTCAGATTTTAGACCCTTAATCGAAATATCATATATATTTTTACGAAAAATAAAAATCAAATTATAATAAAAATAATATCTTTACTTATAAGCCAAAAATACATTTATCATCTAAGATCAATAAAATTGTCAGTCCAACATCAAAAAATATCATTATCATAGTTATTACTCGATATTAAGATTTGATAACTAGCATTTGTTGTTAATCACAACGGCAAGAAGAAATTGATGTTTTGTTCAAGTGTGAAAATTATAATATTTGTTGATTTTATTCATATTCAAATTTTCTCATAAGTTTTAATAGTCTTGAGCTTAAAAATTATATCTTTTCCATCCTCAAAACTGTTTTGCCCTGTTTAATAATATCATCACCATTAATTTTTATAATAAGAAAAGTGCTATGGAATAATTTAAACACAAAATTAGAATAAAGTATAACAGAAATTGTTAGGATTAAATTATTTCAGAATGCTGAATTTTTGTCACACGATAATATTTCATAAAATTGTATCAATTTTTAGGTTATGAGGATCCTTTCAGAAAGAACTCCTAATTTCTATAAAAATATAAATAATGATATAAACAATATTTTATTTATATACTTAATTATTGAATTAAAGAATATGAGAAGAAAAGAATATAAATATCATTAAGTGAATTTTAATATATTTATGCTGTTTAAGTTCTATTCAATTTGATTATTAAATTTAGATTACTTATTTTCTAATTAAATTATTTATATATGACATATAAAATAGCTGGTACTTGGAGAAAAATTATTTTATAAAGATTTTTATCAAAAACACTTTAAAATGAGAGAAGTAATTACAATTTAAGTCGGATAGGGGGGAATATAGGTTGGAAATGCATGTTGGGAATTGTTCTGTTTAGAGCATCAAATATAGCTTAATGGATAGTTGATCAATTAGTAAATAATAGATAAAAATGATGCATTAAGAACTTTGTTTTTTGAATCTGATCTTTAAAAATTAGTTCCAAGATCTATATTACTGGATTTGGAATCATCGATAATAGATGAAGTAAAAACTGGTAAATTTAAGGAGATGTTTAACCCAGAATAATTAATTTCTGGAAAAGGAGGCACCGCTCATAATTTTGGAAGAGGTTATTATTCCATAGGCTAAGAATATATTGATACTGTATATGTTTGGAGAGAATAAGAAAACTTGTTGAAAATTGTTCTTCATTTTAAGGATTTATAATATTCAATTCGGTTGGTGGAGGGACAGGTTCAGGTTTTGGTGCTTTGCTATTTGATAAATTATCAGTTGATTATTGTAAAAAATCTAGATTGGGCATAATTATTTATCCATCACCAGAAACCTAGGTTTCTATGGTTGAACCCTACAATTCAATTCTTGCAACTTAATCTTTAATAGATCATGCTGATGTTTGTATAACTATGGATAATTAGGCAATTTATGATATTTGTAAAAATAAACTTGATGTTGAAGTACCAAAATATTCTAATTTGAACAGGATGATAGCTCAAGTGATGTCATCTATAACTGCTTCGATGAGATATGATGGCCCATTACTTAGGGAGATGGCTGAATTGGAAAATAGTTTAGTTCCTTATGCCAAGTTCAAATTTTTGATTTGTACTTATGCTCCTATTATATCCTATTAAAAGCTGGACCATTTGCAGCTTTCAACTATTGAAATCTCAAAACTTGCTTTTGAAACAACAAACATGATGGCAAAATGCGATCCAAGATTGGGGAAATATATGTCATGCTGTTTGTTATATAGAGGAGATATCATTCCTAAAGATGTTAGTTATTCGATTTCCTAAATTAAGACTCAGAAAACTATTAGATTTGTCGATTGGTGTCCAACTGGTTTGAAAGTAGGAATTGATTATCAAGTCTAATAAACTTTACCAGAGGATGACATACGTAAAGCTTAAAGATCAGCTTGCATGATTGGAAATACAACTGCAGTGTCATAAGTCTTTTCAGAATTATGCCATAAATATGATTCAATGTTTTCAAAAAGAGCCTTTGTACACTGGTATATAAAAGAAGGTATGGAAGAAGCATAATTCGTAGAAGCAAGAGAAGAATTAGCATGCTTATTAATAGATTATGAGGAAGCAGATTCAGAAATAAATGAAGGGAATTATGAAGAGAATGCAGGACCATGATAAATTTATTAACATATAATAATTTATATATAGTTAGAAGCAAAATCTATTCTGAATTCATATAACTGTAAATAGTTAAATATCCTAGATTAATAATCGATCCTATGGGAGAGAAAAATTTTGTAATAATCAAAAATTATCGATAGCTTTTTCATTATTTTCAACTTTATGAGATTTTCCATATACAGTTTTCTTTACAAAACATAAATAAGTCAACAAAAGTTAGGTAATAAAGTAAAAACTCATGTTATTGATAAGTTTAGAGAGGTTAGTTATTACTAGGCTAAATTTGCAATAATTATAATATTTCTAAAGCAGATTTGAGTAAGTAAGTATCTTGATGGTGTCCCATTTATTTCTGAATCCCTTGAGAATTTTGGATCGAGCTCTCTAAATAAAACCTTCATTAGTAAATTTCACTTTAAGTTATTTAATTTAACTTTAAAATAGAATTTCATTGATGAAATCAGTAAAATTTAATCTATTTGAATTCCCATTTCTCACCTTTGACTAATTGTATTTAGCGAATTCAAGAATTATTCTTTATAATTAAATCAATACTCATAGCAATCCAACAATTTTACAAAAATTTATTGAATAGAAAATTTTATTTAACAAAAATACAATATCGAATTTAAAAGTTTTTACATTTTAGGTAAATTTACTTTTATAATGATAAGTATTCATAGAAATACAACACAATATATATAAGTTAAATTATGTCCAATCAGCTTCTTCAATATATCATGTAATTGATTTTTGGATATTCTCTAAAATTAATTAGTTATTTTTAACAAAAAAAAAAACAACTCAGTCCACTATATGATTCTTTAAATAAAATTCTTTCAACAATTCAAAGCATAAATGAGCTTGAAACTTAACTGAGAATGAACAAATCGTGTTTCACATTCTGCTACTTATAAAGAAACTAAACTACATATATTAATTAGCTTCAATTAATAAAAAGAAAAGAAATTTGCATATTGGTTGATTTCAGTAATACATTTAATACCGTAAATAAAAAGTTACTTTGTAGATATTAGAAGAGAAAGCAATATCAGACATATAAGAATTTGATTTCTTTAAAGGTTCCGAATAAGCTTACCTTTTTTTTATCCATCAAATTTTGACCCACTCTGTTTCTCTAACATAGTTCCTCAAGAGTAGCCTCCATCCTTCTATTAATCAAGATTTATCTTGAGATAGTGTTGCGAATAATAAATGAGAAATTTTAAATACCCTATAAAAGCTAATGTTACGTTGATCATATTGCTATTAAAATTAAATGTCAATAACAAATTAATTCCTAATAGTATTTAAACAAACCTACTAAAAATTTTTATGGTAATAATCAAGAACTAATAAACCTAACACTAAGAATTGAAACATTTTTTACTTATAAAATTCAAACCAAAAATCATATGCTACAAAAGGCTTCGACCCCTTTGTTTTAGTAGTGCGATGATGTTTACCAAAGAATTGAATATATAATATAAGTTCATGGCATCAGTCCAAATTCAGGTTAGAAAAGAAATACTAATTAAGATTTTGATAACTTGCCATAGACTCTTCATTTGCAAAGAATAGAACCTTTTTTGCAATAAAAATCGACTCATTCATAAATTAGATTAATATATTAATGATTTTAAGTCAATACCATTTATTTTAATTTAAAATTATATATTTCAAATGATAAATTGTGAATTTCCACTATTTACAACTACAATCCATCTTTAATATTAATTCCTTAAGCCAGGCTTAGAGTAATTTATATCAACTAGGAGTTATAATTATTTGATTCTAAATAGTATTGAATGATTTCATATTGAATTTTAGCAAGTTAACTTATGGGAATGACCATGTTTCATAAGCTAATCAAGGTAGTTGTAAATATTGGACTAATACAATATTCTGTTTAAATTCAAAGTGGGGTAAATATAATAATTTATTTGAAGTTAAATCTTAGGTGAATCAAGAAAAACTGAATTTTCAAATAGATAACTACTTTAAATAGTTTATAGATAAGAAACCTAAGATTATTAATAAAAAAAATCGATATATATATTCAATTTAATCTGTTGATACATGTTGATGAATATTTAAACTATATACTATTAAGTGAGACATGGGTGCTTGTACAGGGACCAATTTGTAAATAATGGAAATTAAGAATGTAAATGGAATGACTAATGAAATAATACATTGAAATAGAGAAATAAAACTAATTATTAAAATAAGTTAATGATGAAACTTAGAAATTTTAGAATTCACTAATGTTTATTTAGGCTTTTTTATAAGCACTTCACCAATTTATATAAAGAACCAAATGTAATGGAATATGCAAAGTTAATAAATATTTGAAATAAGATTATGAGTATCTTAATATTATTTTAGAAATATAAAAGGAAAGTGAGGCTGTCCATCTAATAATTAAAGTGTCTAATTAAAATTATTATTATATTAAATTAAATATACAGATGATAATGTTACTGAAAGAGAAACAATCAAAATAATTCTATATTCCCTTATATTAAGTTATAAGAATCCAGAAGTACTCCTCTTTAAATTGCATGTTGGAATTACCTTTTGAAAAGTTTTAAAAATAGAATGGATAGTGGGTTATATTTATAGTTGCTTTCTTAATATAAAGTGAAGTGCAAAATAATTACTACTGGGTAAGAATAGACGAGAATACTTTATATTCCATGTTTTAATTACCATCTTGATAGTGCCCAAAAAGTTTGCTTATAAAGGAAGGATAAGTTATAACATTGTTTTAAATTACTAAAAATAAATTTATTTTAGTATGTTTTATATAATCAACATCCACCACTTATCGGAAATTCAAAAAAACTCAGAGATTAGCCACATTTTTAAACTAGGTAAAAACCATTTTAATTTGATTAAATGAATAAATCTATACAATTTTAGAGTCTAAATATCAAAAATAATTTATGGGTAGGTAATGAGAAATTTACTACTTTCTCTATCAATAGTACAAAATATATACTGGATTAAAGTGTCAATAAATATCTTACTACAAACCAGGAATAGCTTCGCCAAGATTAGGACTAGAGAATGAGATTGAATCATTACCTTGATTTAATTGTTAAGATAGTTCTCCAAAATAAACTTAGGAATATTGACTTTGATGGGAAATACAATATGGTGAAATTCTAAATAATATATATCTCTTTGTATAGCTCACAATGTTCGAATACGCTTTTTTTGTTTCCTATTACTTTCCTCCATCCTTATAAGCTATTCTGGCTTTAGTTTCTGCTTATATTAAAATGGTTCAAAGTTAAAGATGCTTTCGACTTTAATTTATCTGTATTATTTGCATAATCGTCGAGAACCTTACTTGCTCTTTTTGTAAATCACTCCATTTATATTCTTTTCTAAAGTTTCTCTATCATCTTCATCCTCCTTTCTTGAATTATTTCTTCAGCCATTTAGTTCAAATTTATATTTTTCTCTATTGTTGTCGAGAACCTTCGAATAAAAATTGGAATGGTGATTTAAGATCAATTTTTATTTCTTCTATCGCCAATGGATAGTTATTTAATACATTTAATAAGAGTAAATCCCATCAAGTATTTTAAAACTATCATATCTTCAATTTCAGTTTTTAGCCTCAACCATCACCATATTAGTTTAATTTGAGTCCAGGAATTTGCATTATATTTATTAAATATTATACCAATAATCATTGATTGGAATATTTTTTTTATTTAGTCTATAATGGATTTCTTTAAATCAGCCTTTAGATTTGGGTATTAAAAATGACAAATAGTTAGTGAATCAATTAATTAATTACAAATCCGATTAAGCATATTAGATGCTCATTATTGAAAAACTTTAACACTTCTTTTTGGCCAATTTGATGATATTATAACGATTCCCTCATTTATTCAAATCTCTTTGACATATTTTTTTAGGAGCAGATTAATCACACTGCCAATATAAATATAATTTATAGAAATTTAAAATTTTATCCATTTTATTTATAATTCAATTTGAATTATTCATCTCTTTTCACCTGGCTTTCTTACAATTGCAAAGTGAATTCTTGGCGATACGAAGCTTATCAGCAAACTAACTACCTAATATTTTACAAAATTTAGAACAGTCAAAATTCATAAAATATTTCTCATTGCAATTGTATACTTTCAAAGTTTCGTAAAAATAAAAATTTATTTTCAATGGTTTTTTTTATTGATCCTTACTTTCAGAAATTTTTCCATATTTTAAATAATCATCTGAATAGATTACATCCGAAAGTTCTGAAAATTCATTTTATAGTAAGACCTCTGTATTTATTATTTTTAATTTTCCTTACTTTCCATCCTTTTTGCCTTACTTCCAGTTACCTTCATACTCATAATTATTTATCCAATCTTTAATGAAACCTTCCCCGTGATATTTATTATCTTCTAGATCTCCTTTATAAAATTAAGTCAACTAAAATATGAATTTATTATAAATAAACACTTCAACACCCTTACCAGAATATTTATCCTATTTGAGGTTATATGTTACATTGTTATAATCTAAAATTTAGTACTTCGTTTCTTCAATAACTCTCCCTTAAAAATCTTCGGAGGGGTCACATTTGACTTTTCCAATAAATAATTTTTTTTATTCTTCTGTGTTCTTAAAAATATTCCAATATTTCTATTCTTTTTTCTCTTTTGCAGATAAAAAACCTGTATTTTCATCTTTCGTAAATTCAAATTCATATTTTAATTCTTTATCTAATAGACATTTATATTCTAAAAAGCGCATTATATTAGGAATTTTGTTCTATAAAATTTTTTCAAAGTCGTTTTTAGCTTGCTCTATATTCTATTTTTATTCTATCTCCTCTTTATATTGTATTGGTATATCTTATTAATACTCTTTTTTATAAGGTTATCCTGTTAGCCCTTTATTAATTTAATTAAACTTATATTCTTTTGGATCAATAGAATTTAATTTTTCAATTTATTCCTAAATGTTCTCTTCAAACCTGTCTTAATCCGTTCCAATAGAATGAAATATATAATATATATCCTCATCATCCATTTTAGTTAAATTAAATTTTTTTGACTCCTTATCCTAATAATGACTGTGGTACCTATTAAGAATCTTTGCTTTTTCATTCTGTTTAAAGTTTTGTAAATTCCTTATTTTACTACAATAATCTACTAAGTCTTGTTTATTTAAATAATAAAATAAATTAGGATCAAACTAATATATTTTTTAATCGATAAGGTCTTAAACATAAGTTCCATTATTTGGATCCATTATTTCTTTTAGAGTTATTTATGGTTATTCTGAATTTATTTTTTTATGCGTTCCAATTAATTAATCACTTTCACTATCCTACAAAGAAACAATTGATAAATTTAGATTTTGTTAATTTTTGAGGCTTCTTTGACATTCTTCGAATTGTTCTTTTAATTCAGAAACTTCTTTATCAGGTGGAAGCTCACCTTTAAATAGAAGGTACGAAATAATATTTTTGATTTTATCAACAACGCTTTTTCCAGAATTTTCAAAGCTCTCACCGATCTTCTCTAACTGCATTTTCCTATTTTTTGCTTAATCAACACAAGTATCTATTTCAAAATTTTGATATATATTTTTGAAAGGTACAAATAACTCTAACATCATAACTCCTAATGCGTATCTATCTTACTTTTGGACGGCATCTTAAGACATTTTCTCAAATTTTTACTTTGATTCATTCGTATTTTCTTTAATATATGTCAATAATTAATCATTTAAATAGGGATATAAATTTCTTTTCTGTTCATCATTATGTTCTTTGTATTTGATGTAGTTTAAACAAATTACAAAATCGGCAGGCTTATCTTTTAAGTATCCAAAATCAATTAGATAAAATCTACCATTATATAATATAACATTGGAAGGTTTAATATTGAGATGAGTAATCTGTTATTTCTTATGAGCGATTGTCAACTCTATTAATTGATAAAAATATCTCATTTTATCTCCAATTTCATTTGATGATTCCTCTAAGATCTCTTTAAATGATTTAATATTTGAATAGCACTTATATATTACATCTACTTATGATTGACCACTTCCTTATTTTTCATTGTTTTTATAATTACGAATCTAAAGAATACAATCATTTTCTTATTCAGCCTGATTCTATCCTTTCTATTTTTCAAATTGCACCTATTCTATTTTCGCTGTTTATTATAATAAGGATTCACAATTATAGGATACTTTAGGATATTCACCTTCATTGTTAATTTTCCCAATCATTATATTAATAAATAAAATATGATCCAAAGAACACACTTAATATGCCATAAATAATGCACACCCAAATTAAATATAATATTAATTCTCTGCTTTTATTTCTCTGTGAAATGAGTCAGGTAGATTTTAAATTTTTTGAGTTGACTTAGATAGAGTTACATTATGATATATCTTACAACTCAGTATATTTTATAAACATTATATATAAATAAGAAATATTAATAACTCTAGATATAGTATCTATTGTCGCTATCAAGAAATTTACAATCTGAAAATGTATTATTGAATCCAAATCTAAATTTCAGAGTGTAGAACGGTTAGATGATTTTACAACTTTCTAGAAAAGTTAAATCAAAGCAAAAAAATTTTATAGGAACTTGTAAAATGTTCTTTGAGTTAGTTTAGACTATCTCCTTAAAAGTTCAGGAAAGTTAGTCAACATATTCAGTGATCCTCGTTGTTTTTCATTGTCAAGATTGTTCCAAATGTGGAGTATATAGAGAAACTAAAAATGCAATGACTATTTGAAATCAATTCACATTGTAGCACTTCATATCGTTTTATGTTTCATAGTGATTAGTTTCTCATCAATGGGTACTTGCTACTATATATTTTATGTTTTAAAGTTTAAATAATAAGAAATATTTAATAAATTATATAATTGCACCTTGACAAGTACTTTGACTGAATTCTTTTGCGCTTTTAATGGATATTTAATTTTATAATATCCAACATTATATTAGAGAGAGCGAATAAAATTAGTTTATTTCTTTGAGAAATTGAATTTGAGCCATGATCTCTTATATTATGAAGCAGTAATCAATCTAGTATACAATAGAATTTGTTTATAATTAATTTGAATACTGATATGAAAATAGAAGATTAATTCAAAGTTCTATTTATTAATTAGGCTTGTAAGAAGGAATTTGTTACCATTGAAAATATTCTAAAGAACTAAAAAACTACCTATTATACGTTGTAATGAGTTCAATATTTATTAGAGTAATCAGAAAATAAATTAAGATCAAGAATTGCTTTAAAATAATCTAAAAGCATCCGCAGGTTAATAAATTGATATAATTGAAAAGCACTATCTATTAAATTAAATCCTTTAAATCTTAACAAAATGAAATACAAAAAAGGTTCCCATAAAGTTAACCTACTTTATGAGTCATCATCATCATTAAACAATGATATGCGCGTAACTCTATGTAGCAATATAGGTTCCTTAATGAATTATAGGAAGTTTATCAGCTAATTATAACAGGTATGATCAAAATACACTAATTTTATTAGTTAGATCAATATAAAGATAATGATTTAACCACAGTTATCCATGATTAAGAATCCTATTTGTGTTGTTTAATCTCTGATTATAAGATAGTTAATTTAATTGTCTGATATGGGACTAATCCATATATTCTAGAGAATAATACAGTCATGTAGAAAATATTTGGAAATATGCTAAACAAATGTCCAATTTTATAAACAATCGTTAGTGATTTATCTGAGTTTGAATTTGCATAATTGAATAGGGATGTTGGGAATATATTTCATCTAAATAAAAGAAGGATTTACAATTAGATATTGTTTCAAATTTCACAATAATAATCCTTTAAGACTTAAGGAAATTCTCATTAATTTATTTTCGAACACAATCAAATTCACATCAAAAGGAAAAATACCAATAACATTTTCAAATGGTAGTAGAATTTCTCTTAAAATGTCGAGGAATAGATTAAAAAACATTGAAAATCTAATAAAGATTAATTATGAGTACAGTTCTTGATAATAGTAGAAATATAAACAAGTAAAGTATTAGGGTAACATAATAAAAATCCTGAAGGTTTAAAATTGATTATCTTTAAGTATTTTTGCGGGTAGATTGGACATTCGCAACACATTTATCTATAATCCTAAGTTGGAAAGTGTCCATCAGTGTAATTCTTCATTTATAATAATTATGATATAGCATCATTATAATAAGATTAGTTTAGTGTTTCAGCATATTCTCCATTCAACGTTATCATTAGTATTTTATATCTAACAGCATTACAACAATTATATTCTTTAATATTACAACATCAATTAACTGACTTATTGTATAAGTGGATTACATCAAAGATAAATTATTAATTCTAATTTTTATGATGAGTCGTTTAATGTTTTGTTACTACAATTATAATGATGTTTTGGAAGGATGGATGCCATTAATATGATAATAACTTAATGTTATAATATCATATTTTTGTATTATAATCTGCCTGGCATGAATGAATTCTAATGAATTATACTTGTCGTATCAATGAAATTCTAATAAGAGAAATAAAATAAATAAATTTATATGACAAAGATTATCAATATCTTTTATACCAATTTTGTTCTAGATAAATTTAATAAGATATCTGGGTAATTAACATGAATTTGCAAAAGATAATTTTTTGACTATGCGTGCTAGATTTTTATAATAAGATTTACATATGTATATATACTTTAGAGGTCAGGCTTTTTATAAGCACTTCACAGAAATAAAACAGTTAAATCCAAAGGTAAAGATCTATTTATTGACTATTCCAATGATATGAAGACTCAAAAAATATGTGGCGCTGAAAAAAACTTTAAGATCTTGAACTAATTTTTATTTGATTATATTGTTGCTCCCCCTTAAACAATTTATCAACAAGACTTTAAACGTTTTTTAAGGATCTTATATTCATGCTATTCATTCAGCTATTTAAAATACTTTATTATCATTATTCTAATTATTAATATATTTTTTTTAAATTATTGCTATTAATAAAGTTATTGATTAAATTAAATTTATTGCTTTTATGATAGATAATGCAAATGTAATGGAAGTTCATTCTTGATTAGAATATCTCATCATCATCACCTCATTGATTTTATATCAATATTATAGAAAATAAGATTTAGCATAGACAGAATTCAAAATTTTCATCCTTACTTTTTAGATTCAAATACGACAATTATTTTCTCCATACTCAGAAATGAAAAGTAATAAATAATATGTAATTTTTGATGAGATTTATATTTAATATAATTGATTTTTCTGATTTAACTCAAATCCATATATTTATTTTTAATAGTCTAAAATAAAACTATAATCGTTAAATTCTCTTATTTCAATAATTGATCTGAAAATAGATAAAACTTTGGTAACTTTTTGAAATAATTTAATCTTATTTAGATTAACATTGTGTATCAGAAATATTATGTATATCTAAGTGTAATAATTAATTCAATAAGTATTTAAAATCTCTCAACTACTTAAGGAATCAGGCTTGCACAAGTATTAGTATGTTTGCTCTTCAAAGGTAACACTTTGACTTCCTTTACCTATACATTCTAAACATGATATTTAACATTCTTTGTATTTGAGGCTATCAGTATCTAAAAATCTGACCTGGCTTATCAACATGTACATATCAACCTATTGACTATTTATTTAGTATCATTACAAGCTACACAATAAGTCTGATTATAACAAATATCAATGAAAAATAGATTATTAAATTAAATATTTAACAACATTAATACATTACAAGTAAGTATCACATCACACTAATTTATTCGTTCCAAGCTGTTATGCCAGATTTGTAAATTCCAGGTGGCAAGCCAAGCAGACTATTTGTAAATATTAAAGAGAGGATGCGTAAGGTGTTAAACTACAAAATTGATATCCATTTTAACGCTCATACATAAAAAAAGGGCAACATAAATATTGGCTTACATGTAAGTAATTATCGGCCTCTATATAAATAATATGATTAAATAAACAATTCAGACTTGAACCATTAACTTTAGATTGCACTGGATGATCGCAACTCCAATATACTAAAATAGAACAAGATATCCTTATAAGCGATTCATAAAATAAGGTAATTCTAAATATTAGTCGAACATAAAGATGATAAATTAGATATAAGTTAATTGATGATGCAATAAGCAATTAATAGAGATATTTTAAGAAGCGATAAAATGAATAGAATAGTTGTTTGTAAGTTTTTTGCTCAAATCTAGATTCGATTTCTGTTTCAAATGATGTTATGGCTGGCATTAGTATCTACCATTTGAGGATTGATGATAACTTTTGTAAATAAAGAAATTAATATTGTTGGTTAATCAAAAATAGTTTAGATAGGAGCAAACAATTTTTAAATGGAGGAAGGGATATAAAATTAGTTATAAATTGTTTAGAAGCAAGAAGAGATTGGTTATTCGAATTATTTTACACTTTTGCATTAATATCATTTATGTTAATGTTAGTTATGCATTAGAATCTGTTAAAATGGAGAGAATTTAATGAGAAAATTTTTCAATTAATATGACTACTCTCAAGATTTATAACTCTATAATCCTTAAAGGATGACAAATGGATTATTGATAATCTAAAGAATTGATATTGACAATTTAGTGTTAACCTTAAGCAAACTTCTCAATGCATTTGTATGAAGTATGCAAAAGATTTAATCAGCTATATATAATATGAGGACATGTTTAATTTTTTAACATCCAAAAATTCTAAATATAGCAAAGTCATCTCAGGCAATTCATGTCCTCTCTAAAATTAAAAACCTTTTAAAGAAAAACAAAGTGAAACTTCAATTATTACGCTATTACTCAAGTGGACCGATGTTGGTTGAGCCATTTGTCTCACAGACTAAAATTTGTGATGAGGTTATAATTATAATATTTTACTAGCGAATGTACAATTTCCACAGTATTTTCTTCAATGATAAAATGTGTAATACCTTTGCGAACTCATCTTTACAGCTACCGAAAGGTCATAATCAAATGGATAATAATTTTATAAGCAATTTAAGATATTTTTAATAATTTCTTATTCCACTTGTATATATCCTTTATATTTGTTGCTGCTTTTATTATAGATATTGATGTTATGCTAGTGAGTTACTTTATTTTATTTTTCTACTAGTTTTTTAAATAAAACAATAGAAGAAAAATAAAATTCCAAAATTGATTGATATTTACTAGCTAGCCTTATGTTCTCATTCATTTACTTTAGTGTTTCAAACTCTTGTTTTAATGTACTTATGAATTTTATGTTAACTGAGAATACTGAATATAAAATATCATGTTTTCTAAGTTGTTTTAAATTCGTCAAGTTTTTTAAGATTAGTTTTCTTCGGGTAATTAAGATGCTCCTACCGATAAATATTTCTCAAATTATAATTTTGTGCTTTATGCTTTATAAGAATGCATAAGAGAGGCAGTTATTTAAATTATCCACAAGCTGTATTATATGAGATGTTCAACTAAGTTCACAACTTAAGGGCTATAATGTGACTAATCTCAAAATCCTTGGCTTATCTGTTTTACTTTGTTGCTTTATATTTTTCATTTCATTCACCAACATATATTGAAAGAAATAATCCCTTGCTCATAGAAATTCATATCAATAATATCCATTAGTTTGAAATATGAATTATTAATATACTCAATTGGTAGTAACCAATATGAGTAATATAATTATTTGTACCTTTATGCCTAAACATTATACTTAAATACACAACTCTCAATTTAAAGTAGTGTTTCTTTAATATATTTTTGCAATTAATTTTATCATCCTGGGCTGCTCTTGCATTTATTTACTTTAGTATGGGTAATAACGATTTGATCCGTGCTTTCTACCGAATAACGTGTGTATAAATTTATAACCATACAAAACGCTGTCGAATGTAACTAATTACGTAATTTACAATCCAAAATGTGCCTTTAATTCTGATTAAATGTTTTATATATGAATAGAGCATCTCTCAGTATTATATTTATACAACCTTTCCACATTTTCCATTTGTTTAATGCACAACTCCGTGGATAACTTCTTGATATGTATTTTATTGGCATAAATTAATAACGCTTATATTTTTTCTCCTTTTATCGCAAATCCAAAAATTGTGCTTGATTTTATTTAATGTTATCTATCTAATTATAATACAATCATATAGGTTATCATTTTACCACAACTTTCATACATACCTTACCGTAAACCTCCATTGAATGAGGCATAATGTAGGAATCTTATCCTAAATGTTGNTTGGTTGAGCCATTTGTCTCACAGACTAAAATTTGTGATGAGGTTATAATTATAATATTTTACTAGCGAATGTACAATTTCCACAGTATTTTCTTCAATGATAAAATGTGTAATACCTTTGCGAACTCATCTTTACAGCTACCGAAAGGTCATAATCAAATGGATAATAATTTTATAAGCAATTTAAGATATTTTTAATAATTTCTTATTCCACTTGTATATATCCTTTATATTTGTTGCTGCTTTTATTATAGATATTGATGTTATGCTAGTGAGTTACTTTATTTTATTTTTCTACTAGTTTTTTAAATAAAACAATAGAAGAAAAATAAAATTCCAAAATTGATTGATATTTACTAGCTAGCCTTATGTTCTCATTCATTTACTTTAGTGTTTCAAACTCTTGTTTTAATGTACTTATGAATTTTATGTTAACTGAGAATACTGAATATAAAATATCATGTTTTCTAAGTTGTTTTAAATTCGTCAAGTTTTTTAAGATTAGTTTTCTTCGGGTAATTAAGATGCTCCTACCGATAAATATTTCTCAAATTATAATTTTGTGCTTTATGCTTTATAAGAATGCATAAGAGAGGCAGTTATTTAAATTATCCACAAGCTGTATTATATGAGATGTTCAACTAAGTTCACAACTTAAGGGCTATAATGTGACTAATCTCAAAATCCTTGGCTTATCTGTTTTACTTTGTTGCTTTATATTTTTCATTTCATTCACCAACATATATTGAAAGAAATAATCCCTTGCTCATAGAAATTCATATCAATAATATCCATTAGTTTGAAATATGAATTATTAATATACTCAATTGGTAGTAACCAATATGAGTAATATAATTATTTGTACCTTTATGCCTAAACATTATACTTAAATACACAACTCTCAATTTAAAGTAGTGTTTCTTTAATATATTTTTGCAATTAATTTTATCATCCTGGGCTGCTCTTGCATTTATTTACTTTAGTATGGGTAATAACGATTTGATCCGTGCTTTCTACCGAATAACGTGTGTATAAATTTATAACCATACAAAACGCTGTCGAATGTAACTAATTACGTAATTTACAATCCAAAATGTGCCTTTAATTCTGATTAAATGTTTTATATATGAATAGAGCATCTCTCAGTATTATATTTATACAACCTTTCCACATTTTCCATTTGTTTAATGCACAACTCCGTGGATAACTTCTTGATATGTATTTTATTGGCATAAATTAATAACGCTTATATTTTTTCTCCTTTTATCGCAAATCCAAAAATTGTGCTTGATTTTATTTAATGTTATCTATCTAATTATAATACAATCATATAGGTTATCATTTTACCACAACTTTCATACATACCTTACCGTAAACCTCCATTGAATGAGGCATAATGTAGGAATCTTATCCTAAATGTTGGTATTGTCTCATCTGATCTACAGCTTGCACATTTGGATACTCACTTACTTCTACCATGTTCATGGAAAGAGTTGAAGATGCCAGAAAAAATTACGTCTATATTTTGAGCAAGCAATGACATCAACTTATTAGAACGAGTTTTATTTAATAAACGTAATGAAGGATAGCTAGCACACTTTTACGATAGAGAGTGAAAATTATTAATATTAATTGCAAACTGAACAAGTACTNAAACCTTTTAAAGAAAAACAAAGTGAAACTTCAATTATTACGCTATTACTCAAGTGGACCGATGTTGGTTGAGCCATTTGTCTCACAGACTAAAATTTGTGATGAGGTTATAATTATAATATTTTACTAGCGAATGTACAATTTCCACAGTATTTTCTTCAATGATAAAATGTGTAATACCTTTGCGAACTCATCTTTACAGCTACCGAAAGGTCATAATCAAATGGATAATAATTTTATAAGCAATTTAAGATATTTTTAATAATTTCTTATTCCACTTGTATATATCCTTTATATTTGTTGCTGCTTTTATTATAGATATTGATGTTATGCTAGTGAGTTACTTTATTTTATTTTTCTACTAGTTTTTTAAATAAAACAATAGAAGAAAAATAAAATTCCAAAATTGATTGATATTTACTAGCTAGCCTTATGTTCTCATTCATTTACTTTAGTGTTTCAAACTCTTGTTTTAATGTACTTATGAATTTTATGTTAACTGAGAATACTGAATATAAAATATCATGTTTTCTAAGTTGTTTTAAATTCGTCAAGTTTTTTAAGATTAGTTTTCTTCGGGTAATTAAGATGCTCCTACCGATAAATATTTCTCAAATTATAATTTTGTGCTTTATGCTTTATAAGAATGCATAAGAGAGGCAGTTATTTAAATTATCCACAAGCTGTATTATATGAGATGTTCAACTAAGTTCACAACTTAAGGGCTATAATGTGACTAATCTCAAAATCCTTGGCTTATCTGTTTTACTTTGTTGCTTTATATTTTTCATTTCATTCACCAACATATATTGAAAGAAATAATCCCTTGCTCATAGAAATTCATATCAATAATATCCATTAGTTTGAAATATGAATTATTAATATACTCAATTGGTAGTAACCAATATGAGTAATATAATTATTTGTACCTTTATGCCTAAACATTATACTTAAATACACAACTCTCAATTTAAAGTAGTGTTTCTTTAATATATTTTTGCAATTAATTTTATCATCCTGGGCTGCTCTTGCATTTATTTACTTTAGTATGGGTAATAACGATTTGATCCGTGCTTTCTACCGAATAACGTGTGTATAAATTTATAACCATACAAAACGCTGTCGAATGTAACTAATTACGTAATTTACAATCCAAAATGTGCCTTTAATTCTGATTAAATGTTTTATATATGAATAGAGCATCTCTCAGTATTATATTTATACAACCTTTCCACATTTTCCATTTGTTTAATGCACAACTCCGTGGATAACTTCTTGATATGTATTTTATTGGCATAAATTAATAACGCTTATATTTTTTCTCCTTTTATCGCAAATCCAAAAATTGTGCTTGATTTTATTTAATGTTATCTATCTAATTATAATACAATCATATAGGTTATCATTTTACCACAACTTTCATACATACCTTACCGTAAACCTCCATTGAATGAGGCATAATGTAGGAATCTTATCCTAAATGTTGGTATTGTCTCATCTGATCTACAGCTTGCACATTTGGATACTCACTTACTTCTACCATGTTCATGGAAAGAGTTGAAGATGCCAGAAAAAATTACGTCTATATTTTGAGCAAGCAATGACATCAACTTATTAGAACGAGTTTTATTTAATAAACGTAATGAAGGATAGCTAGCACACTTTTACGATAGAGAGTGAAAATTATTAATATTAATTGCAAACTGAACAAGTACTATATAATAGGTCTACAATTGATACTAACCATTATGAGATTCTGAATTTTGAAAAAATCCTACATGTTGATAAACTTGCTTGGACAAGTACGAAAAGTATAAATACTTTGCTTATAGATTATGTCGAGCAAAAGTGATGTGGGCAAACTGATTTCATATATCACCATTAGAGCGACTCAAAATAAAAAGTATAGTGAGTGTTTTATACTTTATTAGTCTCTCAGAAATTTGGACAAGAGCCAGATCCTTTGGTGAAGAAAGTAGGCATACCATAGTCAAAACTTGTAACAACACCAAAAATATGTATTAATATTGTTGGGATTTTAAAAGTTTGTTAAAGGGATCTTTATTGGTTGTGTGTCACAGTCTTCTTCAAATCAACTTTTAAATTAACCAGTATTATGAAGACTTTTATCGAAATAGGTAGAACAAACAGTATTTCTTTTGTGTCTAACTAATCCTTTGGCATCATGGCAATTTTATTGCTAAATCAATATCGACATAGCAGAATTAATCTGAAATAGATCTGATCACAAAAAGTTGAAAACTAATTATTTAGAGAAGCACTTCATGCATCATAAAATTAGAATGGAAGGTATAATAATTCTATCTGAAAAAGCTAGCAAAGATTAAGTTGCTGAAAAACAATCAGTGTATCATTTATTAATAAGAGACTATCACTAGAAGTGATAGAGTATCCGCAAAAGTAGTATGGATGCTTTGATTGCAATATATCGGGGATTGGCATAGAGTTTGAAGTACATTAACAATTATGATGTTAAACCACACGAAAAGTGTATGCTAAGATTTAGTCCAGTTTATGGTGATTCATATTTGTTGTAGTGTTTAAATTTGAAGTACAAAAAATTATCATCGCATTTATGCTAACTATGGTTTGAACAGTGAGATAGGGCAGAAGAAATATCCATCATATCATTTAAGCATGTGTCTTGAATAAGTATTTACTTGCTCACCGTTAGGAGTAACCACAAAACATAATGTATGATAGCTGCTCAAGGATCAGCACATTGATAGCCTGAGAAAAGTGCAAATTACTGAATGCTTTCATGATAGACGCTCAATAATTAAATTTCCACTTGATTTAAGCGATGTCGAAATAATAATCATGAGCAACAGGAGTATTTTATCAAAATTACCATATCTTCAGTTTCTGTAATGAATGCAGTTGCAGAATCTCCACAAGTTAAGCAGATTATTGAGTTGTGCATTAAAAAGAATATCAGCATGGTATTTCTCAAGGAGTAATACGTTTAGGATTACGGAATGCTTATAATGTACGCAAAATTAATGATCAAGAAAGCTGTTTTAGTTATAGCCAGAGTTACTATCAAATGAATGACAATATTGATTGTATTAACATAATTTTCAGTATTATTATATGGTTGAGATGCATTTGATTAAGATTTTGTAGTAACACATACTATTTTCAAATACAATAATTCCATGCGGCACTTAAAAGGTATTCAATTTGGCAATTATCTAGGAAAAGTATTAGTAAGATTGCAATTTACTAATAACAATTCATCAATCTTAATTTTGCATAGGATTAAAACGAATTAAAGTATGTGATCATGATTGTAAGCAGAGAGAGAGACTGGGATTAATATAGACATGTACATAAATACTTGATCCACAATAGATAGAGTAATCATAATTAAATTGATTATGGTGCACACTCCAACAAAAGAAGGAAGCTAATTCTTGGAATTGAAATCCAATTATGAGATTCATTGCCTGAAAGCATGATTTTAGACAGTATGAATAATAACTTTTATATGTTATAGCCGAAGGCTTGACGCTAGTGAAAGCAATAAAAAATTCATACTAAAAGCAAAGTGTAATATAATATAACTAACACAACAGCTAGCATATATTTCTATAGTTAGGTAGAAAGCACATTAAGTAGCAGTAGCATTAAGTACAGAAACGCAACTACTTCGCAGAGGAGCAATCATTGTCAATGGATATGCTGAATAATTCTATGATTTAAGTTATGGATTAAATGGAGTTTGAAGTCAATCAAGACCTGATTGATATACAACAGATCTACAGTTAGTGTAGGAACATCTTGAATAAATACCCACATTAGAGATGTATTTGATTAATTATATTTCGATTAGATTAAAGCAAATACAGAATTACCAGCTACTACAAGCACGAGTTCTATTGTACAAGAAGTATTGGAACTTTAAATTAATCATAAGTGTTTTAATCTTGTTTTCCAAGTTTAATAGTATTTAGTACTTTGAGCAAGTAGAATAAGTATTGGATTGAAAAGGAAATATTAGGTTTTCACAATAGTGCAAACTTATAAATATTCGATCAACTCTTTGAATATAGGAAATATCTCCATTTCCATTTATATATTTAGCTAAAGAATAACTTATACTATTTGAGTATATTGGTTGAGAATACGTGTAGATATAAAACATCAAATGAATTTCTTGAACCATAATGTATATAGTTCAATTTGAATAAATACTAGTAGAAGTATTTACAGTTTAAATTGCAAAAAATCAACGCAATTATAGGCTGTTTGCTAACAAATAGTCCAGACAATGCGATAGGAAATATTTTACGTTGCAATTTGTCTCTAACATGTATCTAACGGTGTGCATAGCTTCATTAATTAATATGTATGCCAAATTTTTCATGATTTGAGAGTTTTCATTAGGCCAAATTCTGAATATGAAATAAAAGCAACTCAAAATATTCTAGTCAAAGATATCTCTGGTAAAGAATTCTGGAAATTATTTTAGCAAAGTGGAAGGAAGACTGCCATTGCTGAGATATGTTTAAGGTAGGAAGCACTAGTAAAAGGATTACAATACACACTATATAGCCACATGATTTAGAACTATACTCTAGTTGTCCATAAGGGCAGACACTGTAACACATCCCCATCGAACAAATAGAAGTAAGAAATTATCCTAAAGGCAAGTAATTGCCCAATTATTCATTGTGTTTGATTGATTAACTCTACACGAAGGAAAGAAATGACAAATAACTCATGATTCGACATATTCCGTCGATACACACAAGAAGAAGAGAAGACGTTGAGACACTCATTTCCTTAGTTGTGGAAATCTTTTTTAAACTCTCAATTTAAAGTAGTGTTTCTTTAATATATTTTTGCAATTAATTTTATCATCCTGGGCTGCTCTTGCATTTATTTACTTTAGTATGGGTAATAACGATTTGATCCGTGCTTTCTACCGAATAACGTGTGTATAAATTTATAACCATACAAAACGCTGTCGAATGTAACTAATTACGTAATTTACAATCCAAAATGTGCCTTTAATTCTGATTAAATGTTTTATATATGAATAGAGCATCTCTCAGTATTATATTTATACAACCTTTCCACATTTTCCATTTGTTTAATGCACAACTCCGTGGATAACTTCTTGATATGTATTTTATTGGCATAAATTAATAACGCTTATATTTTTTCTCCTTTTATCGCAAATCCAAAAATTGTGCTTGATTTTATTTAATGTTATCTATCTAATTATAATACAATCATATAGGTTATCATTTTACCACAACTTTCATACATACCTTACCGTAAACCTCCATTGAATGAGGCATAATGTAGGAATCTTATCCTAAATGTTGGTATTGTCTCATCTGATCTACAGCTTGCACATTTGGATACTCACTTACTTCTACCATGTTCATGGAAAGAGTTGAAGATGCCAGAAAAAATTACGTCTATATTTTGAGCAAGCAATGACATCAACTTATTAGAACGAGTTTTATTTAATAAACGTAATGAAGGATAGCTAGCACACTTTTACGATAGAGAGTGAAAATTATTAATATTAATTGCAAACTGAACAAGTACTATATAATAGGTCTACAATTGATACTAACCATTATGAGATTCTGAATTTTGAAAAAATCCTACATGTTGATAAACTTGCTTGGACAAGTACGAAAAGTATAAATACTTTGCTTATAGATTATGTCGAGCAAAAGTGATGTGGGCAAACTGATTTCATATATCACCATTAGAGCGACTCAAAATAAAAAGTATAGTGAGTGTTTTATACTTTATTAGTCTCTCAGAAATTTGGACAAGAGCCAGATCCTTTGGTGAAGAAAGTAGGCATACCATAGTCAAAACTTGTAACAACACCAAAAATATGTATTAATATTGTTGGGATTTTAAAAGTTTGTTAAAGGGATCTTTATTGGTTGTGTGTCACAGTCTTCTTCAAATCAACTTTTAAATTAACCAGTATTATGAAGACTTTTATCGAAATAGGTAGAACAAACAGTATTTCTTTTGTGT